TCTAGGAAACGGAAATGTTTCGAGAAAACATAATAGGAATGAATAAAAAATTTAAAAATTTATTTCCAAAAGAATCAAAACATTAGTCAAAATATATTGAAAAATCTTGAAACACCTCAAACCATCCTGAAACGTTGGTGGAAACGTGTCCAAACACCTCAAAGCATTGGCTTTTTATTCAATCACTTATTCATTTCCATCTCCTTGCCAACATACAAAGTTTTTACTCAAGATTTCATGGGAAGAAGTTCAAACTACTTTGGTCATCCAAACATAGGATATTTTTTAAAGATAGAGAGGAAGGTTGATGTCTAATGATTTTATTACTTCAATATATTGTCTGGGAGACTGCACCACAATCATTGTCTGTGAGAGAGTTAACAATATATGCCTATGCGGTTTAAAGTCATGAAGGAATAACAAAATATAAGAAATAGAAGGAAATAAAAGTTGCTGGAAGATAATACTTTATAAAATGGAAATCTCAAATAATTAGAAGAAAATCCCACGGATTAGTTCTCACTTGAGTGAAGCTAATATCAGAATCCACATAAATATCTGCACCATCTCTAGCAAAAATAGAATCTTTTGCAACCTAAATACCATGGAAAATCAGAAAGCATGCAGGTTAAGCATTCTAAAACAAAAATCATAAAATTTAAAGGCAAAACAGAAATCAAACAGGAAAAGGGAATAAGGCATTGACAGTAAAAATCTTTTAGCAGTCAACCACATTGTACAACATGGAGATTGCTACAAATAGAGATGTCCAGCTAAGCCTGTCAAAATTCAACACGACACGATTAACCGTGAATTAAATGGGTTCGGGTGAGACCTTAACGGGTTCGGGTCATAAACGGGTCAACCCGTTTAACACGTTTAATAAACGGGTTGTGTTCGGGTGAGACATGTCAACCCGTTTAAAAAAATTAATATAATAATAAATTAATAATTATTTTAAAAAAATTAACCAATTTTTTTTTTAATGACAAATAAACAAAAAATATATAAAGCTATTTTTACCAACCTTAATCTAATTGCATATACTACGGCTGAAGCTTTTGGTTCCCTGTTGCGCCTCCACCCTTCTCAGCCTTTAAATCCCTCCATTCTCTCTCTTTCTCTCTCTCTCTCTCTCTCTCCCTCTCTCCAAGCTTGAGTCAGTTAATCATATTTAGATCTCGACTTTGGACTATGCTGAACCGAAGCTTGAATCGCTGACCACGAAGCTTGAATCACTGACCAGTGACCACGGTAAATCTGTATTTAGATTTGCATTAGATGGGTATAAGACTGTGTTCGAAATTTGATAAATATTTATTTAGATCTGTATTTAGATCGGTATCCTCATTAGTCTGTTCAGTGGTTTCCTTGTTTATATATATTATGTATCGTGCTCTGTGGTTGATCGCCAAGACCTTCTCAGCATTTCAATTTACAGACTTTCAGACAAGTAACAAAGACCCATTTGGTTTTTAACTTAAAAACCCTAATTTGGGATGCTGCTTATAAAAATTCAAACATTTTATGGGATAATTTTGAATTGAGGTCACCTCTAATTCTGTGTTGTCTTATTTTATATCTGAAAAAAATCTATTCCTTGTTATGTCTTGAAGTTTCTATCTCATGATTTCATTTTCCTTTTCCAGAGTGACAAACTGCCTTTTTTTTTTTTTGCTTCCTTGGAGTAGTACATTCAGGTATTTATTTCTACTTGTTTGGTAACACATAATTGTCTCATGAGATTATGATTCTGAATTGACTATGTTGATCATGGTTCATGATCTGGTCTGTTGAAAGAGTCAGTTGGTTTTAACACTAATGACTTTTGCAGTTCAATGTTTATTTGTTTTGAAGTAATTTAGATGACTATGATAATACATAGATTGCATTTAATGTGGTAACAACTTCGTCAATTCTAAAGGTGAAAGGTGAATGATTTTTTGCTCAATAAGAAAATTAATTGATGTTTGGGTTTAAATGAGTTCTTATGATTTTTTGCTCAAACTTTTCAGTTGATCTTATTTATGTATTTAGATTTGAGAGACCCAGTGTCCCTGAGATAATAAACAGTTGATTTATTAGTTCCATTAAATTCATGCGAGTTCCATTAAATTTCATGTGATATCAATTTAACTCTATTTTTTTGCCTTAAACAGATAGATTCTTTCGAACACAATATTATAATTTCTGATGAAGAAGATCATATCGGGCATGAATCTAATTTAGATGCAGCTTAATCTAATTTAAATGCAGCTCCAACAACACAGACATCAACTGGTACAACTACAGAAAAAAGTAAATCTAATCGTAAGCGACAAAAGACTTCAATAGTATGAAAATACTTTACAGAATTAAATGAAAAATATCCAGACAGCAAGAAGCAAGCTGCATGTAATATTTGTGGTATCAAATATATATGTGAGTCTAGTCATGGAACTGGTAACATGCATACTCACATGAAAAAATATGTGAAAAAAGACACTGGGGATATTGGACAATTACTTCTAAGTCAAGGTCAAGGATCTATGCTAATGCGATCCACAAAATTTGATCCTGAAAAGTTTCATGAGTTAGCGGTTGAGGCAATACTTAAACATGATTTACCATTTCGATTTGTCCAACATGAGGGTATTAGAGCAATGTTCAAGTATGCTTATGAGAATATCAAGATGCCTTCTAGGAATACTACAAAGTCAGATGTGTTAAAAATGTATAAGAGAAAGAAGGATAAACTTAAAATTATATTGGGTTCCCTTCCTGAAAGAATTTGTTTGACATTTGATTTGTGGACTTCTATATCGACTGATAGATATGTTTCTCTTATAGTCCATTATGTTAATCTAGATTGGAAGTTGCAGAAAAAAAATTTAAACTTTTGTCTCATGCCCCCTTCCTACACTGGTATTGTTTTATCTGAGAAAATTTATACATTTTTGATTGATTGAAAAATTAAAAAGAAATTATTTTCTTTGACTTTGAATAATGCTTCTAGTAATGATTGTTTTGTTGAGTTGTTGAAGAGTCAACTTGACCTTAAAAATGCTCTCTTGAGGGATGGTGAGTTCTTCCATGTTCGGTGTTGTGCACATATTCTTAATTTGATAGTCCAAGATAGACTTAAAGAAATTGAGGAATCAGTGAAAGAAATTGATAAATCAGTGATAAAAATTCGAGAAAGCATCAAATATGTTAAAAGTTCATCGGGAAGGAAATAAAAGTTCATGGATTGTGTTGCTCAAGTTTCATTAGAGAGCAAAAAAGGTTTGCGGGGAGATGTTCCAACTAGGTGGAACTCAACTTATATTATGCTTGAGAGTGCACTTTTTTATCGTCGTATATTTGTTCATTTACAGTTGAGTAATTCTAATTATAGACATTGTCTTTCCCAAGAAGAATGGAGCAAAGTAGAGAAGATTTCTAATTTGTTGAGGGTGTTTCATAAAGTTACTTGCTTATTCTCTGGTACAACATATCCCACAGCTAATTTGTACTTCCTCCAAGTGTTCTTAATTCAACATACTTTGAAGGAGGCATTGACAGACAATGATAGTTTTATGAGGATAATGGGAAGTCATATGTATGCCAAGTTTGACAAGTATTGGTCAAAGTATAGTGTGATTCTTTCAATTGCTATTATCTTAGATCCTCGGTATAAAATTCAGTTTATAAATTGGGCTTATTCAAAACTTTATGGTGATGATTCCTATGAGTTCAAGTGTGTTCAAGATACTTTATTTGAGCTCTTTGAATTGTACTCTGTCAATTGTCACATGATGTTCCAAGTACTTCAAGTAGTGAGAAATAAGTTAGCGAGATTCATGGTTTTGATGATTCCGAAAGCCTTTTTCAGGTAAAATATAATTTAGTTTGTTTAAATTAAATGTGATCAAGGTAGTTTATTGTTTATTTGTAATGATTTTGTACAAAATGTAGGATTTTGAAAAACGTGAAGAAGAAAATTCTCCTATTTCTCGAGTAACTGAGTTACAGTTGTATTTTAATGAAAAAAGGCTTGATCAAAAAAAGGAATTGGATATTCTAACCTTTTGAAAAGGAGAACAGTTTTGGCATCCTATATTGTCTCGATTGGCTTGTGATGTGATGACAATTTCTATTTCTACAGTTGCATCTGAATCTGCATTTAGTACCGGTGGTAGAGTTTTGAATAAGTATCAAAGCTCACTTTTGCCAGAAACTGTCCAAGCGTTGATTTGTACTAGAGATTGGATTCATGGGAAAAACAGTAAGTTTGATTCCATTTTACTAGTATTATTTTTTCCGTTATCCTAATTCATGTGATCATTGATTCATTTATGTTTTGTTGTGCTTAGTTGTAGATGATTCTAGTGATGATTCGTAAGGAGAAATAAATGATGATGTTTTCAATCAAAATATGAAGTCTAATAAAGTTATATCCGGTCAATGTTCTAATTCTATATCTATCATTGATCATGACTAAAGAGAGGTAATGCCAAATTTTTGTTACTTATCTTATGAGTATTTAATTATTAATGTTATATAATATTTCATTTTAATTTGTGTAGGGTCTAAGAATTTGGTTGTTGAATCTGCTCGTTGTCGTGGAGGTGGCGATTTGATCTGTTTCCCGGGATTTTGTGAATCATGGAAGTTGTGATTGTTTGGGATTGTAGTTTGTAATATGATTGTTATTTGGTGTAATTGTGTTATTTCCGATTGTATTTATGATTTATAATATGATTGTTGGTAGAATTTGGTTATTTTAGATTGTAGTTTGTACTTTATAATATAGTGTGGTATTTCTAAATATCACATTTATTTGTGTTTATTAGTTTTATAAAGTTATATAACATTTTTAAATAAATAGATAAATGGGTTAAACGGGTAGTTTAACCCATTTATAGTGTTAAACCGTGTTAAATGGGTCAAACGGGTGATAAACAGATAAATGGATCAAACGAGTGATTTACCGTGTTAACCCGACCCGACCCAACCCAACCCAACCCGAATCGTAAAATTAGACGTGTTAAACGAGTCGTGTCGTGTTACCCGTTTATTAAACGGTTTGTGTTCGTGTTTCAATTTTTTACCCGCTTATTAAACGTGTCGTGTACAGGTTTTTTACCCGTCACCCGTTTAACCCGATACGTAACTGTTTAACCCGACATATTTGACAGCCCAATGTCCAGCTAACTAGACATTGTTTAGTCAAAAAGGACTAAATGACGTAAACAAAGTATAGACAGCACAAAACATGAGCATTATCTTTATTTACAACCATAATGCCCTCAACTATGATATAGGTTGGACTGCCTCAAAATCAATACAACTATTAATTCTACGCATATAAAAAGGTAATCTACCATTGTTTACACAGAAACGGACCCTTGGAATGGCAAAGCTCGTAAGAACAAAGTTGCTCTTGTAGAAACGCAGGAGCAACCCACAATATGAAGTATAAATATATAAGAAATTACAATGGCCATTAACATTTTTTGACTCTTATGGTAGCACATGTGGAAGCATTCAAACAACAAGGCACCTTTGTCACAATTAGGGGAAGGCCAAAATTCAGCGACAGAAAAGGTCTGTAAATTGTTAAAAAAGTTGCTTATAATTGGCCCACTTATTCAATGAAAGGTATATAATAACTTCATTCCAAACTCTTAACAAGTTTGTTATTTCATTTTCTAAGTCAGAAGGCAAGCTGCTAAGCACTACACACACACATGCGTGCATACGGGGAATTGTTTTTTTTTTTTTTTTTTTTGGGGGGGAGAGTGTAGCAGTAAGTTTTAAGCTGAAGGTTATCAGTTTTTTACTACAGAGTATGGCATGATTTACTTCAGTAGCACCACTTGAACATTAGGGCACTAAAAAGCAAGGTGACCTGTTATCCTGCAGATAAACTATCAGACATCCATATTGCAGCCACTAGCCTCAAAACCACTAATCAAACAACTACTCAAAAAATAATTATGATAATAATCTTCAAGCAAAGGTATTGCGAAGTAAATAGTAATTGCAAACAATCATCACAAAGCATTTCAAAGCTAAGCATTAAGGAATTTAGACTAGAATCAGTAATACTGTGCCTTTAGTATTATGAATAGGCTGCCGGGTTGAATTCCTCGTCTTCCAGCATTACCAGCTTTTGGTACACGGATCGTATCCCCAGAATCGACACCTGATCCATTAATAAATAAAAGGAAAGAATATCCAGAGGGTCAACTCCTGATCCACTAGACAAAGAAAACAAATGAATACAAATTTAACTTAATCTGTAGAGCCATGATTAATTTTATGGCTCTTTGTCCTTGATCCAGCATAAAATATGCAAGCTGAAGATTTAGAAAGACATTTATCTAAAAATTAATTGTATTTAAAGGTATCTTTCACAAACACATTTTTATTATAATCCACAGAAAGACACTTATTCTCAAATCTTCTTCACCAATTGGGGCATTTTTTATGATGCCAGAATCCGTGTACCAGACATCCATTTTTATGTCATTCTCATAATGATCTCCGGCTTTTTGGAAGGCGCCTTACTACACAACTTATACCAATCTAACAAAAAATGTATGTCCTCGTTATTAAGCAAGTACAAGATCATGAATGTGCTGGATAATGGAAACAGTATCAAGCACTTGCACTTCGTGTTAATCAACCATAAACTTTTGAAACAGCAAATAACCTTTCATTTTGAATCTATCAAATCGTAGTAAATACAGGGTAGTGAGTAAGCTTGCAATTATACCTCCCCATAAAGTGACAGATATCAGAAACGTACATTCACCAGACAAAAATGATCTTTGAACAATCCCATTCATCAAGAAAACTATTCAACACCAACCTGCCGGTATTTTAACCATAACATCCTTGACTCCTTCAACCATCCCTGATCCTCTGCATGACCTGCAGAAATCCTGAACAAAATAAGTCAGACATTATTGACATTAATCAAATTGATAAATCAGACTCGAAGGATTCATTCATGGGCTAGGAGTCAGACCTTAATAATGTAGCCCAATCCTTTACAAGCACTGCATGTTGATGTGAATGGAGGAATCGTAACCTAATAAGTCGATCAATAAATATTAGAAACAAATATGAAGAAATAAAGGTGTCAGATTACCTAAATGATATGTGGAAGATGTCTCCGCTAAAGCAAACCCTTTTTAACAACGAATAAGTTAACTAAGCAAACCCTTTTCAACAACGAATAAGTTATGCAGTTGATTCAATTATGGATCTTTGAAGCACTTACACTCCCAATGCCTCCACAAGTTGGACAACTTCTTTTCTGTGCATTGAGAGGGTAACCAAGCCCATCTGAATCAAAAGATAGACAAAGGGCAAGGAAAATATGGTTAACATGATAAGTATAAAAACAACTTTACTTAAAAGATAATGATTTTGCATGATAGAATATCAAATTACTCTCAAAAACAATAGAAAAGTAAACATACACTTAACCACTAAATGGTGACATATTGGGAAAGACATCAAATTAAAGGTTGATTAAAACCCAAAAGACTCCACCTTCCTCAAAAGAAAGGCTTTCACTCTAAAACGTGCTTTAGCTTTAATTGGAATCTGAGAAGCATCAAAAAAAAAACTCAATGGTTCTCCTTCCTAATATAGCATGTCCAATGCTTGTCCAAACCCCACAGACGTACTTGTTACCAGTAACCACCCAAATACAGGCACTATATAGAATTCCAATTAATGAGCACGAAAATTCCCCAATCCAGCAGTCACCTACTCAGCTAACGTCACAAATCATTCACCAAAGGTTCCTCAAGCAAGACACCCCCAAATATAATGGACAAATCATGTACAAAAGTCTGACACAGATACAATCTCAATGTTTAGGGTGCATTAGAAAATTTAACACATGCCTAGCTACATAGTAAACAATTATTTTTATTTAAAAAAGGGATGCATTATCAGTTACTTTATATTAATCCAGAGGGCGATTTGTCTCTTGGGCTCTGTCGCAATAAACCACCCACAGCTAAGGATTCCCACTTATTCTATTAAAACTTTCCACGACTCTCTCTCACTTTCCCATATTCTCCACTGCCAAAGGAAAGAAACAACAATGTCAATCTTGCTCACTTGATTTATACAATTTATCTTCTTGTCATAGTTCCAATTTTCATTCTTGATACATTAATTTTGCACATGTGTCTAATGTGCCAAAGATTCTAGTAAACTTACAATGGGCATGCATTCTTTCTTAATAGACCCAACAATGGCCATTCAAAAAAATACCAAAGAAGTAATAAGAAAATTTCTACTGCCTCATTAAAGACCATAAATTGATAAATAACTGACAGACAAATTCTCAGTTTATAAGACTTTTATTCCAAGACAAAATCGACTGCTGTCGCATATTAACACACAACATACAGACTGATTGAAATGTAAGCATGTTCCAAATAGAAGATTCCAATATGATTATAGTTTTTACTCACGACAAGAATCACAAGGGACACTCGCATCAAAGGACAGATGCTTGGTGCATCCTCTTGCAGCTTCAGAAAAAGAGAGTGACAGCTCCACCTAGACATTTGACACAACATATGGTAGAAGTGTCATAGCTTGGAAAGCCAGAAAAGATTATCACATTGCATATGGTGACCAGATGCAAAACAAGTTCACCTGAACATCAGTGGCAAAATTTTCGGCCTCGTTTTCAAAGATCTGTGCAACATCAAAAAGCTGTCAATATGATGAAATTTCAGGTGTATAGAATAATATCGACACAGCACAAGGATCTTAAATGTAGAACAAAAAACAAAAATACCTCAGAAAATATTTTATGGAATGAATCGGAGAAGTGAGTTCTATGAGCATATCCAAACCCCTCTGCATCCCCAGCAGGATATTCTACATTCTCTGAACTCCTAGAGCTCTCCTTCATCTGTCAGTAGAACAAATATCAGTTAGTTCTAATACAAATGCTGAGGTTGAACAATATTTAGTTTTACTGGTTAACTTCACCCAGCGAGAACCATATAAAACCACTACTTGAGATGGTACAACCAGAAAATAGCTGTTACCCTATCATATTGTGCTCTCTTTTTGGAATCTTGCAAGATCTGGAAAAATGCGATGCAAGAGATTATCAGCAAGGGAATATTTTGAAAGGAAAACAAAAATTATCACCAATACAATGAACCACAGTACCACCATATCAGAGCCAAAATTAAAAAGGAAAAAAAAAGGAACATTAGCGAATCGAACTAAAGACAGGCAAGTAATTAGTGCATGCTGACACCCAAACATCAAACAACAAACCTCATAAGCATCTCTTATTTCTTGAAACTTCCTTTTCGCAGAAGGATTACTCTTATTTGCATCTGGGTGATACTTCTTAGCAAGCTGCACATATTAAAAAAAATAGAAGTTTTAAAAATATATCTAGCAATCTTACTTTTGACAACATTGATTAAACAATACTTTTTCTCTCATCAGCATCAAGTTTGCTGCTAATTTTACCCTTCCTCGTGATGAAAACAAACAGAGACCAGGTTGGTGGTTAAAGAAAAAAGCGACATTTGAATGACTGATCATAACATTTACTTCCTTTGAATTTCACTCTTTTTTCCGAACAATCTATTCTTATCCTCTTTGTCCTGCGAATCCAAGTATTTTGTCCACTAGTCTTAATTGACTTCAAAAAATACTCCACCAATCTTAATATATTGTTCTGTATTGGACTTGTTTTGATTGCAGTGAATAGAGATAAACTAGAACCCCATTGTTTGTGATCTAAAGGTGAAAAATAAATCAGACAAAAAAATTGTAGCAAGCATCTAGAATGGACCAAAAAGGACTAAACAAAGGAAAAGCAGAGCCAAAATTACAACAACAAAAAAAAGCCGCCATACACTACATGAGTTCCAATTGTACTCACTTCATGAAAAGCCTTCTTAATCTCATTGCGATTGGCATCTCTAGAGACACCAAGAATTTCATAGTAATCTCGTTCGGTTGAGTAGCAAACTCCTGAAAACAAGTGGCACATTTAAGCAGAAAATAAATAGTAGAAATATAAGCAGTACATTTTGGGACAAAACCTGTGGCATGAATAAAACGCAATGATTGTAGCATTCGTCTGGTAACCAAGTCAGCATGTTTTCCACCAAAACTGCAATTGTGCAAAGCTTATGAAGGAAGCAGATACATAATGTCAGTAATCAGTCAATCTAACTCTGTTAGGTAGTTCACAGAACAGAATAATTGATTATATGCCACAGAACGGTAGGACTGAACACCTTACGTATCGCAACTTCACCATCCCTTCTATTTCATTCCACACCTTTGTAAGTGCAAACACAGCCAAAACAGCATAAAAGATATGAAATTTATGGGTAGAATACATTTGGCATTGCGTACTCATGGCATTACATGATTAAAGAAATTAGATATGGGCACATTTTTAGGAGTTTGCAAAACAAAACGGAAAATAGAAATGGGAGAAAAATAACCAGGGGTATGGGTGGCGTTGGGTGGAAGCGGAGGTTATAGTGGCGATGAAGAGATATATCAAATTTTGTGCATCGCATGGAACGGCTGTTAGTAACTTCCTAACCTAATAACTACGTCTAATATTACATAATAAAATATATTAAAAATATGCACATAACATTACATTCACCTTTTAAAACGACCTTGAACATAAGGTCACGTGACCCAAAAAACATACAAACTGAAAAGTCACCCACCATATTTTTGTGGTGAGACAATAGTGTTGGTAAGTGGATTCACATAGTGACAATAACATTGAATGGTGGTTATATTTGATAAAATAAGGAATTATCACCATTGATATCAACTTTGTTCTCCATATAAAAATTAATCTTCTCCTTGCCTTCACTTACTTCTTCCAAAGCAGGGACGATTTCCTTCGTATGCTCTCCATTTCTCAACTTGAAGTCAAATTATTTTCCTTTTTGTTGGGTTGAATCTTCGCCTAGCTCATGTCGACCATTAATTGATCAAAGTGAGAGTTTATGGCAAGAAACATCTCCCAAAACTCCATCCTTCTTTCTTGTTCTAACACTTTAAGAACGAACTTGCACTTCAAGTCATGTAATGAGTTGGTCCTCTATGTCTAGCTTTGATACCAATTCTTACGTGCACCTTTGCACAAGATTTGTAAAATAAAATAATAATAGAATGAAGGGAAAGAGAAACCGCTTCGAGTAGGTGGAAACCTCCGGTGGCTTAGTTTGAGAGGAACCCGACCTCCATAACCTCACAAGGAAGTTAATCACAAACCCAACATCCTATTTTCATTGATAGAATAACCAAGATGACAAAAACTACCTTAATTACTAACCTAGACTCTACTATCTAAATAACCACCTAGAAAACTACTCCCATAAATATTTTATCACTAACTCACTCATTAATAATTTCTTAATAACTACTTCTAGTATTACATAAAAAAAATATATATATATATGTGTGTGTGTGTGTGTGTGTGTGTGTGCATAATAAAAAACTATCCTAGAATCTAATAGAGTAATGCTATTTACACCTAAAAATCTAACCTGATTTGTTAATCTATAAATGATTTTATTGAAACCAGTGGATTATCCCCAAGTTTCAATGTTTGATGGAGTCTACCGTCAATCTAAAAGTCATAGTGAATTAGGCCAACAAATTAAATCACAATAGCATTGTTCAATCTAATATGGGTGTACAAGCCTTTTCAAAATATTTTATCAATTCAAAAACCAAAGAGAAAAAAGGAAAGAGAACACATTCTGGGACCCCCTTTTGCTTTCTCTTCCCCACTCGGTAAAAACTACGCCTAAAAAAAAAGGAAAAAAAAAGGCTGAATAGTGTTAAGATTGACACCGTTTCTTTAAGTCCTCCGCTGCATTAGGAGCTTTACTACAATAAATAGTGGAACTGAAACTGACACTGGAGGTATACTTTCAGAGACAACTAACAATATATAAACAGAATACAAGCAGTGCGCATTTATACATAGAGACGAGAGCCACGTACTTCGATGGTGAAGCATTTGCTGAGATGCTGACGCGGTACCACGCAAGACACCTTGATGAAACGATGATTCTACAGCCGTATGGTACAAAAAAGAACGCCGACACTGCACTAAAAGGCGGTGAATTTTCTGACAATTCATTGGTATCAAATTCACTCAATAAATCATTGATTTCGTCAAATTACCAGCGAGCTCTGCACAATTGATTTGGCTAACCAGCACAATTTTCCCATTTGAAGTCGATGGTGGATTCAAAAGCCACCGATCAGTACTGCGAGATATAACAAAGTTAAACTCGAACGAACACTGACAAAGTGGTGGAGCGTAAACGAAGGCTGATCAAATGATCGAAGAAAAAAGTCGCATCTATTCATCGCATTGCGATTTTCTAAGGGAATTCCCAGGGATAAATATTGGATTTAGGGTTTTGTGTGACCGTTACTTGCGCGTTTTACAATCAGGAAAGAAGCAAGGTACTTACCAAAAAAGAACAGAACAAAGTCTGACAGAAACGGCGTCGTGTAAACTTTCGAGTTAACGTTTTCTTGATCCGAACGGCGCACGTTTTTTTTTCGAGGGTAATCTTATTTAAACTTTCAAACTTTCAAACTTTGACTTAAATTATTGGCACAATGACGTAATTTTAATAGAATTATTGAATTAACACTAAATTCTAATAGTGTACACAATTAATTCAAATGTTATAATAAATTAAATCATCAAATTATATCAAAAAATTAAGTCATAATAGTATTGTTCCTTTTTTAATAATATAATTAATCCTTAAACTTGTTCTTTTATTTAAAAATTGTACATTAACTTTTAATTATTTTAGTTTAATCCCCAAATTATCAATTTTAGGTCAATTAAATCCTTCTGCCAATTTTAAACGTTATAATAGACGAAGACAACTATGTGTCACCATTTTGTTTTAACGACTAAAATTGACAGAATAACTTAATTGATATGAATTTAATAATTGATAAATTAAATTCAATTAATTAAAATTTTATGCACTATTTTAAACACAAAAGGTAAAACTTGAGGACTAAAAATGATAAAAAAAACAAAAAAATTACATGTGTGTTGGAAGGGATTAAAATTAGGTCACATGCCATTTTAGGGAAATAATTTGAGAAAATTTTCAATAAGTCATATCTATATAATAAAGTATAACGATTTTGAATTAAGTAGACAAATAGTGCTTCAGATTGTTTCGAGATCAAAAAAAACATCATCCAACAGCAAACGATATTTCAAACTGTCTCAAACTATTGACGTCTCAAATCGTTTCGATCCGACGTGTCATATTAGCTTTTGAAAAGTTTTTGTCGCTCAAAACTTTTAGTTTTCAAAACTAATATCCCTAAATTTAATTTTCCTACCCAATCAAATTCGGCAATTAAACGATCTCTCGTTCCTCAACTCTGTCTCTCTCTCCCCCTAAAATACAAATTACAACTCTTATAATTATTTTCTTGATTTTATTTCCTATGTTAAGGGATCACTTTTTATACTGAGACATTGACTGTCCCTCACACTCTTATCTTTCATGATTCTCTTTCCAAATTTAGACACATATCTCCGCAAAACTCTATCCTAAAGTAGCTGTTCTAAAGAAAAAAAAAAAAAAAAGCAGCTGTTCTCCATCTTTACTGTTTATATCACACACACATTTTTATTGTACATATATAAAGTACAAAGATCGAAAACATACTATATCTACATGTTACATTTTTTATTTCATCTAAACATTTTATAAAAATACTAAAATTACTCTTTATTGTATAAATAGACTAAAATGTCATAAATTTTTTTCTCCATTACATATGCGCTAATTAGCCAACAAACGTAATTTCAACTATTATATTATCTCAACGAATTTTTTTATTTTAAAACGTCATATTATAAATTTGTTATAATATTAGTTATCATATTATTACTGATTTGGTTACATAATCAGGTTTTTATAATTTTTATATTTTTTTATTATAATAATTTTTATAGCTAAAAATGTTTTTTCTATAATAAAAATTACAATTGATAAAGTCAATGTCAAAATCTCATCCATTTCTAATTTCTCTGCTGTCATATGTCCTCCACAACATCGTCTGACCGCTCTTCACATATCATACTTCATATATAAAATTTAAAATTATTTGATAAAATTTAATATTAATTGAATAAATTTTATCTTAATTTTGATAAATTTAAATATTAATTTAGTTTTAATTTGATAAAATTAAATACTAATTTAGTATTAATTTGATTGAATTTAATTTTAATTGAATAAATTTGAATGTTGTTTTAATAAAACTAAATGTTCATTTAGTGTTAAATTAAAGAAATGACATTAATTTGATAAGGTTAAATTTTAAATTAAAGAATTTAATATTCTATTTAATAAATTAAATAGTTTAATTTAATAAAATTGAATTTCAATTTGATGTTGATTTGATAAAAATAAATAATAACTTAATATTAAATTAAAGAAATAATATTAATTTGATGAAACGAAATATTAAATTAATAGAACTAAATGCTAATTTAATCAAATTAAATATCAATTTTGTATTGATTTGATGAGATGAAATGTTAATTTAGTTTAAATTAAATACAGAAAATTAATTTGATAAAATTGAATATTAAATTGATCAAAATAAAAGCTAATATAATATAACTAAAAGATAGCGTATTGAAATTTCAGAATCAATAAGAGGTGTTTTTAAAGTTAGGTCTATTTACAGGGGGTATTATTAAAGTTAGGTTTATTTTATAAGGGGTGTGGATAAAATTTATCGTATAAAATACTTGGGGATATTTATATAAATCAACCACCACCATTAACGATGTGAAGTGACAATCACTAATAGGGAGTGACAGTAAAATTTCAAAATCAAAAGAAAGTGTCATTAAATTTAGACCTAACTGCAGGGGATCTGAATGCAATTTTTCCTTATATTTATACAAATATATATAATAAAACACACATGAAGTTTAATTTTATCACCTATACATTTTTCTACTCCCCACAATCATCACACCACTTATTTTTATCGCATGCTCAACCATTTACTGTTTGATTAATTTGTAATTTAATACAATTTTTATTTCAGCTATTATCTATACACAATGGTATAAATCTGTTAAAAAAATTTATTGCATTACATATTTTGAGAAAATTTTGACAATATCTCTTAAGAAAATAATAGATAAAAATAAATTTTGAATAATTTAACCAAACAAATGAAAGAGAGGAAAAATATTATTTAATATAGTGATATCGATTTTTTAAGACTCGAATTTTTTGTTTTATCATGCCTTCAAACACGGGTTATGACTAGTTTTCTATAAAAAAAACACTAATTTTTATCATATTTTAATTTGTACAATTGAGTCCTACTTTCGATAATTTCTTTTTATGAAATCTTAAAATTCATAAATGAAACCTATTGTTCAAATTTTATCCTTCTAAAAAAAATTAAATTAAATTTTTACCTCTATTTTATTAATTAGTTTATTTTTACTATTTTGTCATTTTCAATAATTGTTAATTATTACATCTAATTTTATAACCAATAATACTTCCAATCACTAAAACTTTATATAGTTATCTAGGTATACGTTATAAATTAATATATCAAAAATTATTATTAAAATATATATTTTTTATCAGTTTAGTTCTCAATGTATCATTTTTGTCAATTTTATCCATAAAATATTCAATTCGTGACATTTTGATCCCCACATATATGAGTTGTTAATTTTTTTTTTTACGAAAATGCTTACGTTTCATTTTTTAAGACAGTATTATATGCATAACATGTAATCATTCTGTACAAAATTTAACGATCTGTCTATTTGGGGACTAAAATGACACAAATTGAATATTTTTTGAACTAAATTGACAAAATTGATAAATTAAAGACTAAATTAACAAAAAATTTATACTTCAAGGACGAACATTAATATTAACCCTTAAATAAATTATAACATTAGAAGTAAAAATATAATTATGTTTTCATTAGAAGGATAAGAATGAAATTAAACATGTCACCAAAATTAAGGCCTAATGGTACAAATAGACTCACCCAAACAGGGAACAAGCAATAGACAACTTAGGCAGAAGCTACAGAGCAGAACTAGTTTGGGGATCACCCACCAAAGGGCTACTATGGCGCTCCGTTCGATCCTCCCCAATCTCTCAAGGTACTTATCCATATACATGTGTATGTGTGTGCGTGTGTACATAAAAAGTCAGAGTTATGTATGTACGCATAAATTCCTCCAAGAACTGGTAAAAATTGCAGCAGCGAAACTCTCTGTAATGCAAGCTTTTGGAGGTTTGTCTCATCAACCACACTGCCAATTGATATGCCCGACAAAACGGCACCATTCAATAAGTACCAAAACGACGGCCTCAAGAACAGATTATTAAGGCCTATATTCCCACGACGAAGCGCGACGATTGTGCTTCAGAATTGGGTCGATGAAGGCCGCAAGGTCTCGATTTCTGAGCTTCGGGGACTCGCAAAGCAACTCATGAAACGTCGCCGTTACAAGCACGCTTTTGAGGTTTGATCTTGTCAAGCCTCTCAACTTATATAACATTATTATTATTCTGCTCTGCACTAGTACATTACAAATGTGAAATGTTCTTTGGGGAAGAAAACAGAAATGGAAATAGAAACCTGGGCAATAGAAGGGGACCCGTTATAAGAGGTAAATGGATATATTAAAAGAGAAAAGAAAACATCTATGATATTCAATCACATCGAAATAACTTTACTCGAGGTAGTAAGGAAAGTAAGGAGTTTTGTTGTTTTTTGTGGGTACAGAGGCTAGTGATATTTTAGTTTTAATTTCTATAAAAGAAAGACCAATTATAGCATCAGTAAGAGTGGACGGTGGTCTTATTCAGGTTGAGGGTGCTAAATAAATTAGATAATCAACAAAAGAGACCAGTGTCTTGAGCAGCAACAAAACTTATGACAATAACTGATTAGATTTGCGATAATTAGAGTTGAATAGGATCTAGAGTTTTATTTTTTTGGTAGGAATCAAAAGTTTTATTAATAAAGAAGTAAGTGTACATCAGAATGGTTGAGCCAATAAAAAGAAAAAAAAAAGAGGAATCAAAATAATGAGATACATAAAAGAGCTTATATGTCACATAAAGCTTGTTATCCTGCCAAAATTGCAAAGAGCGGGTAACCTTTAAAATCCTTGGTTACCGAAGCCCAAAATGATGAAAAGAAATGAATATGGTCTTATAAACCTTCCAAGCACTCAACTCAATCTTCTAAAATTCTTGAGTTTCTTTCTTTCCGAATAACCCACAAAGTAGGAATAATAGCGCAATTCCAAAGTGTCATACCTTTATCACTCATCCCCAGATCTATCAAATTATGATAGCTATATAGCTATAAAACAAGCACTACAGGTTCCTTCATATTATAATTACAAAACAATACTTGTTTGCAAATAATACTGTTTCTCTTTATGAAGTTTTGATCTCGCCTATTGATTTTAATTATTTGTGTATTGGGTGTTGAGTTTTAATATGAAAAGCAACTGTTCTTATTCACCTGCCAGAGTCTTTAAAAGTTAAGTATATATTACTAGTTCATATATTTAGTTCTGATTCTTTGTTGCAAATTCAGATTTTCTTGATGATTGGGTGACCACTGAGGGGGGGGGGGGGGAGGGGGCGGGGATACTCTAACATGAAATTAGCACATAATGTGGAATGATGGTTTGCATATGCCATCCCATTTATCCACAGATACTGACCTGGATGGAGGTTCAAGACATGTTTCCGGTTTCAGCAGCTGATTATGCCATCAGGTTGCAATTAATCATCGAAGTGCAAGGTTTAAAGGAGGCTGAAAAATATTTTGCAAATATACCCAACACTGCTGCACAGAAAGCTTCCTGCCTGCCTCTTCTTCATTGTTATGTTAAAGAAAGAGCAACTGAGAAAGCTGAGGCTCTCATGCTGAAGATGAATGGCTTAGGGCTGATTTTGAGTCCTCATCCATTTAATGAGATGATGAAGCTTTATATGGCCACATCTCTGTTTGAGAAAGTGTCGTCTGTCATCCTGCAAATGAAGCAAAACAAAATACCTAGAAATGTCCTTTCCTACAACCTTTGGATGAGTGCATGCGGGGAGTTATCTGGGGTTGTATCAGCAGAGATGGCTTACAAAGAAATGGTGAATGACAAGGATGTTGAAGTGGGATGGAGCTCTCTTGCTACCTTGGCCAATATCTACCTAAAATCAGGGCTTGTTGACAAGGCCACTTTGGCTGTTAGAAATGCAGAAAAGAAGCTATCAACTTGTAATCGCCTGGGTTACTTTTTTCTTATCACGCTCTATGCGTCTTTGAATAATAAGGATGGAGCTCTCCGGCTTTGGGAAGCTTGTAAAGCAGTAGCAGGGCGAATCACTTGTGCCAATTACATGTGTATCTTGCTATCTATGGTGAAGCTTGGCGAGATTGAAAAAGCTGAGAAGGTTTTCATGGAGTGGGAGTCCCAGTGTAGGAAGTATGATATTAGAGTCTCCAATATACTTCTAGGTGCATACATGAGGAATGGAATGATGGAGAAAGCTGAGTTGCTACATCACCACACTTTAGAGAAAGGGGGCAGTCCTAATTATAAAACATGGGAGATACTCATGGAAGGATGGGTGAAAAGCGAAAATATGGATAAAGCTATTGATGCCATGAAAAAAGGATTTGCCAAGTTGAAACATTGTGATTGGAGGCCATCACCTGGTATTGTTGCAGCCATTGCAGAATACTTTGAGAAGAACAGAAGGTTTGAAGATGCAAAGTGTTATCTTAAGGTTATTAGGCGTGTGGATCTTGCAACTTTGGCAGTCTACAAATCATTGCTTAGAATGCATGCTTACTCCCAAAGGCCAATTCAGGACATTGTTAGACTGATGCAGGAGGACAGAATAAATATGGACGATGAGATTTCTGACCTAGTTCAAAGATTCAAAGTGTAGGCAAGAACATCGCTATGGGGAAGTATTTATGGCTTCCTGTGAACCTGATGTCAAATGCTTCAGACTTTGTTTCGTCCTATTCTTCGTGTCGAAGGTTGTGAGCTGGGGCTAAATAGAAATGGTTAGTATTGCATTTAAAGCACAATTATTCTTAGCTATTTTTACTCTATATTTTCAACTTGGTTTTCTTATAATTTGTTTTATAACTTCAATGTTCTCTCTCTCTCTCTCTCTCTCATGCCTCTTGCTTTTTGATATGGAATGACAGGGCAGGAGACTCTGACATTTTACTAGTGTAGTGCAACCCTCATCTTATTATATATGTTTGAACATAAAAAAGGGGGAATCACGAGGGACATAGATACTCACAATTACAAGTGCATTTTGCACAGTTTCTTTTCTTCATTTTTTTTCGCGATATGCAACAAGTTAAATTCTCTGGTTTGTCTTTTGGATGTTGCTCATGCCCTCTGCTACTGGTACTTTAAAAATGAAAAAAATCAGTCGCCTATTGGAGGAAACTACAATGAACTTTTGGATTGTTCAAATCTTTCTTCAAGAAATATAGGGTAGTATTGTTGAGCAGTTGCATTTGGCATTTGCAACAATCACAAGTATTTGGTAATACATAATTTGCCAAAGTTCATTTATATATTTTTTTTCACTGGGGATACACATGAACTCCTTTTAATTGGATTATGTCATCTAATAGTCATACATAGACATATGCAGGCACCCTGAAAATGCACAAATATAGATGGGCAGTGAAGACTTCATGTTGAAGCAGCCATCAGGATTTTGTGGAAACCTTTATTGTGCATTAGCAATTTGTCTGATGGTAGCACACATTCTTTGATAATATAAACTTCAAGGACATCTTGAAACCATGCATTCAGCAAAGAAATGTTCTCTTCATCTATTAGCATTACGTCTACAATATCCTCAATCATTCGAGCCCAATATGCAATCCAACCAGCGGCGATGTCAACAAAACCTAATGTTTCACCTCCAAAGAAGCATTTCCCCTGTAGACCACTCTCCAGAATCTTCAAATTTTCTCTTGCTTCTTTTGCAGATTTCTCTTTATCCTCTCCTACCTTGTGAAATGTAGCCAAGATTGGTCGATGCACTGAAAAATAATGTGCCGATTATTACAAGGTTTGGGAGAAAGCAGTGTTGCATTTTCATTTTTCAATGGGGATCTGATGTTCGTATCTCCTGAAAATACTTCTAGATTTTCTTGTCGATTCTGCAAGGAACTGACATAGCCTGTAGAACAGTATTCTAAGATTTGTAGTAGGAGAGGTCAGATCATATAGGTGGAAGTGCTTCCTTATCTTTGTATGGTTTGGTGGTTTGTAACGTCCACTAATAAGGAGCTGGGGCAAGGTAGGGTGTGATTATGAATCTTTGGTTTTTTTGTTTTGAGAGAGCCAATATGATAAAAAAAAAAATTATAGTACGCTTTCCATATCTTGTCATCAGCAAAGTTAGCCCAAAATTGTGCTTTGGCTCTTTCATAAGGATATTCTGGCTCATAAGGATATTCTGGGAGGAGAGGCTTTTACTGCCATGTATCTTCTATGTATTCAAGTATAACAAGCGACTCTGCTAATGGTTTCCAATCATGGATGAGGACTGGAACTTTTTTGTGAACAGAGTTATACTGCAACACTGTCCTACTCTTGTTTGTGAGATCCTCTTCAACGTACTCATATCTAACCCTTTTCAATGTTAGTGCCCGCTGGATCCTAAGGACAAAAGGTCTTGCCCAAAATCCAAGCAGTTTCGGTTGATGACCTATCATTTCTCAATATCTGTTTGAAGAAGCATCTGTCTCTATATGTACATGTGCCTGACTAACTTTTCTACACATCTTTGATCTCAGCTAGCATCTTGGGCATCCCGGCATCATCTCAATTCCGTATGCATTGACTAGTCTTTTAGCCTTGATCAAAGGGATGAGAGAGTCCATGCCAAAACCAAGCTACAGGTTTTGAACCGAAGGTGACTGAAACAGACAGCGAAGACATTGCAAACCGCAGTGCTAATGGCAGCATCTTTGGAAGTCTCTAGGTAGGCAATTAAAAGTCAATCGTTCTTGCCCATTTTTTCTTGACAAGTTCTGAAGGAAGGTGCTAACAGCTAGGTGAACTCTGAATCCACACCCCCTTAATATTCCACTTGAATTCATACTAGTTGATCTACTCTTGACAAAAATTGAGAGAGAGTGGATTAGTGGGTATCGTGAATTCTTTATCTTAAATGACATCAAAGATCAAAGAAACTTTATTTTTATTGACACTTGTACCAAACCACCTGATTATGTGCGTGATGCAGTGTTGTTTGGTTGTAATTGAAACTTTGTATTGGTATTGCGATGATCATGCACGTAATGCAAAGTACGTGGCATTGGTACTGCAAAACTTATACATTTGCTATAGATAAAGCTACATTTGAAATCTTTTATTGAAACCAAAGGATCATATCATACATAACCATATGCAGGCACTCATTTTAACATACATCATACATAAACTAACTATACATAGGCACTAATTTTAACAAACATCATGCATAAACCATATGCAGCCACTCAAATTAACTGTCTTTTTAAAAATCGAGGGATAAAACTTCAAGTAGATGCTGCAGCCATCAACATCTTGTGGAAGCCTTTGTTGTGCTCTAGCAATCTGTCTCGAGGCGGCATACAGTCTTTGATTATGGGAGCTTCAAGAACATTTTCTAACCAAGCACAGAGCTCAGGCATGGTCTCTTCGTCTACGAGTTTTACATCCACAATTTCCCCAACCATACGAGCCCAGCATCCCAACCAAGCAGCAGCAATGTCCACAAAACCTATTGTTTCACCTCCAAAGAAGCGCTTGCCCTCGAGACCACTTTCTAGGGTCTTCAGATTTTCTCGAGCTTCGTTTGCAGCTTTCTTCTTCTCCTCCCCTACATTGGTGAATGTACCAAAGATTGCTGGCACACACTGAAAAGAGAAAAAGAAAGGTGGAAGTCAATAGGGTATGAATGGAGGAAGTTCCAAATTTTGTGTTTGTTCGGGCAGAAGTTGCATAAATGTTACCTTGTCATCAGCAAACTTGGACCAGAAACGAGCCTTGGCCTTCTCAAGGGGATCTTGTGGGAGCAGAGGGTATTGCCTCCATGTCTCATCAATATATTCGATTATCACCAGCGACTCTGCCAGTGGCTTACCATAATGAACCAGAACCGGAATTTTTTTGTGAACCGGATTGTACTGCAAAAGCAATGGGCTCTTGTTTGGGAGATCCTCTTCAAAGTACTCGTATTCGACCCCTTTCAGTTTCAGAGCCCACTCGACTCTGAGGGTAAAAGGGCTCGCCCAGTATCCAAGCAATTTCACTCCATCTCTTCCTGCCATTCTTTCTTCTTGCTTGGCAGCTGTCTGCAATGGCTGGCCTATACATATATATATATGTATAGATACATGGACATGAACATTGTGTGGGTCTCAAGAAGTTTCATGGAAAGTTCACACCATCGTGTTAAATGAGGATATTCGGATTAGTTTCAGTTGTCAAATTATTGCCATTATTCCATTCGAACAAAGGGTTGTCGACCGTAGATAGCACTCATCCAATTGCTACTAACATCTCTGTCAAAATTATTCACGTTAATTTTTTTTTTTCCTAAATTCATCACTTTTTACTCACGTTACACAATGCCTTCAGACACGGTTATCCCTAGTGTAAACAAAGAAAAATATGAAAGTAGAAAAAAATTAAAATCAATAAATCTGCCTGGTTGAATGTGATAGAATAAAAGTCCAAGTAGATTTCATCCACACTTTTTATAGTTAGGTTTAAATTTGATGACTTCTTTTTTTGATTCTGAAATTTTATTGTCACCCATTTAAATTTGTACTATACAATCATTAGTATCCTTTAATGGTAACTTTTGTCTCGGACAATCGAAAAAAATGGACGATTTAACTAAAATGCTGTCAACCATTTGCCCCTTTATATATACCCTAAGCCAGCAACTGTCTCAAATGTTGATTCCTGCTTCAATGGAGCAGCCATTGTTCTTCAACAATGAGCAGTTGCTGAAGCTTGTGACCAGCTCTTGATTTTGTTTTTCCTAATTTGGTTTAGCATTAAGTTGGTAAGAAATTTGTTAAAATTTTTTATATGTGGAAGTATACAATTTTTTGCCATTTATGATTTTTGTTTTAATTTTTTCATGTAATATCTCAGATTTATGATAATGTTGAACTTTAAGTTGGTAAGAAATTTGTCAATATATAAATTTATGATATTTTTTCATTTTGCCGTTGCCAGCATCATCATTGTGTCATCGCTATCATCATTGCCACCACCACCATTGTGCCGCCATCACCATCATTTTGTCACTGCCACAACTATTACCATTGTGTCACTGTCACTGCCATCACTACCATTGTGTCGTTTCCACCACAATCATTATGCCACTACCGACATTGTGTCGCCGCACACCACTATTGTCATTGTGCCACCGTCACCACCACTATTGTACTATTGCCATCACCACCATTATGCCACTGCCAACATCACCACTACCATCACCATTACTATTGTGTCGTTGCTACCACCACCACCACCATTGTGATATGGTGGTAAAAATAAATTAGTTGCGGGGAGATGATTAAAAAGAAGAACAAAATTAGAATAATAATCCTTTTTACACTTCAACTCCTTGTATTTTTTAAACAGTGTAATTTAATTAAATACATAAATTTTAGTGAATATTAAATAATCTATGAATTAAAAAATTTAATATTTAACATTTAAAATTCAATATTCAATTTTTTCGTATCCAACTTTAAATTCTATCAAATATCGCCTTACAGTTATCAGAGGCCGTTTATTTTTCTTTTGTCTTGGAGCTGCCGAGTCAACAACGCAAAGGAATTTTTGTTACTTGATTGTAATCGTTTTCACACCATTGCGATCTTTCAAGGAAGATGTAGACTCTGCCACAGCCGCCTCCTCTGAATGGTCATACAAAAAGCCTAATTAATGTCCATTTGTCTCCATCCACTGATTGATTCCACCAATGAATCACCACCATTCCTTTGTCTCCCCCGCCCCCCTAAATTTAGAATACCAGAGAGAGAAAGAGGACCACGGAAAAAAACACGAGAAGGTGAATGCCAATGAGAAATTCACTAACAAATTCAACAGGAAAAAACAGAAACGTTTCTCTGCAATTGAAACATTCCGCTCTGGTGCACTGCTGACACTACTACATCATCATCAATGTGCTCAGTTGAAGATGTCTTCTAACACAATTTTTTTTTAATTTTTTTTTTGACAAATTACATATTATGTATTCAAGTAGAACTTATTATATATAAGTAAATTTCTTACTTATTAATAGTGGATGATGATGGATAACTTGCCAAACAATATATATATTAAAAGGGATCTTGATCCCTATTAAACTGCCATTTACTTGTCTCATTAAGGACATATATACAAGTTGTATTAAAAAAAAAATCACAATAGTATTCTCAATTACGATTTAAAATTTAAAACACACCAACATATCCACCTACCGAAAAAATGTTCATTATGATAAGCCCGAAATCAACTAGACCAGGCCCAATTGATCAAAAAGGCCAAAGTCACCGGCGCCTGAAAGAGTTGCCCAAGCTCCTGGCGCCTCCCAAGCGGGTTGCCTATGATATTTTTTCATTTTGCCGTTGCCATCATCATCATTGTGTCATCGCTATCATCATTGCCACCACCACCATTGTGCCGCCATCACCATCATTTTGTCACTGCCACAACTATTACCATTGTGTCACTGTCGCTGCCATCACTACCATTGTGTCGTTTCCACCACCATCATTATGCCACTACCGACATTGTGTCGCCGCACACCACTATTGTCATTGTGCCACCGTCACCACCACTATTGTACTATTGCCATCACCACCATTATGCCACTGCCAACATCACCACTACCATCACCATTGCCATTGTGTCGTTGCTACCACCACCACCACCATTGTGATATGGTGGTAAAAATAAATTAGTTGCGGGGAGATGATTAAAAAGAAGAACAAAATTAGAATAATAATATTTTTTACACTTCAACTCCTTGTATTTTTTAAACAGTGTAATTTATTTAAATACATAAATTTCAGTGAATATCAAATAATCTATGAATTAAAAAATTTAATATTTAACATTTAAAATTCAATATTCAATTTTTTCGTATCCAACTTTAAATTCTATCAAATATCGCCTTACAGTTATCAGAGGCCGTTTATTTTTCTTTTGTCTTGGAGCTGCCGAGTCAACAACGCAAAGGAATTTTTGTTACTTGATTGTAATCGTTTTCACACCATTGCGATCTTTCAAGGAAGATGTAGACTCTGCCACAGCCGCCTCCTCTGAATGGTCATACAAAAAGCCTAATTAATGTCCATTTGTCTCCATCCACTGATTGATTCCACCAATGAATCACCACCATTCCTTTGTCTCCCCCGCCCCCCTAAATTTAGAATACCAGAGAGAGAAAGAGGACCACGGAAAAAAACACGAGAAGGTGAATGCCAATGAGAAATTCACTAACAAATTCAACAGGAAAAAACAGAAACGTTTCTCTGCAATTGAAACATTCCGCTCTGGTGCACTGCTGACACTACTACATCATCATCAATGTGCTCAGTTGAAGATGTCTTCTAACACAATTTTTTTTTAATTTTTTTTTTGACAAATTACATATTATGTATTCAAGTAGAACTTATTATATATAAGTAAATTTCTTACTTATTAATAATGGATGATGATGGATAACTTGCCAAACAATATATATATTAAAGGGGATCTTGATCCCTATTAAACTGCAATTTATTTGTCTCATTAAGGACATATATACAAGTTGTATTAAAAAAAAATCACAATAGTATTCTCAATTACGATTTAAAATTTAAAACACACCAAAATATCCACCTACCGAAAAAATGTTCATTATGATAAGCCCGAAATCAACTAGACCAGGCCCAATTGATCAAAAAGGCCAAAGTCACTGGCGCCTGAAAGAGTTGCCCAAGCTCCTGGCGCCTCCCAAGTGGGTTGCCTATGATATTTTTTCATTTTGCCGTTGCCATCATCATCATTGTGTCATCGTTATCATCATTGCCACCACCACTATTGTGCCGCCATCACCATCATTTTGTCACTGCCACAACTATTACCATTGTGTCACTGTCGTTGCCATCACTACCATTGTGTCGTTTCCACCACCATCATTATGCCACTACCGACATTGTGTCGCCGCACACCACTATTATCATTGTGCCACCGTCACCACCACTATTGTACTATTGCCATCACCACCATTATGCCACTGCCAACATCACCACTACCATCACCATTACTATTGTGTCGTTGCTACCACCACCACCACCATTGTGATATGGTGGTAAAAATAAATTAGTTGCGGGGAGATGATTAAAAAGAAGAACAAAATTAGAATAATAATCCTTTTTACACTTCAACTCCTTGTATTTTTTAAACAGTGTAATTTAATTAAATACATAAATTTTAGTGAATATCAAATAATCTATGAATTAAAAAATTTAATATTTAACATTTAAAATTCAATATTCAATTTTTTCGTATCCAACTTTAAATTCTATCAAATATCGCCTTACAGTTATCAGAGGCCGTTTATTTTTCTTTTGTCTTGGAGCTGCCGAGTCAACAACGCAAAGGAATTTTTGTTACTTGATTGCAATCGTTTTCACACCATTGCGATCTTTCAAGGAAGATGTAGACTCTGCCACAGCCGCCTCCTCTGAATGGTCATACAAAAAGCCTAATTAATGTCCATTTGTCTCCATCCACTGATTGATTCCACCAATGAATCACCACCATTCCTTTGTCTCCCCCGCCCCCCCTAAATTTAGAATACCAGAGAGAGAAAGAGGACCACGGAAAAAAACACGAGAAGGTGAATGCCAATGAGAAATTCACTAACAAATTCAACAGGAAAAAACAGAAACGTTTCTCTGCAATTGAAACATTCCGCTCTGGTGCACTGCTGACACTACTACATCATCATCAATGTGCTCAGTTGAAGATGTCTTCTAACACAATTTTTTTTTAATTTTTTTTTTGACAAATTACATATTATGTATTCAAGTAGAACTTATTATATATAAGTAAATTTCTTACTTATTAATAGTGGATGATGATGGATAACTTGCCAAACAATATATATATTAAAAGGGATCTTGATCCCTATTAAACTGCCATTTACTTGTCTCATTAAGGACATATATACAAGTTGTATTAAAAAAAAAATCACAATAGTATTCTCAATTACGATTTAAAATTTAAAACACACCAAAATATCCACCTACCGAAAAAATATTCATTATGATAAGCCCGAAATCAACTAGACCAGGCCCAATTGATCAAAAAGGCCAAAGTCACCAGCGCCTGAAAGAGTTGCCCAAGCTCCTGGCACCTCCCAAGCGGGTTGCCTATGATATTTTTTCATTTTCGATTTCTTTTTTTTATTATATTTTTTTGTTTGCTTCGTGCCTTTTTTTTTTCTTTTGAGTGAAAGATACTCCAACTCATTTTGAACATAAAGATTTGTCCAAGTCAAACAAATCTTATCCTATTTCAATAGTATACGTTGCATTTTGAATTTCAGAAAAATTGATTGTAATGATTTGGACAAATCGGAGGAGCCTAACCCGAGTCACTTCAGGACCATGGTCCTACCCCGGTTGGAGTTTAGCTCCACGTGTGATATGGAGGGCACTGGTTCAACTCTCTTTGTGCCCCTCACATGTATCAATGTGTCCAAAAAAACCCGGGTCAGTTCTGCAATTAGTAGTAATGGGTCACAGTCTGATGGCGAACAAAGCCAGACTTGAAAGGATTAGTGGAGGAGGCCAGCTTTGGAGTCCAGATGATGCAAAGGACATGAAACTTCGGAGTAGTTTCTGGCACATGAAACATGTGTCCGAAGAAAGTCACCAGGCTACATGCAATTTACAGTACATATAAAACTCCGATAATTTCAAGGTCTATGGCTCGAAATGTTGGGTACATGAGCCTTCATTAAATTGATATTTTATACGTTGAAGGATTAACTAACACTTGTACAGAAAGCAAAGCATATTAAGTGGTTGTGATGTTTCTGGTGATAGGGATGGAATATTTGTTTTTTTTTATTGGAGCACAACCACCCCACCGGCTTGACTCATGGTTGAGTTGTGATTCGATTAAATTAGGTCATTTCATCTTTGGAATTTTGTTACCTTGGATTCGTGATGCATTTCGGATGTGTGATATTTGTGTTCTGTGTCATGATCGTGTAAGCATAAGATATATATATATATATATATATATATATATATATATATATATATATATATATATATATAGCGATAATATATGTCTGAATATACAATACAATTCAAAAAAAATCTAATATTGATTGTGGATTTGAAATAATCATACAGTGAAAATGACCTCAATTAGCTGAAAATCTAAATTGCACCCTCGACACATCACACTTTGCATAAATTCTCAGTAAAGTATTACCAATATAAAGATTCTCTAATAATCAAAATGTCATAAATTTAAACTGAAAAAGTATAAAATTTATATATGTGAAACTTCATACCTAATTAGAACTAACAATAGAACTCAAAAATGTTTATTCAAAAATCAACTTACGGGGCCAATAAAATAAATCTTTGTGTCAGAAAGTACTCTGTTATGTTGAATAAAAAAATAATCAATATTTAATCAAATATTTTTTTTACTTTTAAAAAATTTGGATAGAATTTTTGCTAAAAATAGGACCCCAAAAAAATATCAACTTATAATGCTAATTACACAATCTAAAGACGACATAAAAGCTTAGTATCAACCAATAATACAAAGAAACCAACCAAATTCAACCACCAAAAAAATTAATTCCAAATTGAAACAAAAATGTTCATTAGTAAGAAAACATAACAAAAGAAAGGCAAAATAACTGAATGCGACAATTCCCAATTTTTCAACACAAAACAGATATGATCAAGCATGTTAGCTACCTACTAATAAAAATAAAATATATAAAAAAATATAAAATTAAAAAAAAAGATTAACTAAACAACTTGCTTGTAAGCAATCATAAAATTATTAGTACCTAAATATCTCAAACACATGAAATTAAAAAGAGGATTAACTAAATAACTTGCTTGTAAGCAATCCTCTTTCTAATTTTATAAAAATATATAAAATTAAAAAGATGATTAACTAAACAACTTGCTTGTAAGCAATCATAAAATTATTAGTACCTAAATATCTCAAACACATGAAAAAACTTCCGGTCAAAACAATCTCAAACATCAACATTAAGATATTATATTTTATTAACTATGCAAGCTAAGGAAAAGAAAAAGAGAATACTTATAAAAAAAGAAAAAATCAACATTCGTAGATTGTCCCAATTATCGTGAATTGAAAGTAAAAATTGAACTACAACAATCGTTAAAAATGGTAATGAAGCAAAAAGAGCTCACAATAATTTATATTTGTGACCTAAGTCCCATGATTGATGGACTTTCAATTATAAACTTCTCTTGAGCAATTGTAATGTAAATCACGTAAAGCAGAAGAGAGCGAAAAAGCGTAAAATTTTAAAAAATTCTAAGAGCGGAAGTGTCTTGAGAGCTTCATATAATATACATATATACATATTTACATATAAGTTATGCAGTTGATTCAGTTATGGATCTTTGAAGCACTTACACTCCCAATGCCTCCACAAGTTGGACAACTTCTTTTCTGTGCATTGAGAGGGTAACCAAGCCCATCTGAATCAAAAGATAGACAAAGGGCAAGGAAAATATGGTTAACATGATAGGTATAAAAACAACTTTACTTAAAAGATAATGATTGTGCATGATAGAATATCAAATTACTCTCAAAAACAATAGAAAAGTAAACATACACTTAACCACTAAATGGTGACATATTGGGAAAGACATCAAATTAAAGGTTGATTAAAACCCAAAAGACTCCACCTTCCTCAAAAGAAAGGCTTTCACTCTAAAACGTGCTTTAGCTTTAATTGGAATCTGAGAAGCATCAAAAAAAAAACTCAATGGTTCTCCTTCCTAATATAGCATGTCCAATGCTTGTCCAAACCCCACAGACGTACTTGTTACCAGTAACCACCCAAATACAGGCACTATATAGAATTCCAATTAATGAGCACGAAAATTCCCCAATCCAGCAGTCACCTACTCAGCTAACGTCACAAATCATTCACCAAAGGTTCCTCAAGCAAGACACCCCCAAATATAATGGACAAATCATGTGCAAAAGTCTGACACAGATACAATCTCAATGTTTAGGGTGCATTAGAAAATTTAACACATGCCTAGCTACATAGTAAACAATTATTTTTATTTTAAAAAGGGATGCATTATCAGTTACTTTATATTAATCCAGAGGGCGATTTGTCTCTTGGGCTCTGTCGCAATAAACCACCCACAGCTAAGGATTCCCACTTATTCTATTAAAACTTTCCACGACTCTCTCTCACTTTCCCATATTCTCCACTGCCAAAGGAAAGAAACAACAATGTCAATCTTGCTCACTTGATTTATACAATTTATCTTCTTGTCATAGTTCCAATTTTCATTCTTGATACATTAATTTTGCACATGTGTCTAATGTGCCAAAGATTCTAGTAAACTTACAACGGGCATGCATTCTTTCTTAATAGACCCAACAATGGCCATTCAAAAAAATACCAAAGAAGTAATAAGAAAATTTCTACTGCCTCATTAAAGACCAAAAATTGATAAATAACTGACAGACAAATTCTCAGTTTATAAGACTTTTATTCCAAGACAAAATCGACTGCTGTCGCATATTAACACACAACATACAGACTGATTGAAATGTAAGCATGTTCCAAATAGAAGATTCCAATATGATTATAGTTTTTACTCACGACAAGAATCACAAGGGACACTCGCATCAAAGGACAGATGCTTGGTGCATCCTCTTGCAGCTTCAGAAAAAGAGAGTGACAGCTCCACCTAGACATTTGACACAACATATGGTAGAAGTGTCATAGCTTGGAAAGCCAGAAAAGATTATCACATTGCATATGGTGACCAGATGCAAAACAAGTTCACCTGAACATCAGTGGCAAAATTTTCGGCCTCGTTTTCAAAGATCTGTGCAACATCAAAAAGCTGTCAATATGATGAAATTTCAGGTGTATAGAATAATATCGACACAGCACAAGGATCTTAAATGTAGAACAAAAAACAAAAATACCTCAGAAAATATTTTATGGAATGAATCGGAGAAGTGAGTTCTATGAGCATATCCAAACCCCTCTGCATCCCCAGCAGGATATTCTACATTCTCTGAACTCCTAGAGCTCTCCTTCATCTGTCAGTAGAACAAATATCAGTTAGTTCTAATACAAATGCTGAGGTTGAACAATATTTAGTTTTACTGGTTAACTTCACCCAGCGAGAACCATATAAAACCACTACTTGAGATGGTACAACCAGAAAATAGCTGTTACCCTATCATATTGTGCTCTCTTTTTGGAATCTTGCAAGATCTGGAAAAATGCGATGCAAGAGATTATCAGCAAGGGAATATTTTGAAAGGAAAACAAAAATTATCACCAATACAATGAACCACAGTACCACCATATCAGAGCCAAAATTAAAAAGGAAAAAAAAAGGAACATTAGCGAATCGAACTAAAGACAGGCAAGTAATTAGTGCATGCTGACACCCAAACATCAAACAACAAACCTCATAAGCATCTCTTATTTCTTGAAACTTCCTTTTCGCAGAAGGATTACTCTTATTTGCATCTGGGTGATACTTCTTAGCAAGCTGCACATATTCAAAAAAATAGAAGTTTTAAAAATATATCTAGCAATCTTACTTTTGACAACATTGATTAAACAATACTTTTTCTCTCATCAGCATCAAGTTTGCTGCTAATTTTACCCTTCCTCGTGATGAAAACAAACAGAGACCAGGTTGGTGGTTAAAGAAAAAAGCGACATTTGAATGACTGATCATAACATTTACTTCCTTTGAATTTCACTCTTTTTTCCGAACAATCTATTCTTATCCTCTTTGTCCTGCGAATCCAAGTATTTTGTCCACTAGTCTTAATTGACTTCAAAAAATACTCCACCAATCTTAATATATTGTTCTGTATTGGACTTGTTTTGATTGCAGTGAATAGAGATAAACTAGAACCCCATTGTTTGTGATCTAAAGGTGAAAAATAAATCAGACAAAAAAATTGTAGCAAGCATCTAGAATGGACCAAAAAGGACTAAACAAAGGAAAAGCAGAGCCAAAATTACAACAACAAAAAAAAGCCGCCATACACTACATGAGTTCCAATTGTACTCACTTCATGAAAAGCCTTCTTAATCTCATTTCGATTGGCATCTCTAGAGACACCAAGAATTTCATAGTAATCTCGTTCGGTTGAGTAGCAAACTCCTGAAAACAAGTGGCACATTTAAGCAGAAAATAAATAGTAGAAATATAAGCAGTACATTTTGGGACAAAACCTGTGGCATGAATAAAACGCAATGATTGTAGCATTCGTCTGGTAACCAAGTCAGCATGTTTTCCACCAAAACTGCAATTGTGCAAAGCTTATGAAGGAAGCAGATACATAATGTCAGTAATCAGTCAATCTAACTCTGTTAGGTAGTTCACAGAACAGAATAATTGATTATATGCCACAGAACGGTAGGACTGAACACCTTACGTATCGCAACTTCACCATCCCTTCTATTTCATTCCACACCTTTGTAAGTGCAAACACAGCCAAAACAGCATAAAAGTTATGAAATTTATGGGTAGAATACATTTGGCATTGCGTACTCATGGCATTACATAGATTTTCTTGTCGATTCTGCAAGGAACTGACAAAGCCTGCAGAACAGTATTCTAAGATTTGTAGTAGGAGAGGACAGATCATATAGGTGGAAGTGCTTCCTTATCTTTGTATGGTTTGGTGGTTAGTAATGTCCACTAATAAGGAGCTGGGCAAGGTAAGGTGTGATTATGAATCTTTGGTTGTTTTTGTTTTGAGAGAGCCAATATGATAAAAAAAAATAAAAATTATATTACGCTTTCCATACCTTGTCATCAGCAAAGTTATCCCAAAATCGTGCTTTGGCTCTTTCATAAGGATATTCTGGGAGGAGAGGCTTTTGCTTCCATGTATCTTCTGTGCATTCAACTATCACAAGCGACTCTGCTAATGGTTTCCCATCATGGATGAGGAGTGGAACTTTTTTGTGAACAGAGTTGTACTGCAACAGTGTCCTACTCTTGTTTGTGAGATCCTCTTCAATGTACTCATGTCTAACCCCTTTCAATGTTAGTGCCCACTGGACCCTAAGGACAAAAGGGCTTGCCCAAAATTCAAGCAGTTTCGGTTGATGACCTGTCATTTCTCAATATCTGTTTGAAGAAGCATCTGTCTCTATATGTACATGTGCCTGACTGACTTTTCTACGCATCTTTGATCTCAGCTAGCATCTTGGGCATCCCGGCATCATCTCAATTCCATATGCTTTGACTGGTCTTTTAGCCTTGATCAAAGGGATGAGAGTCCATGCCACAACCAAGCCACCGGTTTTGAACCGAAGGTGACTGACACTGACAGAGAAGACATTGCAAACCATAGTGCCAATGGCAGCATCTTTGGAAGTCTCTAGGTAAGCAATTAAAAGTCAATCTTTCTTGCCCATTTTTTCTTGACAAGTTCTGAAGGAAGGTGCTGACAGCTAGGTGAAGTAGTTGATCTACTCTTGACAAAAATTGAGAGAAATTGGATTAGAGGGTATCGTGAATTCTTTATCTTAAATGACATCAAAGATCTAAGAAACTGTATATTTATTAACACTTGTACCAAACCACCTGATTATGTGCATGATGCAGTGTTGTTTGGTTGTAATGGAAACTTTGTATTGGTATTGCGATGATCATGCACTTAATGCAAAGTACGTGGCTATGGTACTGCAAACTTCTACATTTGCTATAGATAAAGCACCATTTGAAATCTTTTGTTGAAACCAAAGGATCATATCATACATTACGATATGCAGGCACTCATTTTAACATACATCATACATAAACTAACCATACGCAGGCACTAATTTTAACAAACATCATGCATAAACCATATGCAGCCACTCAAATTAACTGTCGGAATAAGACTTCAAGTAGATGCTGCAGCCATCAACATCTTGTGGATTCCGCCTTTGATGTGCTCTAGCAATTTGTCTTGAGGCGGCATACAGTCTTTGATTATGGGAGCTTCAAGAACATTTTCTAACCAAGCACAGAGTTCAGGCATGGTCTCTTCGTCTATGAGTTTTACATCCACAATTTCCCCAGCAATTCGAGTCCAGCATCCCAACCAAGCGGCAGCAATGTCCACAAAACCTATTGTTTCACCTCCAAAGAAGCGCTTGCCCTCGAGACCACTTTCTAGGGTCTTCAAATTTTCTCGAGCTTCGTTTGCAGCTTTCCTCTTCTCCTCCCCTACCTTGGTGAATGTACCTAAGATTGCCGGCACGCACTGAAAAGAAAGAGAAAAAAAAATGGATGTGAATAGGGTATGGACGGAGGAAGTTCCAATTTTGTGTTTCTTCGAGCAGAAGTTGCATAAATGTACTTTTCGTTAATTTTATCTCTCTTAACTTAAGAATCTTACAACATTTCTCGTACCTCCAAATGGTCGGCGATCATTATTTCTCAAGGACATGTTCTAAACCAATTCTAGCTCTGGTGACCAGTGTCGAGCTGAGAGAATAATCATATAACAAAACAAAAACAACAACGGTGGATGCTTCCCTTACCTTTTCATCAGCAAACTTGGCCCAGAAACGAGCCTTGGCCTTCTCATGGGGATCTTGTGGGAGCAGAGGGAATTGCTTCCATGTCTCATCAATATATTCGATTATCACCAGCGACTCTGCCAGTGGCTTACCATCATGAACCAGAACCGGAATTTTTTTGTGAACCGGATTGTACTGCAAAAGCAATGGACTTTTGTTTTGGAGATCCTGTTCAAGGTACTCGTATTCGACCCCTTTCAGTTTGAGAGCCCACTCGACTCTGAGGGCAAAAGGGCTCGCCCAGTATCCAAGCAACTTCACTCCATCTCCTCCTGCCATTCTTTCTTCTTGCTTAGCAGCTGTCTGAAATGGCTGGCCTATATGTATAAATACATGGACATGGTCTCAAGAAGTTTCATGGAAAGTTCACACCATCGTGTCCAATGCTCCGGCTAGTTTCAGTTGTCAAATTATGGCCACGTATAGAAGTATAAAAACAGAGAAAAATATGAAAGCGGAAAAAACCTAAAGTCAATAAATCTGGGTGGTTAAATGTGACAAAATAAAAGTAAGTATAAATTTCATCCACACTCCTTGTACTTAAATCTAAATTCATAGGCGTTTCTATCCAATTCTGAAAATTTTACTGTTCAGTTGCTGAAGCTTGAATAGAGCAGCCGTTGCTCTTCAACGGTGAGCAGTTGCTAAAGCTTGTGACCAATTCTTGATTTTGTTTCTCCTAAATTGGTTTGGGATTAAGTTGGCAAGAAATTTGTAAATATATAATTTTTTGGCAATTGTGATTTTTTTTTTTAAATGTCATGCAGTATCTCAGATTATGATAATGTTGAGTTTTAAATTGGTAAGAAGTTTGTAAAAAATTCCGAAATTTGTAAATATATAATTTTTTGATATTTTTCCATTGTGTCGGTGCACAACATCATCGTGGTGCCATTGCCACTATCACTATCATGGCCACCATTGTGTCGTTGTCGTCACCATGGCTATTACTATTTTGTCACCATTATCGTTATCAGTGTCGTCACTATCATTGTGTCGTCACCATCGCCACTATCACTATGTCATCGCCACCACCACTATTGTTGTCATTATCACTATTGTGTCATTGCCACTATCACCGTCATCAACACTATTATGTTGTCGCTGCCACCACTGTCATTATGTCACCGCCACCATCATCACATCTGTTATCACCACCATTGTGTCATCGTTACTACCACCATCACCACCACTACCATCGCTACCACCATTATATTGTTGCCACCATCAAGAATAAGATTGTTGCGGTGAGATAATTACAAAGAATGACAAAATTAGAATAATAATAATTTTCAGACTTTAACTCTTTATATTTGTCAAACAGTTAAATTCAATTCAATACTTAAATTTCAGTAGATACCAAATAGTCTGCGAATTAAAAATTAATTATTCAACATTTAAAATTCAACATTCAATTTCAGTATTCAACTTTCAATTTTATCAAACACCACTTTAATTAATGATATGTTAATTAAGTGATATAATTCTAAGGATTTTTTGTACTTTGTACGTTGAAATATTTCAAATTTTTTATTTTGTACATTTAAATATTAAATTTTTTATATTACATTTTTTCAATGTATAAAAATTGTTATAATGTGACCCCTCTATTCTATTAGCTTCCATTATTTTTTCTGTCAAAAGTTAAATTATTGATATTGACGAAAAAATTGAAAGAAAACTAGCAGAAGGGTCACTTTTGATACATTGAGAGTATAATATAAAAAATTTAATTTTTGAGAGTACAATGTAAAAAATTTAATTTTTGAAAGTACAAAATAATAAAGTTGAAATCTTTCAAGTACAAAGTAAAATTCGCCTTAATTCTAACAAAAAATTTCGAACGTTTATATTTTATACCGCATGTCATGTCAAAATTTAATAGCTTAAATAATATAAAATTTTTGTCAAAAACAATGGTTTGACAATAAGAAACGTTGGGCTTGAGTACAAGAAACGCTGGGCTTGACTACAGTATTGAAAACAAATTTTGACGTCGTACCTTCAAAATTTATTATTTTAATATTTATTTTTATAATTTTTTTAGGTATTTTTATTACTATTGTGTGTATTTTTATTATTATTGTGATAACTTTTTTTATCACAAAAATATCCTCAAGTACTATTTAAAATTTAAAACACACCAAAATATCCATCTACCCTTTTAAAAAAAAAATCATATCTCTTATTCATATTTTTTTTGGTTTAGCAATCAGAGATGTTCGGATCAACTTATGCGCATTTTGACTAATTCTCTATTTAGTTCAATCAAAAGTAAGTCATTTATGTCAAAATTAGAATATTAATGAAAAATAAATTTCTTATAACCTAAACACAAAAAAAATAAAATTAACAAGTCTATACAAAATGTACAATTGTAAAGAAAATGGGTGGTGCAAAGGAGCGTAAATTACACAGCTTTTGAGAAGAGGGGGGGGGGGGGGGGGGGAACAATTCTATGAAATGCACTTTGGCGATCCGATGTGACAAGAACATGATAGTCCCCTCCATTACAAATATCTCTAACCTTTAAAACCCGACAGCAGAGTCATTTATCAACCACCCTAGTAAACCCAGAAGGCCAAAATTTTTCAACCGTGCGTAATTTGAACGGGGCAAAACAAATTAACCCGAAAAAATAAGGTTGGAGTTAAAATTTTTAATATTTAGATTGAGTCTGAGTTTAAAAAATCAATTCGATTGAATTTGAGTTATACTTGAATTGAGACATCGGGTTCAATATGAATATTAAATCGGACTTAACCTAAATATTATGGCTAAACATTGACTCCAATACTATTTTTTATGTTAATTTAACTATTATGGCTGTTATGTTAATTTGACTACTATGACTATTATGGTTTTATGTTAAGAGAAGTGTAATTTGGTTTTTATCCAATGTGTTTTTTTATACTTTAAATATTATGGTCTTTACGTTAAACATTTGATTGAAATTTCTAGTTGTTATTTTAAGTAAATATTATGTAATATGTAACAGATTTAGAATAACAAGTTGATTTCGAACATGAACAAACTTAACCCAAAATAAACTCAAATTGGATAACCCGAATTGAATCCTAGTCAACTCGAATTAGGGTTAAGATTAAGAGTGAATATTTTATATTTAAAATTGAATTAGGGTTGACCTCTCAACCCGCTCAAATTAAGTCCCTAAATCTAATGCATTTATCTTTGTAGTCCGAAATCGGCCAAAAATCAAATTTTGGTCCGACATATCTTTCAATTATTATTTTTTAATAGAAATCCAACTGCAAAAGAGTTCAATTAGTTTAAGGATGGTGTACACTAAGCCATTTCTCTTTCTTCTCTCGTACTATACGTACAGTTGTGGTTATATATGTTTTGCGTTCGATCATTTATGGTCGGGACTTATTATTGGACGAGTAGTAAGAACATTTTAAACCCTTATCCTTTTTAAAATTAAAATTAAAATTTAAATAAAAAAACTCTTAAAAACTTATAATCAAACTCATATCAAATTAAGAGAGACTCAAATTTTCACTTAAATTAAGAAAAAAATCAAACTTTTATTCAAATCACTAAAGATTAAATTTTATTTTACTTTTTACAGATTTAGTGATCATATTTTATTGTCCTTTAAATTTAAGTCTATTATTATTTAAATTTGAGTTTTTATATTTGAATGTTTTGTATCAAATTAAACTCTTTACGACTCAAATTTGAAAAAAATACTTAAGTAACGGTTGAAGATATTATGGAGTATCGAGTTGCGAGTTGCGAGTGCCGACTTAGTAGTGGGATTTTCTCGGAGTGGGTGAGCTCTATGCCTGCACTGCCCTTTAAGTGAGAAATTATAATTTGTAGCTAACTAACAAAGAATGGTTCTAATTACATATTTTTGAAGTTAATATATACATATGAAATAAAGTTTGGATATATTTAAGGGTGGGACTATTTTCACGCCACAAATATTATTAATTTTTTTGATTTAAAACTACTAAATTTACTATACTTTATACCCACTCCATTAAACACCAAGTTCACCCCAGTACCCATCTCTTTAGAAATTTAGCTCACCTCAATCTATTCTACCTCAAATAGCCCTTATATTTTACGTTAACCTTACAAAAATTTTACTTCGGCATTCCTAGACAATAATAGTTGAGAACTGCAGCATAAGTTTAGAATTCAAAAATAAGAGGAAAGTATATCGAAGAGGATCTGAATCTCATGTTATATAACTCGTTTAATAAACGAATGATATTCAATTTTATAATTTAAATCTAATTAATAAACAAATCATATACGAATTGAATGTTTTGTATGATTAATTGGGTTAGGGTTTCTCTTTTGGCGTGTAAACAAATTTTAGTTTTACCAAATTTTTAATATATAAAAAGGTCTTTCGTATTTTTTAAAAATTGACATGCAGTCCCTGTGTGGGCACAAACGTATAGGGGTTGGACAGTTAATATTTTTTCATTACTCATTTTGCCTTTCATCACATGATTTCAACTTAAAATATAATTAATTTTTTTTCTTTTTTTTTTGGTGTTTGTTATTGAGAAATTTGTGGTGTTGTCTATCACTTTAGAATTTTAAATTCGTGAACCAAATAATTTGAAATATATCGATCGTTTATTTTAAGCATTGATTTGGTAGATACACAAATTATGTCGCAACAGTTAAGTTTTATGTATTCGTTAATAAGTTTAGGTACATGTTTTTTATAATTTACATAATTTTGAATTGTGCTTGGCTTATATAATTGTATACCTGCAATGACATATATGTGTTTTTTCTCAATTAAATACGGATGTACTAATTTTGTAGATGTATATATTCGTATAATGTATTTGAATGATCATGTATGTTATTTCGTCGTATATGTTATGTTGTGTATTTATACAAACACATATATATTAATTGTATACCTATTGTATTTGTTAATGCATTTTTGTGTGTGTGTGTGTAATTATGAATATGTATAAGTGTGATTATCTTTCATATTCAATATGAGGATGGATACATAACTCCTGAAATATAATTTGTTACTTGTTAATGTACCCGTTGGTCCAGAGATATACCGAATTCAGCCGCTATAAATAAATATGTCATATACTTGTGAACCACCAGTTAATGGAGTAAATATTGAATGTAACGGTGATACCATGTCCCATTGATGATATGATATCACCAACCAATAATAAAACCTCAAATAAAAAAGGTGAACCCCACTTAGACTTACATGACAGAAGAGTGGAGAATTATTTGCTTATATGCCAGATTAGTTATTGATTTTTGTGGGGTCCATCTGTTTATTTGTTTTATTATTATTGATTGATGATACCACATCACCTTGCCATGTGGTATCATCGTTGTAATGAATATTTTCTCCCGTTAACGAGTACGTTAATTGAAAATGAATCATTTTTTTTAATGTACATATCTGACAATTTGTGTTTATCGAGAAAAATATACATTATGATGACATAACTTTTTAGAATAAGTGTTTCAATTATGTGATGATATTGTTATTATTTTTGTAATTTTAAAAAACGTTATTTATATCTATTATTTTGACTGTTCAATAAAAACCTAATTCAAAAATAAATTAACGAGTTTGTTTTTTTAGAATCTTATTGGGCTTAGTTATTAGTCTCCAAAAAACTCTAATTTTTAACACAAATTCGTTAAAATTCAATATGGATAATGTACACACAAAAAAAAAAAAAATCAGTTTACAGTATCCGACATGAATAAATTATCATCAGTATTTGATAGTGTACACAAAAAAAATAAAAAATAAAAAAAAAAAATAAAAACAGTTTGCAGTACCCGACAGGGATTTGTGTATTGATACAAGCTACAGCCACGTCGGTTCCCTCTAAAATAGTAAACATCAAACCCCCAATTTCCCAAACCTCAGATCCTGCGATTACATCAGTCCATCCCCCAAAAATCACCCCGTTCGAGATTTCTAGGGTTTCTGTTTTGAAACTGACCCTTTTTCTCTCGCTCTCTCCACGACTGACGATTCATCAGTCTTCTGTTTACTTCCCATCTTTCAGTACCCTTTGGCTCTACATCTCCGCAATCTATGTAAAGGTTCGTCTTTTCGCCCTATTCTCGATTTGTAGTTCATCTCCAACCTTTTAAAGATTGAAGTTATGATTAATGGTTTATATTTGATTTATGATTGTCCATATCTGGATATGTGGGTTATTGGAATGAATTTACCAACCAATCTTCCCTTTTTTTTCACTATTTATTCTGGGTTGCAGGAGGGAAGTTATTTTAGGGTGTTATAAAACTCAATTGGGTTGGTTGTTTATCTGTGGGATTTTCGTCATTGTGGGTTTGGGTTTGAATAACAAAATCGCAGTCTTCCACAGTGTGATTGATGAGGAAGAAGAGAAAAGGAAGTGAAATTTTGCGTGTAAGTAAGAAAGATTTTTTCCAATCAACCCAAGACTCCGAATCATCTATATCGAATTTGAAGTCTCATTATTCATTGGAAGACTACTCAAGGTTGAACAAAAGGTGTAAAGAGGATGTGCTGGGCACTGAGACTGTTGTCGGGTCATGTAAAACTAGGCTTGCCGGGATTGCTGCAACGGCCCCCCCATGTGGTACTTCGTCGTTGGTCTCATCTGGAAGAGGGCATAAGAGGAAGATAGGGTGTATTGATGCCACAACTCAAATTGGTAGGAAAACCAAGATTGAGGATGATTATGTTGAGGGTGAAAAAATTGGGAAAGGTAAATTTGGTTCGGTCTGGTTATGTCGGAATAGGCTTACTGATGTGGAATTTGCATGTAAAACCTTGAAAAAAGGGGAGGAGACTGTCCATCGGGAAGTGGAAATCATGCAGCATTTATCTGGGCACCCGGGTGTTGTGACATTGGAAGCGGTGTATGAGGATGAGGAATCTTTTCACTTGGTGATGGAGTTGTGTTCAGGAGGAAGGTTGATTGATCAGATGGCCAAGGAGGGGCAGTATTCAGAGCACCGGGCTGCTAATATATTTAAGGAATTGATGCTGGTGATCAAGTATTGTCAGGAGATGGGGGTTGTACATAGGGATATAAAGCCTGAGAATATTCTACTTACTACTTCTGGGAAGATAAAACTTGCAGATTTTGGCTTGGCCATGAGGATTGCGAATGGTAAATACTGAGCCTGCCTTTAAAATTCATTATTGCTTTTATGTCCTTAATATCCTTGTACTTCCTTCGGTTCATGAGCTGTAAGAGTCCAAATAAATATGAGTATTACTCCCATTGCACCATACTCTTCTTTTATGTTCCCCGTGTCTTCTGGCTTATTTGTGAGATGAATCATCTTTGCCCCCTAGTAAGCAGTATTGATTGTTTACGATTGTGATTTTTGTGAATGATTCAGGTGGAAGCTTGACTGTAACTTCGTGGTTTATGCTGTGTTGCTATACCACTAATATCTCTGTCGTGTTTTGTAATATAGTTTGACATAAAAAAAAAATAAAGCACTGTATGGTGTCTAATATTGATTGGCGATGCACTTTCACCACTTTTAAGTAGGAAATGTGTCCTGTAATCCTATCTATTTTGTGAGTCCTGGAGCAAAGTTCAGCCGTACAATGGTGCATGCCCTACAGTTTCTTCTGTTCATAGCTTGGTTATTTGATTGCTTTGCCTCTTATGAATTGACACAAAATCCAACACAGGTCAGAGGTTGACTGGCTTGGCTGGAAGTCCAGCTTATGTTGCCCCAGAAGTTTTGTTGGGGAATTACTCGGAGAAAGTGGATGTCTGGAGTGCTGGTGTCCTTTTACATGCTCTCTTAAGTGGTGTTCTTCCATTTCAAGGTGACTCATTAAAAGCAGTTTTTGAGGCAATCAAGAATGTGAAGCTTGATTTCCACACGGGGATATGGGAATCTGTTTCTAAACCTGCACGGGATCTGCTCGAGAGAATCCTCACAAGGGATGCTGTGGCGAGGATGACAGCAGATGAAGTACTAAGTAAGCTTTTTGTGGTAGTCAAATTGTTGGAGGATTTTTAAATTATTGACCTTAAATTCCACAGACTACTGCACAATTGAGTGATTTTTCAAATCCTCAATGGGTATCATACAGGATTCCTCTTCACCTCCAACCCCCTCTTTTGTTTCTCCCTGTCCACCATCATCTGTTTTTCTTCAAAATTACTCCCCCTTTGCAGTCCGTGTCCTCCAACTTGATGTAATTGGTCCTAACTTTTTAACCACTTTCTTTTTCTTAGTTTTTTTCTTTTAGTAAATATTCCAAGATTCTAACTAATAGCCAAAGCTGGATTTTTTTTTCTCACGAGTGCACTTGTGCTGTTTAACTTAATTGACAATGAAATGAATGTTGTTTCAGGTCATCCATGGATTTTGTTCTACACTGAGCGCACATTGAGGACACTATCTTTCAAATCAAAATTGAAGAGTCAATCTGGATCACTTTCTCAGCCACCAGCCGCTAGGCCCACTACATCCAGACTAGACTCTGATGAAAATAAGGTCAGCAGTTATCCTCCCAATGAGGATACAAGTCCGCTGTCATTTTCGGGAACTTGGCATCACGAGTCAGAAGAGCAGGATGATTCTGGTTTGGTTGATGCACTCTCGGTGGCAATTTCACATGTGAGAATTTCTGAACCCAAGAGGAGCAGGTTGTGTGGTCCAAGCAGTCCAATAAGGGAGCAGTGCTCGTCTAACATGTCTAACAATCTTTGCCAAGCATGTTGATTCCACTAAATATGCAGCTGACCAAGTGACACCACCATTTTCATGCATCACAATCTCCACTTTTTATTGATTGCGGATCGACTGCATTTTTAAACTGTTGGAGGATCATCCGCTACACAAAGGTAGTGATCTGCCATCTGGTATATAAAGAAAATGCCAACCTGGGAAGATCAAAATCTCTTGCCTTGATTTGTTTGATTTCATTTTTCTTAACCTGACATCGCTTGCAACCTGAAAAAGTGCACCAATGATTGTACATTATATGTAAATAGATGCTGGGCATTGTAACAAGAGTTTTGCTCACTTAATGTGCAGGCAAATAAAGCAATTATGTTATTTCCTGCATTGTGCCTTCAGTACCCTACAGCGACCATCACCACTGAAATTTGTTCTTCTTTTCCGTGTAGCTGCTCTGTGGTGTGTGTCTTGTATTGGAATCATATTCACTGTCGTGCTGCTGATCGAGTTGGTGTGAGTTGGACTTGATTTGCTCAAACTAAGTTTAGTATCAAAAAGTTTGGTTCAATTTCAGTTGAAGTTCTAACGAGCTTGAAACTCGTTAGAAACTAAACTAAGTATGTTATTGTGAGGTAGAGTTGAGTTTAGGCCATTCCAAATGATTTGGGGATGTGCATATGGAAAATCTAGTTGGACGGAGTGATAAAAAAAAACCCCCATTTTTTTTTTTTATGTGCAGTCACTTCTAAATAGAAGATATTTTCGCATGTTGAAAAAGCGAAAAAAAAAGTAGATCAACCTGATTGTCAAGGATTGGATATGGATCGAATTCTCCCTAACCTGAATCCAATTTCAAAAGTCCGATTTGAATTTGATAATTCGGCGGATTTTATTTGTGGTTTATATTTGAATTCGTTAATAATTTGAAATTCGATCCAAATAATTAATTGACTAAATTGTAAAAAATTATACTTAAATTTTAACTAATTTTTTCAAAATAATCACTTAATTTTTTTAATATTTATATAAAAATATATAAATAATTTGAATCAAATATAAATATATCTAAATCTAAATCTATGAAATATAATATATTAGATTCAGGTTCGAATTATTAGTAAAAAATATTAATTCATATCCGATTAATTGCTTCAAATTTGGATCAATTGACAGGCCTATTAGTATGGCATGCCAATAATATAATGTTGAAGGTGACAAAATTAGGGGTGCAATTCAAGCGGGTTGGACAGTCAACCCTATCCCAACTTTAGGTATATAATTTTCAACCCTAATTTTAACTCTAACCCTAACTCTACTTCGGGTTGAGAAATCCAACTCGAGCACTGCCCGAGTTTAATTCGAGTGGACTTAAGTTGAATTCAAATTAATGATTTCAGGTTGATTTTGGGTTATTTTACGGGTTCAATTCGGGTTGAGTTCGGGTAGAGCCCAAAATAGATTTGTTGTTTTAAACCTAATACATATATTACATAATATTCACCTAAATTAATAACCGATAACTTCAACCAAGTTTTTAACGGTGCTAATGCTAGAACAAAAATGAAAATGAACGTGAGAGACAGAGAACGATAGAACAAAAATGAAAAATTAGTGTTAATGCTTTATATCTATATAAATTTTCTTTTTAATTTGTCGGGTTCGTGTTGAACTCGTGAACTCAAGGCCTTAATCCGAGCCCAACCCAGATTGAATTCGGGTTGAGGATTTTTGACTTAAGTTTAACCCAAGTATTAAAAATCTTTGTTCAAGCCTTAATTTTTTCAAGTTGAGCTCGGATTGAAATTGGGATGCTCAACCCAAATTACACCCCTACACAAAACCTAGGATAAATTTGGCCTTCAACATTATACATCGCAGATTTTCTTTTTGGTGGGCTCTGATCAAATGGCTGGACTTGGCAGCCAATCGGCTGTTCGATTTAGCTGCCTGCACACAGAGCCGATTTAGCTGCCTGCACAAAGAGTTGAAGTCTTGGCCAGGAGAACAAGGCTTCCCAAACAGAATTTCTTTTTTTTTTTTTGGTTCATGATGGGACATTTGTAGACACTTCCAGATGATGACACGTATACTCGGCCTCAATGGAGACTCTTCGCTCTGATTCCGACACGTCTACGTCGATTTCCAACCCCCTGCCCCAAGGATACTATTCGCAGGGATCAAGGATCCCCAAACCATCATGGACTGACACGTATCCTTCAATCAGTTTGGGTACATCGGCCCCTAGCGACGCTGAACCCTCGGCACCAAGGTATATTTGTCTACGAAGCATTTCTGCTCCTGTAGGGGCTACTGATTGACGGGTTACTAGCCTAGGTTAGGCTAGACTAGCTATCATGACATCGTTCCACTCAAATGGTGTCAGGAGGCACCAGAAGGCGGAAGGCTCAACCAAAGAGGAATGGACACGTGACATATTGTGTCAGATCAGAAACAAAAAGACCTGAATGCCCTTTCTGACACACGGCTTGGAAAAGCAAGTATTTAATGCACCCTTCCCTTAATGAGACAATATTTAATTCATGAGACTTTGAAAGTGAAGGGTAATAAATGTCCCAAAGCTTGGGCATTTAATACACCCCCGCCGAGGGAAGATCATTAAACGTTCGGTAGATCGAGGAGAAGGCATTAGTTGCTTGGGGTCCCGAGCAGTTAAGAATAAGAACATTACTCATAGAAATTGGTGTGCATACTGCCCACCTCCAATGATTACCTACTAACTACACTATCAGCAATGATGCGTTTTTAAGGTATAAATAGTCTTCACAAACACAGAAAAGAGGTACGCAAGAAACCCTCTCTCAACCATCATACAGTGTTTTCTTATTTTTCTCTCTCAAAGAACTGACTTGATCGTCGGAGGGGATATGCCGAAAAATACTCCGACGCCCTTCTAACCTGTTTTTCTCTGTTCCAGGAATCTCCCTTATCCTCACAGGACCATTCTAGTGACCCACATGAGTTACTCATTATCGTTTCTCAGGCCATCTCCGGTCCCCACAACTTGTTCCAAGCAGTAAGATTGATCACTCGATCGACGGACTCGTGTTCACCACGGAAGAGATCTGTTCTTGTATTTATATTGTGCAGGATCGTGCACGCACAGTTCAACAATTACAGATGTTCGTGTCAACTTATACGTATTTTGACTAAATCTTCTTTGGTCCGGTTAAAAACAGACCATCTATATTACTATTAAGATATTTATTAGAAATAAATCACTCATGATCCGGTCTTAAAAAATGACCAAGATAAACAAAATGTCTACTCAAAAGTCAAAAGTATCGATCACCACTAGGTTAGAAGGACCAAGCCATAATCTATTAAAAAAAAAAATATTAATAAGGGAAAAACACACCGGCCACCGATGGTGGATCTTGATAAATTTATTTAACCCAAACATTATTTTTCATACTTGACCATGCAAATTTTAAATGGAGTCGTCCTGGGGGTTCTTGTGTTTCCCGTGAGTTCCATTGACCAGAAGGCCTTAATATCATTGTTTATGCGGTTTGGCCACAAGTCTCAATCTTGAGGCTAATTCTACTTCTTTAAAGTAATAGAAAACTCTCTTTCCCTCTTTGATGCATTGCATTTTTTCATTCAGATTGAGCGATCTGATCAAATGGAGGCTAGCTTCAAATCAAGCATCCAAAAAAGGAGCTCAAGCCACTCCACCAAAATTATCACATGCCTCATCCTACTGTTCTTGATTCCCATTCTTTTCCACATCAAAGTCTCACCTTTCAGTTCTTTCTCTCCCCCAAATTCTGCTTCTTGGGCTCTCTTTCAGCAATGGAAAGGAGCGGCTGGTTCCACCCACCATCCTAACCCTTCCAACGCCACAGAGACTATGATAGCCAAGCTCCGAGAATTGGTTACTTTCCTCCCCCTCATGGACCTCAGGTTTGCGAAAACCTCCATGACAGACAACACATGGTTTATGAGCTCTCTCAACGACACCCATGAGGAAAACGAACCCGAGTACCTATATTTCCCTTCAGAGGCATCCAAGGGACGGGTTCTATGCATCAAGGGACATGACATTAAGGATGGTACAAAGGACTCATATGCTTTGGCATGGCCAGAAAGTCTTCCAGACTCGGCCACTCTTGTGGAAGGCCTAATCTTTGTCTCAGACACCTACTACAGCTACCAAAATTTGTGGCATGGATTGTGTGCCACAGCCCCGTTTGTCCGATGGTCGATGAAGAATGGTTGCTTAAAGCCTTCGAGATGGGTACTGTTCCACTGGGGAGAGTTCAGAGTGCAAATGGGATCATGGCTTCAGCATCTCATGCAAGCGAGTTTTGGAGAAGTTAGGATTGAAGGGTTTGATAGAGGAGATGAGCCTTACTGTTTCGAGAAAGCCGTCGTGATGAGGCATGATATTGCAGAGATGGGGAAGGACAACAAACTGAAGGTTTTCGATTTGTTGCGATGCAAGGCAAGGGATTTTTGTGGCTTGACCCCAGCAGGCAGAGGAAAAGAGGTCAATGAAAGAGGGGTACCAATTATAAGATTAACTTTGCTAATGAGAAGTGGTTCAAGGTCATTCAAGAATGCAGCAGCTGTTAAAAGGTATTTTTGAAAAGGAGTGTGCAAAGGTGGAGGGATGTATCTTGAATGTGACTCAGTCAGAAGATCTGAACTTCTGTGATCAGGTATGCACTCCCCTCCCTTGTTGACTTTCTTTATATTCAAAAAAATACTAGGTTTGGAACTTCGTCACCTACCCCCCCCCCCCCCCCCCAAAGGAAAAAGATACTGCCTCTCATCATAAAGGGTATGGAGAGTGTTACTAATGGCCTATGGAGTACAGAGGGGCTATGCAGAGACGCGCAACTGTGCTTCCTCTGTTCGCCAATAAAGGCACTTCTTACTGGGTGAAGGGCACGCTGCAGGTCTACGCTTGTTTCTGCGCTAGAATCTCCGACTTTTTGGCCATATCTTGCTCCTTTCTTTCGCCTCAATAGTGAGCTGCTAGATCTGATTCAATTGAATATGGGACTTGGATATGCTCTTGCTCTTGGCAGATATGCTGGGCGAGATAATGACAAAAGGGAAAGTTGAGACCCCTATAAACATAAAGGCAACCACTGCTACCTGAATCTGTGACTCGAACCAGTGATGTTTGCAAGTACTTAAAAAGTATTCATAGCATAAAACTATCGGTGAACTCTCATGGTGGGGCGAATTTCAAATAAGATTTAGCACCCAAATAACCATGTTAGATAGGTCTAATTCAAAGCCTTCACCAAAGTAGGTCAAAGAAAAGAATAGACTAACTAGTTTCTGTGTTGCATATAATTTGCTGGCATGAATGCAGGTGAGAGTGATGACTTACACAGACATTGTTGCATCACCACATGGGGCACAGTTGACAAACATGCTCTTCATGGACAGAGGTAGCAGTGTGATGGAGTTCTTTCCGAAAGGATGGTTGGAGCTCGCAGGCATAGGTCAGTATGCTCATCGCTGGATGGCGGACCAATCCGTAAAGACACATGCAGGTGCGTGGTGGGATACAATTGGCGATGAGTGCCCAGACCCGAAAGACAATCTGCAGTGCTTTTTGTTTCACAAAGATGGCAAGGTCGGTCACAATGCAACCTTCTTTGCAGAATGGGCCAGAAAGGTCCTCCACCAAATGAGGATAAGCAAGCTGGAACAAACGTCCAAAGATTTTCTAGATGAGCCGCGGCTTAACTCAAATCCTTGTATGTGTTAGCTTGCTGTTAATTGCAAGTACATGACGTAAAAGTAGACAAATATGGATGAAGCATTTCTTTCTGTAATAGCACTCCTTAATCCCGATATAAACATTGTTTCATAGATTGGAATTCTTTTTCTGCACGTGTTTAAGTTCTACAAGAAAAATGGAGAAAACAATGAACATATTTTCCAAAGAGATTAATACAACAGTTTCAGTCCATGGGAGAGGCTTTACGGAAAAAAGTTACATATAATTTTGCCTTAAGATCCATTTTGCCTTCATTGGACATATTCTTGGCATGGCTGGACTCCACAGGATTGCTTTTCCTCATCTTCGTGAAAATTTAGACCACATGTAGACCACGAAGAAACATAGTAGTGCAAAAAGAACCACATGCATAACATGGCTTGATCCCTGCTGGATGATACTCTTGTTTAACCTCCTCATGTTGTTCTTCACCCCTGCTTGAGCTTTGATGAGGGTCATTTGCTGAACAGGAAAAGAAGGAAAAAAATTCAGAAAGTGGTCATTTCTTCCCTTAATAGGAAACCACGGGAAAGTATCATAACTGCAATGATAACAAGTTCACATGCCATAGACGAGAAAATATCATGACGCAACTGACAGAATATGATGCCAAATTGTTTATTCATTTATACGTTTAATTAGTTGAAGAGACACTCCATTGTTGCGAAATGCTGTCTTGAGTGAACTCCAGCACTTCCTTTTTTCCCTGCTGCTCTTTTCTTTCTGGCCCTCTACCATGCAACCTGGCGCCAAACGCATCTAGCTTCAGCTGACGCTCCATACAATAAATCTCTTCTGCCGGTAAGCATATATCTATTTTGTCACCCACCTTATGGTAAAACAGATAAGTTGTTTTGTGAAGACATTTATCCTCAAAACAAGACAAAATGGCACTTCTACAATTTTGATTGATTTGATATTATTCACTCATACAGCAGCAATATCAATGAAATTGCAAACTTAATGGAATGAACTTCCTAAAAAAATTCTCACTTTTATGGTTTAACAGTGTAAAGAGTTGAAAGCCAAGTTTCAGGGAGTGAAATAATTCGTCTTAGATCCAGATGTTAGAAAATAATATTACATGCCAACCAAGTTATTCCTTTGATCTCCTATTCATTCTGTCTTCCCACTTTGTAGGCCCATCTTTTAATTTCTTCAGCAGATGCATCACAACTTATAGCTAGACTAACTAAATACTCAGCAATGGTATGTAATAGTGATACCTATACACAACAGGAGGTAATTGCTCCTGAATTAAGGGTTACCGACATCCTAATAGTAAGTGTTCATCAAAGGCTGGTAATCAAAAGAAAAAATTCTCAACCTAAAAGTGTATAATTGCAGGTATACCAGTTGATTGATAAAATCATTCTGAAACTTTGCTTCTGACTCTATCTCTTGAGCTACCTGCAGTTTGAAACAAAAATTCAGAAGGCCGTTAAATTAATAAGGGTTTTTTTGATAACTTCACAAAAAAAAAAATTGGTTTTTTCATAAGTACTAAAATTGAGAAGATTGAAACATGCATAGGCCACCAATTATTCGCAAAACTCAGCTGACCATAATTTCATAAATATTGAGTGATTAATCATAAAAGCTCACAAGGAGATTCCCCGCATTAGTCAAGAATTCAAAGGAATGCCTTCCAAATCAACATTTATAACCCCAAAAATAAAAAAATACCCCTATTTACTCTATCCAAGCAGACAGGAAAGCACCACATCAACATTCATATGAGCAATTGCCTCAACTTTCAGGAACAATACAATGCATGTAAACTGCCACCACTAGTCTCGGAACCTAGTAAGAAAGTCTAAATGAGAGAACACGCCCTGAAATAAAAGACTCCTTTATTCTACGTCAATTAGGTCATAAAACTAGATAATCAATGAGTTTAGCTTCTGAGTCAAATGATAAGTCACATAATAATTCAGATGACCTATTCCAAAACATTTTACTTGCATTAACTTGGAATCCACAATAAGTAAGAACTCTTACTTCAAGTTATTACAACCACTACTCTATCAAATAATGCCGCTGAGAGCTTTTTAAAGCAAATATCAACGGTGTTTTTCAATTGAAGTGTGAAGATTTTCAGCTGATAAAGGGCCTTTTTAGCAAAATTTTCAAAATTTCTTTCTTATTTATACTTAATTTTTAAATGTGTTCTCCTAAAATGGCAATAATGAATGGAAAAAGAGAAATATCATTATGATGTTCCAAAATTGGTCTTTTTTGACTCGGTTATTAAAAAAGGGGTTTCAGTAACAAGCAAGGGGTCATTGCCTGATGCAAATGCAATAACAAAATGTTCTTGCACAGTAGGAAAACCCAAATTTAAATGTGAGAGCACCACTTTATAAGAAAATGCTAAATACTATGTTTTTACTGAATTTACCCCTTCCATAAACCAGCGTATGCAAGGCCAATACTTGGTAAATTCCTTTTCACCTTTGAGAACATGAAACCAATCAAAAACTTGATCGATACACCATACTCCCCTCACTTATATCAACACCAAACAACATAAAGATGACCTCCAGAAAAGAGCCACCTGTTAAATATTTTACAAACCATAGTTATTTTCAACTGCATAAGCTAAACCTTCAGGCCCTTCAAAAATCTCTCCAAAACCCAACTCCACAACATTCCCTAATATCCTCATATCACAAATCCACTGTCCACACGCATTTGCAATCTATCTTTATCCTTGATAAGTCACTGACACAGTTTTTGCATTAGGGTATGATAATTGATCACTAGAACCCAATCCCTTGATCTCCGACTTCCATGATTCTAGACATGGAGTACAAATAAAAATACAATCCTTCAACCCACCACCAATCTGTCTCACACCCTATCTGAAACTCCAAATGACAAACTTAGTTCTCCAAGATACCAGGTATTAGAAAGTTAAAGACCAAAATAAGCTAAAAAATCAGACAGTTATATTTGCAAGTTGTGTAAAATCTTCCACCCACCACAGTGTATATGCACTAACATCAGACACAAAAATCAAATAAATAAAATAATTATGCAGTAAAAAAATCTATTGAATTTGTTTTAAGTTCATAGAAGAATTGGCCATAAAAGATATACATCGTCTATTTGTTAGGACTAGAAGTAGTTCTGTTGTCCTGTACTAGCAGAAAAAAACTTTCTCAACCATGAAACATTGGCGCAGATTATAGTGATTAAACAATTAAAATGTGCACATAAGACTGTAATTCCATTCAATCAATGATCCAGATTAATGCTTAAGTTAACAATAAAAATTTTCTAAATTGCAGAAGAATTCAGCATAGGGCACCATAAAAATAAAAATTCACCCAACCCTAGCAAAAATCTACACCATATTTTCCCAAATTCTATCCAAACTTGAATGGAGAAATCAAGATTAAACCTAAAATTTGAAATAACCTTACATTCCTGAGCTGCCTAACTTGCTTCCGGAGACCAGTGATCTCGTCATCCAAGTCCCCATGCATCGGATCAATCCGCAGTTGAATTTCATCAGAACCAGCCGCTGGTCTCGTACTAAGCCCTTCTCTGTACAAACATAAAACCAAGTTTCAAACCCTCCGCTTAATCAATGAGAATCGCGATTTAAAAAACCAAACCTAGGTTAATTTTAAATGTTTGTGTCACAACTCTAATTTTTTTCTTTTCACGTTCAGATTCTTGAGGATAAACCTAAAAAAAAACAGGAATTCTGTCAAGGATATCATCATGATTGATGGCATACCTCGATCTGTACGGAGCAGCACCGTAGAAGTCACCGCCTCGGAGGGAATTGGACGCCATTTACCAGAATTTTCTACGATCAAGCTGCAAATTGAATAATAGAAGAGAAAACAGAGACCCTAGAATGAAGATCTGTGTTGAATTGTGGGAATTCGACCCTCTACTGTGCAAAGTATTGAGATCGTTGGCGGTGGTAAATGTAAATAGGTTCTCCGAGATTTGAAATTCTTTGTAAAGAGGTGGCCGTGTTGGCGTTACGTCGAATGGGTGACGTTGTTAGGAGACGGGCGACTTTTCCACTGTTGTGGGTTGACAAAGAGACGGTTGCAAAGATGCTGTTGTTTTGGAAAGGTAACGGCCGGTAACTGAAGGGGCTGGGCTGGCGAGACAAGTGGCACTTATTTATTGGATGTGTACGTCTGTCAGGACCAATCATAGTATGCCATATAAACGACTTTGCAGCTCTTTTCAACTGGAGTCCATGCTCCGGACTTCTTTTGGATCTTAATTTGGGTAAAAATAACTCAAAATCTTTCTCTAATAGTAAAGTCATATCCGTATTAAATGAAGAAAAAATTATTCTAAACTCAAATAAAAAGAAAATCAATTATCATTCCTTTTATTTCACCGATCATAAATTCTCATATGCCTCCAGACTGACTAAGTCTGTCTCACTTCGTTTTTTTATCCAAACTCTTAAGGGCTCTTTGATATGTTTTTTGAGAGGAGTTTGGATTGATTTGTCTAAATCCTTTCAAACCCAAAAATGAGATTCAAAGATGAAATTCAAGATTTAATGTTGTCAATACCAATATTTGGTACGTGCAGTGATATACGACTATTATGATAATATATTTGTATATAAAAGATTATTTTGTCTCTTAACCAATTTAATCTAAACTCATATTTATTTATGTACATTTATTTGTGTTCTTATGGGTTAAATATCTAATTAATTTTTTTTTCCTGAAAAAAACTATGAATGTTGATAAAATATGCGATAAAGTTGTTTTTTTTAAATGACAAAGCATAATGATGCCCCAAAAATGGGATCATGCTCTGTCTTGCATTCACAAAAGTCAAATGCTTGCGCTAATAAACCAACAAGTGCTAGTATATTCGGATCTGTATAGGGTAGACAAGAAATGGGTTTAAGGGGTACAAATGTAATCTTCAATTTCAAACCAGTTTGGCCCCTTCGAAACCCACACCACCCCTGTGATTGATGAAACCTACTTTCATGAGTTTAAGAAGCAGGCTAGGTCCGGGCCACGACTTTAGTCCAACTTTCAATTTTTGCATCCAAACAAGGGTTTGGGTGAGGGATTGAACTATTTTTTTGAACTTACTTTTTATAACCCGCCCAAACCCTTGTAACAAACAGCCCCTAAGAGGTGTCGGTCCCACTTCATCTTCTACCCAAGCTCTCAACAGTCACTAGTCCCTTCCTTTAGATCAACTCTTTCTCTCTCTTCACCTTTCACTGGTTACTTCTTTTTTACCCTCTATACACACACATATTTGTATTCGATGGAATGGAAAATTCTATTATTTTTATATGGGTTTCATTGATTTGCTTTGTTTATTGAATTCGGTACCATGACATAGTTTCATTGTTCATTTTGTTCTTCAAATAATATTCCATTCTTTCCTTATTTTAGGCGCTTTCAAGTGAAAATTTATTGGTATAGGCGGAGAGTTAAAAGAGATTGTCGCACGTATTTATGTTAAAGATAATCAAATGGAATGAATATGATAAGTGGATGGGATATAAGAAATTCGAATAGTCTATTAATGAAGAGACCAATCAGTTGGGTAAAGGGTAGGTGAAATGAAATTACTCTCACTAGCCAAGTCAAAATCTCCGCCTTCGTAGTGGGCAAGTAATGTAGGTCTTTATAACATAGTGCCCGGGTCGAACAGCCCGTCGATCCTCTATCACTCGCATCGTCAACTCATAATTGCCTCAAGTGTAGTGATACCAATGGCTCGTGGACGTATTCCAACATTAATTAGGTAGATGTGATATTTTTCCAAACATAACTTGAACGCCAGTCTAGGGAGGGTATAACAACCAAGGTGAAATGGGGATTCTAAGGTTAATAACCACGACTGGTCATTGTAGGACCATGACCTCAAGATGGTCATGTCCACAATGTCCCCCAGCGCGCTTCTACCTAGGCTCTCTATTCAATGTCTAAACCCTTCCTTGAGACTTTTATCAAGTTGTCCGATAGAGACAACTCACATAATTTCGGTCTTTCAATCATCAAATAACATGTGTCATTATTTCATATGTTGATCCGGACCAATAACTCTAGTTACCTTAGGAGTCTTTCCAGATTCTGTTCAAGCACATCTCAATGGGTAGTGAGTCATACATTGGGAGACCTACTCTATCAAACTAAACTTTCGAGACCCTACTCTAAGCCGAGGTTGAAAATCATACTCATCCGCCCCTCATTGCTCAGTCTCCCTTAAGGAGGGTCATATTGCCCTGTCCCTAGGTGCAGACCATTCCTTTTAATCCAATGTGCCAGTCAAGCAACAGTACCTCATAGTTTGAGAATACCACTCTTGTAGTGAAGGAAACAAGTCCCGTCAAGGTTGCCCCTAGACTTCTACAGTTCCATTATTGTCCAAACTTGGTGAAGGGTTTATTTTGCCACTATCAATGTGATGAGAATGTGTTTTGCCTTGTTGTAGTGTTGCATCGGGGGGGGGCGTCGCACATGGGGTGTCATGTCGGAGGGCTTTGCACCTTGATTGTCATGCTTGGGGCGTCACACATAGGGTGTCGTGTTTAGGGGTATCGCACCTTGCATTGTTATCCATATCAGTCTAGTTGGACCCTATCAGACCCCACTTCTACATCAACTAATAATTGCTACCGCTTATCCTATTATAGTGTAAACACGTGTCTTGAATTTATCGAGTACTACAATGAAAAATGAGTTTTGAAAATTTGTAGAATGTGTTTCGAAATTTTTGGTGTAGGTAAAAAAGAACTACAATGTGTAATGAGCTAAAATGTGGAATGGGTTCTGTTGATTGCTTATGGATTGAATTGTGTTATGTTCTTTGAAATTGTGTTCTGTTATTTGAAATGTGTAATGGGATAAAAGAACAATATCCTATTCTTTGCTTATTGATGGAATTGTGTTCTTGGTATCTTTAACACAAGGCAGTATTTTATATTTGGTTTATTGAATTTATTGTTATATATTTGTGTTGGTTATATTGTTGAGGGGAAAAGAGGTTTTTGGGGGAAAGAAGAAGAGAAAAAAGAGTAAAAAAATTTTGGAGGCAAAAATGAAAAAAAAAAAAAAAAAATCTTGGTATAAGATGAAAATTTTTAAAAAAGATTTGAGTTTTAAAAAGATTTTTTTTTATAGAGAGATGTATACCAATCAAATTTTTTACTCAAATTTATGTAAGAATATGAGTCTCCATTAGAGATAGTCATTGACTCAAATTTTTACTCAAATTTAAGTCAACATTTGAGTAAAAAGTTTTATTTGATACAAAACACTTGAATGGAGAAATTCAAAGTTAAAAGGGAATAAATTCAAATTTAAATGAGGATAAAATATAACTATTAGATCTTTAAAAAAAATGAAATCTAACTATCGATGATTTGAGAAAAATTTTGAGTCTCCGTTAAATTGAATCTCCTTTGATTTGATGAGTTTGAGTCTAGAATTGTAGAAGATTTTTAAGAATTTTTTATTCAAATTTTAAATTTAAATTTAAAAAAGAATAAAGACAAAAAATGCTCTCAAAATACGAACTACCCCATGTCAAACACCATGTGAAATAGGGCTTCTCAATCAACTTGAAACTCTTGTGAGTTGTGTTCATCCTTTTTTAATAAACACACACAAAATGATACATACATATTTTGAACATATTTTACGTAACATTATTGTGAAAGTTAAAACCTTTTTTGGAGTTTGGGTCTCAATATTCATTGACATTCATTATCAATTCTATGATTGTGCTGGATTATTGTCAACAAATTATATTAATAATAAATTAAGTTAAAATGATAATATTATTTTTATTATATACACAAGTAAGTCACTATGATATTCATAATTAATTATTACGATTTCTAAATAATAAGAGTGTAGTGGAGGGCAAAGTAACTACAAAAGGGTAAAGAAAAATTGAATAAAAAATACAATAAAACTCTGAAGGAGAGATAAAAGAAATCAAGTCTTGATTTTCAATAATATTTTGAATTTAATTTATTAACATAATTTATCGATGGGACTCATTATTATTGTGATCACATTAAATATTAAAACTCATTATTATTTCAATAATAACAACAAATTAAACTAATAAACTAAATCAATAATTAATCCCACATGCCTTTTTTTTATTTTTTATTGACGGCTTAGGAATTCCACCAGACGTCACCGTCCTCGCCTATGTTTAATGTTCTATTTTCGTCAACGAGCGACGCGCATTGAAGCCGGACCTTCCACCTACGTTCATTACAGAGACAAAATCAGACGCGACATTTTTCGCATCGATAAATGTAAGGAAGGGAACCAGCTCTCCCAATTCCAATATTAGTGGTGCTGCAAAACAGAGATTTTTCCAGAGAGAGAGAGTAAACGGCGAAGATGGGAAGCGAAGGACAGATTGAGAGAAAACCCAGATTTCTTTGCCTTCATGGGTTCAGAACCAGCGGCGAAATTCTCAAGAAACAGGTCGTCGGAAAGTGGCCGGAATCGGTGCTTGAAAAGATCGATCTAGTTTTTGTTGATGCCCCTTTTCCGTGCCAAGGCAAATCTGATGTTGAAGGAATCTTTGATCCTCCCTATTATGAATGGTTCCAATTCAACAAGGTCAGTCAAACATTCGTGAATGTTGCATGAGAGAGAGAGGAGCGAGATCCTTCCAATATATTTTTTCTCTTCAATTCTCTTCGTGGTCAATCCTCCACTATAATGTACATATGGGTAACTGAGTCTTTAATTTATTAATAATGGAGGATCCGTCAAGAAGAAAATTAAAAAAAAAAATTGTATCGGAGGGAAATTTAGATCGATTTTCTGTGTAGACTTAAGTGTTAGAAAGCTGGTTGAGTTCTTATTTTGTTTTTCGTTTGAAATTTTCAGGAGTTCACAGAATACATCAACTTTGATGAGTGCCTGGCATATATTGAAGATTGCATGATAAAACATGGACCATTTGATGGTCTTCTTGGTTTTTCTCAGGTACTTGTTTTTTTTAATAAAAAAAATTTAATGTTCTTATATTTAATATTAAAATATTTCTTGATGTGCTCATGAACAATACAGGGTGCCATTTTATCGGCTGCATTACCGGGGTTGCAGGCCAAGGTATGCAGTTTGTTTTATACATTAATTGATTAGAAAATGATTCAATATTTGAATGGTTGTTGTTGTTGTGGTGGTGGTGGTGGTGGTGGTGGGTGTGTTTTATTTTGCAGGGTGTGGCTCTGGCAAAGGTACCGAGGATAAATTTTCTAATAATAATTGGAGGGGCCAAGCTTAAAAATGCATCACTGGCTGAGAAGGCCTATTCTTCTCTGGTTGACTGCCCCTCTGTCCACTTCTTAGGTAACTCCGTTTGTCATCTTCTTTTATATAATTGCTGTGGAATATGCTTTTCCTTTTCTTTTTTTTAGTTCAGAAATGTTCGGGTTAACTTACGTGTAACTTGACTAATTTTTTTTCTGGTCCGATTGAATCTCTCGTGACCTAATTTCAAATGATTGTCAAATTTCGAATTCAGAACGTTTCTGTTACTATTTGAATTATTCTTAAAATTGAATATACTTTTCTTTGTTACCGAAGAATTAATGGTCAGATTCAGATAGTCTAAAAAAAAAAAACTAAGTGGTCCAGTGATCAATTCTAGAAAAATGTTATAGGGAGAAGATTTTATATACGAAAAACATAATTTAATTTTTTTCAATATTCTATAAAAACAATTTCGTTATGACACTACGAAGTTAAGTTATTATGATTTAGTGAGATCAAAGTAACTGATTAATGAGCTCCAAAATAAAAAAAAAACTGATCCTAAATTACTTTGAATTGATCCTAAGCTTGTACCATTCCATTAAATCATAACTTGTCATGTTTAAATAGTAATTTTTGGTACGATGCTAAGAAATTATTGATAATTAGTTATGGCGGGAGCAGACATTCGAGGTTGTAATGCCTCTCATTTTTTTTAACATAGATATTTTCTATGAATAAAACATCTAATATAACGCTTAATATAGCTACATTAAATTTTGACTGGATTTGATTCACAACAATGAATTTTTTTTAACAAAGCATTGTGTTTGCAGGAGAGACGGATTTCCTAAAGCAATATGGGGTTGAACTCTTGGAATCATTTGTAGACCCTGTGGTGATTCATCATCCTAAGGGCCACACAATACCCAGATTTGGTAAATTTCTGAACCACTTTACACTTCCTTAATCTCTTTCTATATTTAACCTTGTTTGTTTTGTGCGGCGGCTAATTAACACAAATATAATAAATTTAAAAAAAATACAAATTTATGATGAGAAAAACAATAAAATAAAATACAAAAATATAGCGTGGTTTGATACAAGATTCCCACTTCGATACCCGTATCTACATCTACAACCCTGTCAAAAAGTTACATTGGTGTATTATGCACCGGAAATCTAGTAATTAATCATGTGATACTCAACTTTTTTTATATGAATACATATTGTCAGGCAAACCTAGGGATGACAATGGATCGGGTGAGAATGGGGAGAATAGTCTTTACCCTTGTACCCATTTCAAAAATATTCGTCTACTCCTGTTAGTAGGAGAAATTTTAATCGTCGTCCTCACCTCGCAAATAAATTTTGATCCCCGTCTCCCACCATTATCCCTGTCTATAACAATTATTTTTAGTGCTTCTAAGAAAAAAATTAAAAAAAAAATCATAAAACTTCACAATTGAATCTGCTAGAAGGATGAAATCACATTATTATAACAAATGAATCAAATGATAAAAGAAAGTAGAGTGTTTTTTTTTAATTTGTTTATAAAGAGAAGAGCGTGTGGGTGAGTAGGGTTTATATATATCACGGGCTTAATAGGGCAGAGACGGGACAATGATGAGTTTCAGTCCATCCCCATACGGGTTTATACGGATATTTTCGTATACGTCTATCGTCCAATATGTATAGTATATCCTTGTTTTAAACGGGACAGATTTAGATGAATATTAATTTTTTTCCAGTCTACTACTATCTCTACTCAAACCAAAATATAACTTGACATCTATGTTTTTTATCAAATATTTAATATATTTATTTACAACATATTAAAACTCTTCTAATTTATTTCCTATTCGATGTATATCTTATATATGGATTATAATGCATAATCATTCTCCTTTACTTCCAGATGAGAAGGGTTTGCAGTTAATGCTGAGCTTTGTTGAAAGGATACAAAAGGTAGTTGACCCGAAAGGAGGAGGAGAAATATTCTCTGAAAAAGCTCTTTAAAATGATTAAAAAGAAGAATTTCGTTGAATTTTCACATCCCTCTATTATTTGGCTACATACATTTCAAATAATGTGGTTTTTTTTTTTTTTAAAATTAATGGATACTTGATAATTTTTTAGAATTCTTGTTGAAGTTGTATTTTACTTCTACCCAAATAAAATAAAAGAATTGTCGACAGTATGTTGTTTAGGGCAAATGATATATATACACATAAATCAATATTAAATATCGCTATGAAATGAAAAATATTCATTGGCCAGAGTCATATATTGCAAGTTCGAATCAAAAAAATATCATCAAAGATATATACAAAAAAAAAAATGTGATTCTGTCGAACTCGAGGTACGTCTGTGCATCATTGACCTATGTTTGCTATAACCTACCGAAAACAAGCTTAAACAGTTAGATTTGATTCCAAAATCCAAGCTCAAAACCCCTTCCACTCACATCATTTCCATCGACGTTTGATAACAATTTTTTAAGTAACAAGATGATTGTGGCAGTGGTCCTTGAATTATGTGTTTCATCTCACTTTGGTATCTAACATTACAATTGTATTACATTAATCACTGATGTATTCAGTTTATTTTTAAGTGATTCTCGTGTATGACACAATCAAGATTTTTATCCGTTTTTGTTCATGTGCTCCAAAATGAAGGATATATTGGACAAATTATTGTATACTTGACACAAAAATTGTGATAGTGATCCCCAAAATATGTGTCCTATCTCATGTTAGTCTCCTAACATTACAATAATATCACATTGGTTCTTGAGTTATTCAATTTATTTATGAGTGGTCCTCGAGCATGTGCTGCCGAGATTTTTAATGATTTTTGTCTATATGATATCCACGAGCCCCAAATGAAGGGTGTTTTAATTTTAATATTGTAAACTTAAGCGCAAGTTGAGCGAAATAATAAATTTCTCGGGAGTCCGAGGTCGAACCACAGAGAATTGAGAAAAACTAACAACACAAAGAAAAATAAAAGAAAATTATTTTGAAAAAATATTGTTGTAAATATTTTGAAATTTGGTTTTAAAAAAATAATTGAAAATACTAGAGCATCAGGTACTCACTCTCAATTCTGTACAATAGTGATTAAAAACTCAAATCTTAACTCGAGACAAGAATCAAATATCGGTTGATTCGAGTAACAAATCAAGTAAGAAAACCAAAAGTTATAATCAAAAGATTATTCAGGAACTTGAATAATCATCCAATTATATTATTTTATGAATTAATGATAATTATCTCAAGCGTGGTGGAATAACTAGTTATTTACTCGTAGGGAAATTCAAGCAATCGATGTACATGACACAACGACTCAAGAATTTTTACAGAGTAAAAACTTTGCTATAAGATTAGAAGTTAAATTAATAAAATATCATAAATCATTAAACTCAAAATCAATAACATTATCGTACTTCATTGAGAGGTTCTCTTCTAGCCCTAGTTTTGCCTTCAAGCCAGATATGACAAACTAAAATAAAAATAAAAATATGGGGAAAAAAAATAATTTTAATCCTAATTTATAGTAAAATAAATCCTAGCAATAGGTAGGAGATCTAAGGTTAGCTTGTAAGGAATTCTTTTCCAAAAAGAAGTCTTGTAAGGTTAAATCCCGTGCATAAAATATTTGGGGCACAGATACAAAATCTGTCCAGACTTCGAGTTTGAATTTCGCATATTTAGAGGTTAAATCGCGAAAATTTCGTGAAATACACTTTTGTAACCCTTGAAGTCTTCTTTCCAACCCCAAAACTCAAGTAAATCGGATATCAGAGTCAAAATTTATGACCAAAATACTAAAGATGTGTCAAATCCTTATCTTCTAGAATACTTTCCTAATCCAACTTTAAATGAGTTTTCTTTCAACTTGGACTCTTATAAGAATTAAATTGTTGTCATATCTTTAAGTCTTCCTATTTCAATATTGACTATTCAATCCTTATCGATTGTGATTTTTCCTCTAAAGATTGTTTCACTTGCATTATCCATTATTACTTTAAATCAACTAATTTACCTGCAAAATAAACCAAACAACTAAAAAAAATATCAAACTAGAAAATCAAAGAATTTAACATATTTAATCACAAATAATATACAATTAATCAATTATTAAATATAAAAAAACAATAATTTTGATGGTTAATCAAATAACATATTGGACAATTGACTATCTATTCAACCCAAAAAAAAAATGCTATTCCTGGAGAGAGATATTCTTGCATAGGGCTAACTGTCTACTGCCTTAGAATTATGTTATTCTCTCATTTCAGTTGTAGATGATGAATTATAAGAAGGTAATAACAGTACAAAAAATGGGTCATTCTACATCTATCTTGTATTGACTCGAGAGAATAAATGTCCCCTTCTTGTGATTTTCCATATGCATCTAATAGGAGGAAATAACATAAATCCAAGTTAGTTGGTCCATGGCGGAAATATTTTTCTCCAAAAATAACAATTTTTTTGGGTCGAAGAGTGATTTGTCCAATGTACTCTTCGTCTGTGAGCATGAGGGTAGAAATTAGGGGTGCAATTTGGACGAGTCAATCCGAATTCAACCGGAGCTCAACCCGAAAAAAAAAGGTTTAGGTTAGAATTTTTAATATTTGGATTGGACTTGGGCAAAAAAATTTCAACCCAAATTGAATTTGGGCAAGCCTCAGGTTGAGGTCTTTAGTTGTCGGGTTCAACTCAAATATTAAAATTGGGTTGAACGTGAATATACATAAATATATTTAAATAGCGTTAGTATTTATCTTCACTCTTTAAAGTCCAGACTTTCATTTCATTTAAAGTCTTCATTATTGCGCCTCTATACTCTCAGATCCCTCTCTTACTCGTCACTCTTCCCTCTCTCACTCGTCACTTCTCCTTCCCTCACTCCTTTTCTCTGTATTTACGCTTCGCCTTTCATCCCAGATTACTTGAAAAAATCATATCTACACTTGAAAAAATCAAATTTATACTTCAAAAAATCAACTCGAATTAAGTAACATAAGCACAACCCGATTTTTAACTCGAAATCAGTCCGAATTAAATAACTCGAATTCATCCTGAGCCCGCCTGAATTAAACTTGGACAGTACTCGGATTGAAGTAAGGTTAGAGTCATGATTAAAGACTATATACCTATGATTGAACTAGAATTGACATCTCAACCCGTTCAACCCATCCGAATTATACTCCTAGTAAAAACCCTCAAGAATCTAGACTGTATCAGACAAGGGGACCACTTAAAAATAAATTGAATATATCAAGGACTAATGTGTTATAATTGGAACGCTGAGGGACTAAAATGAGACATAATGCATACTTTGGAGATCACCGTCTAATTTTTTGGGTCAATTGAAAAGTAATTTGTTCAATATACCCTTCATTTCGGAGCAAGTGGGTAAAACATGAGCAAAAGTTATTAAAAATCTACTCTGACGTTATGCCTGGGGATACTTAAAAACAAATTGAATGCATCAATGACTAATGTGATAGAATTATAACATTGAGAAACAAAATAAAATAGAATGCATACTTTGAGAACCACAGTCACAATTAACCTTAAGAGTAGATTCTTTAAAAAAATATTTTTTATTTTTATTTTGGAATGGTGATATACATGTAATTTAATAAATAAGTAATATACTTACCCATTATTGTACATATAATTAAATTTAGAGGAAAAGAGTAAGTTCTCGATATAAAAAGAAACGAAATTAAAAAAGTATTTAAAAAGGAAAAAAAGTATAAGGAAAAAAAGTCTGGTATTTGTTTCCTCAAAGAAGGATAAATAGCATAGATCACCCTCTAATTATGCTTCAATTTTAAAATGTCCCTCACCTTCTAGTCTTTAAACTTTCGACCCTCTAATTAGCCTATATATAAATAGGACACCCACCTCAGCATAGTCCTTCGCAGTTTTGAACCAATTTAAGCTCCACTCCCCTAGGTGGATTTAACTAACTTAAAGGGTAAATTATCCTTTATTTTTTTGAATTATTACTCGTATTTTATTTTGCAACTTCAATTATAAAATTTTCACATTATATCTTAAAGTATCAATTTTATTTCATATCACTCTAATTGATAACGAATATCAATTTTTTTATGGCAAATGCTTATGTGAGTGGTTTTTACAGTATCTCTTTTGATCTTTTGGGCTTTATGAAATGAGAGGTGCAGGAGGAGATATGAGGGAGTTTTTTTTAAATTCTTATACTGTCTATATGCAGGTGGTACATGCTCTGAGACTGCAAGCTATTATGTTGAATCCCAGGAGAGCGGATGATGGTATGGGCAAGGACATGTTAGTGGATTTGAGAATTGGGTCATTGTTTTATGTGGAGAATAGAGTGAGATGGCTCAAGTGGGAACCTCCTCCTGTGGGATTAATGAAGTTAAATGTTGATGGTGCTTCCAAAGGGATGACTGGTTTGTCTGGAGGTGGAATAGTTTTAAGGGATCCGAAAGGTCAGGTGGTATTGGCTGCTGCTATGTTTTATGGATTAGGATCCAATATGAAGGCTAAATGTTTAGCTTAATTGGATGGCTTAATTTGATTATGCAGTATGGGTTGCAGGATCCAATAAATGTTTAGCTTTATTGGTGTTGGGCAAGGTAGAAGTGCCATGGAGATTGAGGTGTGTTTTGGAGAAGATTGGAGGTTTGTTTGGTCGAATGAGTGTACAGATCAAGCATGTATACAGGGAAGTGAATGGGGTAGCTAATTACTTGGCATCTGTTGCAGTGTAGACTGGGTGATCCTCTGATTTTTCTACTCCTGGTGTCTTACCACTTGCTAGAAGGATGGTGCTGCAATGGGACCAAAGCATGCTGCCAAGTGCAAAGATGAGAAAGGTTGTTATTAGAGGTACATTGCCTTTGTAATGACCTACTGTCTGGGCATGATGTTTACTACTTTTGTTGTCAGTGGAGTACTGTCAGCAGCTGAATGAGTGCTTTTATAGCAGGACCAGTCCAAGATACATACTGCAAAGATCAGGCAGACTGTGATCTGTGATCAGAGAGCATGGGGCTGATTCTGCATTGTTTTTGAAGACTGGGCAACTGGTCCGTGGTAGATAGATATATGGCTTAAGTCCTTTTGAAGGATTAAAGCCAACTCTTTGTATCTAGAATGTTTTGATTGCTTTGATTCTTGTAATTCATTGATTAATGGAATAAAAATTTTCTTTTCTTAAAAAAAAAAAAAAGTGGTTTGTACTGCCAATAAACAACAGTCTATTGCACACGTGCAGGTCAAAAATCAAGAAAAATACCTATTCATAACTTTGTCTTTCCTAAGCTATAAATTTTTTTCCTCCAACCGACTTTTTTTTTCCGACAATTATTTGGTTGCAAAAAAAGGTAAATAAAGTGATACTAGGCACTTGGTGGAAAATTCTTTGGAGTTTTCTTCTCTCCTTTGAAAGATTTTTAAGTTTTTGGTTGTCTATTGGAATGATATGAAACAAAATTAATACTATAAGGTATAATAAGAAAAATTTTATAATTAAGGGTATAAAGTAAAATAAGGGTAATAATTCAGGGGAAAGTGTAATTTACTCTAACTAAAACTCGTATGAACTTCTAATTACAACGTACAAAGACAGGCCCCACTCCTTATACTTCCGTCCGCTAGCTGTTGGGCAACAGAAACTTCCGTCCCCACAAATCTTTCTTTGTCTCCACGCAATAGACTTCCCGTTTTTCTTTTCTCTCATGGCTGCGCCTGGGTCGTTCACGTATCCAGATGGAAATTCTAACTTCACTTTTTCTCTACACACAGACAAACCAACCCACCCGCACACAACTATACATATATATTGTGGTTTTAGGTTGTGTTGTCCTATATCGAATTCAGCAATTGGTGAGTTCAGTTCAGTTCAGACTTCAGAGCTATATCTAAGTGAGAGAAATGGCCAATAGAATGGTTTCGTCAGTTCAGAGCTTGGGAAATTCGGACTCAATTACTTACATATCGCAGCGAGAGGCGGCCGAGATTGATGAGGCCCTCATGGGTCCTCTTGGGTTCAGCGTCGATCAATTAATGGTCAGTGTTTAGTTTTCTTATTCAAGCTTCAATCTGCTATGTTAATTGGACTTATTTTCAATTGAGTTACTATGAGAGTGCTCTGTATGCTTGTGTTTGCAGGAATCAGCTGGTTTAAGCGTTGCTTCCGCAATTGCTGAGGTTAGTGTTCGGGATTGATTTTTGTTTAGTTTTTGCATAGCTTTCGTCTTCGTCTATTTGGAGTGAGTTTTTAAAGAACATGTTCTTGCGATATCTTGGTCAGGGATTAGTTGCTGAAATTCCTTCGAATTGGTTGTTATGATGTTGTGTTTGGCAGCAGCAGCATGGAATTGAAGTCTTGGAATTGGAATCAGGGGAAATGTAGCTCAAAGCTGATCTAATTCGCCCCCAAATTCCATTTTCAGGGCCTGAATTCAAGCTCCCAAACACATTGTGAGTTCTTTTATGCGGCACTTGAATTTGGTTGTTGTTAACATGAAATTTGACATGAACACGAATAAAAATGGCATTTCTCATGGTTATTTTAGTGCATTTTGTTTGAAATATTCTCATTAAAGAGCATATATCATAACTAGGTTGTGAAAATAGTGTAATAATGGTGGTCAATGCAAGAAGGAAAAGAAATGATATTGTCCGCATAATATGCTATATAGATTGTTGGTCATTGGTGATTGTATGGGTGTCCAATACCATGGCAAGGATCTAGACAACTTTCTGCCTTCTGGCATGTTTACCAGCCTTATTTTAGTTCTATGTTGCTTCAATGTACATCTATTTGCAGGTCTACAAATCAAGCGACTATAGTCACGTACTTGTCATTTGTGGTCCAGGAAACAACGGTGGTGATGGCCTTGTAGCTGCTCGTCATCTATGCCACTTTGGATACAAACCCTCTATTTGTTATCCAAAGCGTACTCCTAAGCCTCTTTATTCTGGTTTGTTGATTCAGGTATAGGGATGGGTCTTGAGTCAAAATATTTATGAAGAGTAATGTATTTGTTTTGTCAGAAGTGTTTATTTGTGCAGTAATTTTGTAGGTGGAATCACTGGCAGTTCCTCTCCTTTCAGTGGAAGATCTGCCTGTGGACTTATCTAATGAGTTTGACATTCTAGTTGATGCAATGTTTGGATTCTCATTCCATGGTAATATCTCCTCTCAGTTTCAGGGAAGATTTGCTTTTATTTTTCATTCTCCTAATCTCCGGTAAAGAAGTTTGAAAAAGAACTCAAGAAGTATGAAGTGAAACTCTAATAATTTAAGTGATCTTGATACATGTGTCCCTAGATGTATTTATAGTTAGTTTCCACATCTTTTGTGCCCGTATGAATATTCAGTGATAGCCTCATTTTTCTACTGCTGTGTAACGGTCCGTTGAAGCCGATTCATATATATCATCATTTTTAGCTCTCTATTTTTTCTCGTGGCCATTTCTCTTGGTCTTCTCTTCAGTTCATGCTCTTTTTGTTAATATCATCTAATCTAGATTGTACAACTCCAGACTGCCTCAATGAATTTTTACCAGAACCGTATATTGGGGCTCCTTGCTGTATCTACATGCATCACATAGTCCTAGAATGATTATTCCTAGTTTTGCCATGAATTCGTCAGCGTCTTGTCTTTACTAAGCATGTATTCCGTATTCTCAATTGAACTACATCTCAAGAAGAATTTGACATTTTCTATCAAATCCTTATGAAATTTGCATGTCTTCGGTAGCAACATATACGAGGGAAGGTGTTGCAAATTGGAAAAAAAAAAACGTAATTTATTTTCAGCATCATATTTCTCCAGATACTGGAAGCCAACTCAATATTCTAATGTAGAAAGTCATTTCATAGAAATTGTAGCTTCTTTAACAAGTAATTCTATCTCCAAAATCAATCAACTTCCAAGGTGCAAAGCAAAGTATTTTTGTGGTGCATCAGTTTTCATTCTTAATGCTAAAAGCAATGACAGGAGTTTATCCAGAAATGAAGTAATATGTAGAAACAAAGTTGCATTCAACATGAGTGTCCTCATGTAATCCTTTATATTATCTGTGTAATTTTATGCAATCGTTCAGGAACTCCAAGACCACCTTTTGATGATCTGATTCAAAGACTGGCTTCTCTGCAAAATGGGGATCAAACTCCACAGACATCACCTTTCATCGTATCGATAGATATACCATCTGGGTGGCATGTTGATGAAGGAGATATCAATGGTGCAGGCATTAAACCTGACATACTGGTGGGTTTTTGATGAGATTTTTTGTGTTTTAATATTGAGCATTTTGGGATAAAGACTTCAATTTGGCATGTTTCAGTAAAGTTGTACTTTCCCCACATTGAGTGTATCATCTGATAAGTGCAGAATTGAAACATTTTAGGTTTCTTTAACTGCTCCTAAGCTCTGTGCCGAGAAGTTTTGTGGTCCACACCACTTTCTAGGGGTGAGATTCATTCCACCATCTATTCTAGATAAATATAAGCTGCGACTGCCAGCATATCCTGGTACTTCTACGTGTGTTCGAATTGGTAAGGCTCCAAAAATTGACATATCAGCTCTAAAGAACAACTTTACTGCTCCTGAGATTCTCGAGGACTACCAGGTGGAGCCTAACCCCTTTGATCAGGTATTGCTTGTGTTCAACAGAATGATTGGTCCTTGGTCTAACTTATGATTGCCTTGCCTGATACTTCTCCGAATTCATGTGTTGCTAAAATTTGCCAGTATTATTTGAGAATTTATGTGTTAGGTATTACTTTGCCATTAGTTAATTTTAAAACCTCTCTTTATTAGAATAAAAGCATTTATTCTTTTTACAGTTCCAAAACTGGTTCGATGAGGCGGTTGCTGCCGGCTTGAAGTTGCCAAATGCCGTGGCTTTGTCAACTGCTGGCAAACATGGGAAACCGTATGTTTCTTCCATTTTGCTAGTTTTATTCATTTTTCATAGTAATTTTTGTAGATATTTTTGGATGACTGAGGTACCCATTTACACACAACCTTTAAAGTTTCAATTTTTGCTTTTCCTTTTATTTTTTAAATTAAACCTGTCCACTTTAGTTTTTTTTTTTTTTTTTTTTCACAATTGGAGTCATAATAGAGATTTAGCTTTTAAATAATCATTTTTTTCATAAATAATCAATCAAAATGTAAAAATATCATTAATACTCAAGTGAAGAAAGTAATTAGATTTTTTTGCAGCCAAGAAAATAAATATTTATTATTTTTAATAAAAAAATTAAATTAAAATTTTTAAATATTTTTTTTACATAATTAATAAATTAAAACCCGGCGTTGGTGTCGACATGCCATGACTTCTCTCCCAACATCTACCCGATTGGGGGTGGGAGAAGGAAATGCATATCGATGTGTCATGCAAGTGCATGCAATGTGTCAGGAGAGCACTTTAGTTGAATATCCAACACGGAGTGTTAAAAAATTTCACATATATGCTGAGTTTTTCCAAAAAAAAGGCATTAATGACTGTAATTTTTGTCATGTAATACTATATAATGAATAGTACGTGATCTAGTTAAATTTTAGATTTTTCCCAATTTGAAAGATCATATTTTTTTAAACACTGCTGTAAAAACGTGTCCTAATTTTATTAAGTAGCCAAATTGTGTCCAAATTAGACACTCTGACAGAGATAAACTTCTGATTCATTGTTCCGATTCGATCAGATGTCCCTATGGAGGGAATGCCTATATTTCATTTTTGATTGTCGAGATGGCTACTTGATGCATTTGTGAGAAATTTTGTTTACCAAACCAATATAATTCTTTGCTGCAGTTCATCACGAATGGTATTGCTAAAAGAAGTTGATAAAGATGGTTTTGTCTGGTTAGTGATCTTCCGCAGCCTTCTGCTAGTAGCATACTGAAAAAGTTTTTAAGTTCTTTTTGCGATATCATGATTATTCTTTCCATGTACAGGTGCACCAATTATGAAAGCCGAAAGGCCCATGACTTATCTGAAAATCCTTGTGCGTCACTTCTTTTTTACTGGGATGCTTTAAATCGCCAGGTGAACCATAATGTTTTTGCCTTAACACCAATCCTAGCATGGGAAGGAAAAGGATCTGTCAGGATGGTCCTCTTTGTGCATAGAAAAATCTTATTGCATCGATAGGAAAAAAACTCTAGACTAACCACAATATGTTCTAATGAACTAGAGGTAACTCGTATCTAAAAGTATGATACAACGTATACATAATAAAGTCATGAGGTAAGTAAATAGTGATAGATTTGGAGGGAAAAATTCAATGTTAATGGTTTTAAGAGGCATGTTAATGACCGTTGAATGAGTTTATTTGAAACTATTGGATGGACTTATTAAAGACTGTCATGTTTTATATTATAGATGTAAATTGTCAATTGCGAATACACAATAGCAGGAAAAACAAAAGTGCTCTGGTCTTGTGAATCATGGCCTTTGTTTTAAAATATGTTATAGGACAAAACTCTGATGAATGACTCCACTTCTAAATTTGAGAACAAGCTGGACTGGCTGACCCTGTTTGAGATCTTTGGTAGAAGATTTGCTGTTTTCTTTTAGGGTGATCTCTCTCTTGCTCAATTTAAAATATTGGCTTCTGGCGGAAAGTTTGTGTAATTTGGAGCATGATGTTTTTGCTTGTGTTGGCTGTTTCATAGGAAGGTTGACACTGGCCATTGGCTGAATAATATTGAGTTGCTTTTCCTTTCTGAGATTTCAAGGGATCAACGGTTTGCCACTAGTAGCTTAAATAAGAGCAATGAAACCTAATTCTATAGTTAGACCTCCAGAATATAGAAAAGAAAAGGAAGCTTTGGTTAATAAGGGTTGTTTATTGAGTCAGCTTTTGTACTTGGTACCATTAATCTTCACGTTCATAGTTTTTGAGCCGAGAACGTAAAACCAAAAGCCCCTTGACTTTGCCAAGTGCTAAATAGAATTTGTTCTACCATTGTTAAGTTTGTATATAATAATAGACCTTTAATTCGGTTTTGCTTGGTTTGCAATTGTAGCTTCTATAGATACTTCTCAGACACTTGTCGGCATGTCCAACACCTGTTAGATGTGTTCCTATGTGAAATAAATTCTTAATTTTTAAACATGACTGACGCTTCTTAGACTTACATGTTGAAAGATTTGTTTTAGAATGGAAGATAAATATAAATATTAAGACACACATACACTTCGATTTTCATAGGTTTGTTCGTTTGTGTCTGTTTATGCTACATGTAATCAGTTATTATTATGATTTATGACTTACGAAATTCATATTGCACTCCGTATTATTGAATTATTAACTGAAGTAGTTTTTTGGTATATCTAACAGAATACTATGCACAAATTGTTGTCATCACGGCAGCATCCTACCCATGTTTTTGACTTCTTTTTTAGGCTTGTCATTGCTTAATAGATACAAGGTTTGTTGTCATCACGAGTATAGCCAAGGGATTTATGTTTTTTAGATATTGCTTTTGGATCAGGTTTTAAACGTCGCTATGATGTGTAGGTAAGAGTGGAAGGATTTGTGCAGAAAGTTTCCGAAGAGGAATCTGAGCAGTACTTCCATAGCCGTCTTCGAGGAAGTCAGATTGGAGCAATAGTTAGCAAGCAGGTACTCTCTCTCTCTCTCTTGAAATTTGAAAGTTCTAATATTCCATATTCATAGATATATGTCTGCATAAATGATCGAACTATCTCTTGCTTTTCTTCAGAGTACTATAATTCCTGGAAGGCATGTACTCCACCAAGAATACAAAGAATTAGAGGCAAAATTCTCTGATGGGTCAGTATTTCACATGTCTGATTTTAAGTACCTTGATTTTGAGTGTCTGCTAAATATGATTCAGTTGTGCAAATAATCTGCTAAATATGGCTTAATTTAACTTTTTAAAAAATGGTCCTTTTTTGAGGTTCAGAGCTGCAAAACACATGCATAAGTTCAAGTGTACAACTATGTATGTAAACAATGCATGCATTGTTTAATATACGTCTCAATGTAGAATATTTTATGCATTAGGTTTGTGATCTTTACTTTCATATGCTTGTACATGAGTATGTATGTTTATGCATCCCTTTGTTGGACCTGAAACAAAAGATCAAATTCATTCTATGTTCTAAAGGCATAAGAATTCTTTTATTGTCATTCTCTTCCCAGATGTTTGTGTATGTCCATGAATCACTGTGGTTATTTTGTTCTACTGCAAAAGATCAAATTCATTCTACGTTCTTGTGGCCTAAGAATTCTATTATTATCATTTTTCTCCCTTGTGAAGTATGACTTCCCAGATCCAAGTGACAAACTCTAGCAAAATCCAATTTGTTTTTAACTTGCAGAAGTTTGATTCCCAAACCCAAAGACTGGGGAGGATACAGACTTAAACCAGAGTTCTTTGAGTTTTGGCAAGGGCAACAGTCTCGCTTGCATGATAGGTACTCTACCCCATCTCAATTGCTCAAATGTCATATGATTGGTATTATTTAGTGCATAAAAAGTAGCTGGTCCAAAATTGTTATTCTTTGATTGGATCCTTGTACCAGGGGTTCAGGATCCATAGAACTAAGTTTGGATGGATCATTAGATGATAACAAATGAATTCTCACCTGGGTGATGCCGTGATGGTATCATCCTTGTATGTAATTTATCAATTAAAACTAAAATTACCCTCTAAATGTTTCAAAACTTAAGTGTTTTTCTGGGTTTGTGGAGACAACTGAAACCCATGTCCTATATTGATCGTCATTTGGGTCAAATCAATATGAAGGTGCAGTTGACTTGAATCCATTGGTGTTAATTGGTGTACAAATTGAATCATGAAATTGTAACCAAATTACACCATACCTTTCAGTTTTGTCTTTAAATTAACCTTGAACTGTTTTGATAGATTCAATTTGGGAAAGAGAAATTGGAGACTAAAGTGAAACAGTTGTAGGACATGTGACTGATAAGAAAACATGGGGGATGTATTACCGATTTATATTGTATAAGACAATGGAGAAAGCCGGAGAAACCAATGAAAAAAAATGTTATGAAGGATTTGGAAGAAGTTTGAAAACTCTCCAACAGTCCAGTTATTGGGTAAAAAAAGGACAAAGGGGAAAGAAAACCTTGCAACATTTTCAAGTACATAAACAATTTTCCTTTCATATTGGTCTCTTGAGGAAATTTAGAAACGAGAATCCTACATTCAAAATTTGCAACTATGTTTTTGTATAAAATGAAAAAGTTTCATCATTTGAGCCTGAGCCTGAAACGATATTTGGATGGATTAAACATTTGCTCAAATATAGTTTGACTTGTAAGCCAAAAGCAGTACATAGTTTACGTTGTAAGACTAGAGGTTTTGAAGAGTTCAGTTTAAAGGTTTTAACAAACACTGATTCGTGGAAGACTTCAAGTACCCATGATTTTTTTTCCCGGGATGATAGGTGAGTATCACTAATGTGGAGTATTGTTCCTTTGACAGATTGTGTTATTCTTCTGGAGAGGCGGATGGAAAGACGACATGGAAAATTGTTCGATTAGCTCCCTAAGTAGTAGCCTCACCATCTTCAATAAAGCGTCATTTGTGGCATCTTACTATATATTGTTTGGTGTTTCTCTCTGTTGCATATGGATAGCAATGATGACTGATATATATGTTTTTGGAGAATAATTATCTAGACATCATTAGTATATGCTGAAACTTCATCTCAATATTGTTGCTTCACCAGTTCCTGAAATTATGAATTATAATAAAACGGTGTATCTCTCAGGAACAATCAAAGATAAAAGTTAAAGTCGACCTCCTCTTCACCTCATGGAATGTCCTCTCGCAAGAGTCATACCCATTGAATCTGACATCTTTTCTAATTAGTTGTGTCATCAGTGCCGCTAAACGGGAGAAGTCTTCAATGAATCTCTGATAATACTCTGTCAATCCCAAAAAATAACGTATCTCAAAAATTGATTTTGATTTCTCTCAATTCATTAATGTCTCAACCTTTTCCATGTCAACTAATATACCCGTAGCGGACACAATATGACCCAAAAATTTGACTTCCTTTAGCCAAAACTCACACTAGCTGAACTTTGCATAAAATTGGTGATCTCTCAAGGCTTATAAAACAATTCGTGCTCTTCCTCCGTCTTGGAATACACAAGAATGTCGTATACGCATATCATGATAAATTAATTAAGATAGGATTTGAATACCCTATACATGAGATCCATGAATGAAATTGAAACATTTGTCAATTTGCATGGCATAACCGTGAACTCAAAATGGCCATATCGAGTCATAAATGTCGCCTTAGGAATGTCGATTTCTCGTACCTTCAACTGATGATACCCCATGCGCAAGTCTATCTTAAAGTAAACCCGAAACCCTCTCAATTGGTCGAAAATGTCGTCTATTTGTTGCAACGGGTACTTGTTCTTGATGGTGACTCAATTCAACTATCGATAGTCTATACAAAGTTTAAGGGCCAACCCCCTCCTTTGGGTCCTTTTTGGCAAATAGTACCAGAGCGCCCCAATGTGAGGTATTCAGTCTACGAAAATCCTTGTCCAACAACTCTTGCAATTAGACTTTGAGCTCTTGTAACTCTGCCGGTGTCATCCTATGAGGTGCCATAAAAATGGGAGAAACACCAAGTTACAACTCAATGAAGAAGTCAACATCTTAATGTGGAGGCAATCCCAGTAACTCGTCTAAGAAGACATCCACATACTCGCAAACTACCCAAGGTAAACTCAACTCCTATCTCGCCTCGTATTCAAGTGTAAGATTTGCAAGCCAACTCATCAACTGTCTGTGTTAATATGAGTCATACACGATTTGGGGTAAAGTATTGTGTTTTTCTCCCTGAAACTTGAAACAAATCGCCTCCGAAGTGTAGGCGATAACTCACTTCCGATCACAATTAATAAGCACTCAATGTGCCGTTAATCAATTCATCCCAAAGATAATGTTGAACTCCAATATATCCATGACCATAAGGTCCACCGTGAGTTGAGTCCCCGAGATCTCTAACTCACAATCCCAACATATCTTATCAATGCAAACCCTAACTCCTAAGGGAGAATTAACGTACAACGGCTCTTCTAAAATTTTAACTTCTAAGCTCAAATCTTTAACACAAGATACAGAGATGAGATACACTCGAATAAAATAACACTCGTGCCCATAAACGAGATAATAGAAATGATCCACCGATTTAGACTGAGAAGTGACGACGAAGAGTTACCTCTGGGCCCCTGATGTCCTAGCCTGAAATCCCTATCCTCGGCCTCTGTCTACACCTTGACCCATCTATTCTGATTGCGGAGTCCCCGCACATGAAATAGTTGGGACCTGCCTAATGCCTCGAGGTTGATACTAATTTCCCTAACTCAAGATAGGGTAGATATGAGTGAAATATGTCTTTGAAATCCCCACTAATGATTGAGACTAAGAAACCCCATAATTCCGAGATCCCTACCCGAAAGGGCAATTCCTTTTCAAGTGGCGAGGCTAATGACACAAATAACATCTCTTTTGGCCTTCTTGGTACGTCCCCTTAAAGTTTTTCCCTTCATGTAAAAACTAACTCTAGCATTAGTCTTGATAACCCTGGCCTTATCCTTGAGACTCTTTATGGTGTAGATGTCTTCTGTTAATTTTTTGAACTTGTGTTGGAGGATTGACCCTCATTTCTCTTGTCATTTAATCTAGCCTCTCGTATGCTCTTAGCGTCATCCACCTCCCTTTCAATAGTCATGCTCGACCATTGAGTCTAGGTCTTATACGCAATATGACCCACAATCTTACTTCGAATGGACAACTTCAACTCATCCTCAAACCTACGCATCTTGGCCAAATTTGTGGCCGCATAATCATCCGCAAAACGTGTCAACTCTATGAACTTGGTCACATACTGCATGACCGTTATTGTTTCTTGCTTCACGTCTAGGAATTCGTGGGCTTTCACTAACCGAAGAGCCGTGGGAAAATACTTCTCATGTCATCGTCTCAATGTCTCTCGATGTCTTGACCCAAGTCTACCGCTAATGAGTTTCTCTCTCTAGTTGGAACATCACAAACCTTATCTTGGTGACATCAGAGGTGATCTTCATTGCCTCCAATATCTTCTCTATTTATTAGAACCAATGGTTGACTACCATTGAGTCTGCTTCCCCCACAAAAGTAGGCAGCTTATGTGCGTTAAACTTCTTGAACTTTACCTTCAGGTTAGCCAACGATGATTGGAGTTGCTCTATTGCGATAGCCCTCACCTGTTCCAAAAGCCTGATATCAATGTGGACTTTATCCCAAATGTGCCCAATCAACCTGCATGCAATCTCTTGTTGTCCTAGACTCTATCCAAAAATGATTGATACTACTATTGACTCAGGTATGAAGGAGGTTACTCACTCAGAAGGGTAATACTACAATACCTGAGAACAAAAGCCATGACACATGGGTGACCCTTGTAAGCAACAGTAAGAAACTCCAGAAAGTGTTTGATCAAACAAGCAGCCCAGTTGTCCACTTGTCACAAAATAGTTGAGTTTTCATCAACTGCCTTTGGAGTGACAAAATTGGTAAAGCCTTAGGAATCCCATATATCTCTTTAATATGTGTGACTGCAGTAGAACATAACAGCATATTGAAGACATCTCAGTGGACAAGAATCCTCAAAATAAAATTTGGGTAAAAACCAAAATGAAGGAAAAGGAGAGGTAGCATCACCAAAGAGCAATACAAAGATCTAACAAAAGAAAATGAACGAAATGCAGAAGCAGCATCACTTAAGGAAACCATAGTCACAAAATCCAAGAGCTCCATTTTCCTTCTTGTTCATGAAGTGGAAATCAAGACAAACCGGGTCTTCACCAATAGAACAGTTGCAAGGATTGTAAACGGTACCACATTAAGATAAAAAACACAATCGACAAGATAGTAATACACTTCCACATTAAGATTAAAAAAAACAATCAACAACATAGTAATCCCAGCCTAGTTATTGCATAAAGGTGAACCATTCATATAGATTCGCTTGTAAATTATTACCTTGGTCAGATAAATCATAGATCATGGACCAATATCCTTTTGAGCTTCATACTATTGTAGAGATTGTGCAACAGATAACAGCCTTTCGAAAATTTTAGCATCTAATGGAAGAAATACTTGAAATTTTTTACTTTCAAAAATAATTTGATTTGACCATATACAGTTGATGGCTAAGCATCCCTTTCAGTGCTTTTATTTTTTTGGAAACCATACACAGGAGAATCTATTAAAAAAGGCTCCCAAACCAACCCCCCCCCAAAAAAAAAAAAAAAAAACATAGGAAAAAGAGTTTAAGATGGATTCAAAGGCTTCAAGGCTGCTGTGAAAGAAATACATATGCTCCATTAATTTAAAAAATAAAAATAAGGCCAACCACGTATTACAGTGCACATACTTGAGCAATCAAGATACAACATGAAAGCCAAGAAAGGAACTTAAGATGGAGTCATGGACAAGAAGCAGCACACAAAATGAGCAACATCTAAAGTGTTTATAAAAATGGTGCCCAACACTGTTAAAACATAGAATGCTAAGAAATCAATATGCTACATTAACATTAAAAGGGTATTAGAGCGGGGAGGATATTAAGATGAATGAGATGGTTTAAACTAATATACAATGACAAATGAGTGCTTCAGTGGTAAGTGACATGGTGCATCAAGGCACAAGGTATTTCAGAAGTCAAACAAAAATTGTAGGGAAGACTTTTTCAAAAGTATAGAGCATTAGAGTTCCAACTTGGAGAAGTCCGGGGAGCTTTCGTGGAAGCAGTTTAGCAACAAAACCCAAAAACTTCAACACGGTCACAGTCAAGTGGCAGACAAACAAGCAAGATATGAAATGGTCATTCAAATATAGTTGTGCAAACACAGCTCAAAAATATAGCATCAAATTGACAATTTCATCAAACATATTGAATTTCACCTACATCTACTAGTGATTTTCAACTGGAGCTCAAGGTTGATGTATGTGGAGAAACACAGTGTTCAGTTGCCTAGCATGCCTGCATCGAAGCTGAGGCGACATCGAAATTAGCCTTGTACGGCCAAGTGTCAAAGAGTAAATTGCTTGATTACTTTCATTGTTATACAGCACTAACAGCAGTAAGTATCAACTTAACAAAGAGAACATCACCAATGCAATGATGAAGTGATTCAAACATTAGGGCAGCCACTAGCCAAAATGCTGAAGTTTAGGTCCTTAATCAGTCCATCCCTTGTAGTACCCTGACTTAAAGAGAGACAAAACTAGGTAAGGGCCTTTAATTGTATACTCCGAGCACCCAAAAGAATTCTCAATAACAGGAAAAATGTGGAAGGGGTAAAAAAATCAATTCAAAGAGGTGGTACAAAACATTCAGCACAAAAAAGTAACAGTGAATTTATGTTTCTTGGTTATTAAATTTGTCGAACATTTTTTAAATATGGACAAAGGGAAAAAAATCAATTTTACATGGGGCTGTCCGACAACAAAAAAATGCAAGATATTGATGTAGAGATATTTAAGTTTATATCATGCAAGAAGATAACGAGATAATTCTAGATAGAATGGCAAGTCATTGTGATCGGTAAAAGCAGTCAAAAATTAATTAGGTCATTTTACAACTTATTCTCATGTGTACACAAGTACTACGAACCTATTTGAATCAATAAACTAGACAAGTCTAGGAAAGCACAACTCTAACAAGAGATCAAAATAAGAACACTTCTCTCAGGGGCATGACCAAGCATATGTCAACATAGCGCATCCAACATTTCAACAATAAGCTACAAAACTTATAGGCAAAAATTTATCCACTGAACAAGAGTCGATAAGACTCACTGCATGTACACACTACTTTCTCCTAGTTTATTAGTAACTGTAGTATTTGGAAGAATTTCTTGTGGCAAAAAAAATTGTCTCACATGATTTATACTCCCCTCCCTCAAAAGCGAGCATATTCGTGTAACTCATTTCATGTGCTTTCTAATCATGTTCATAGATCTCTCTTTGACCATTTTACTAAAAAATGGATTTTCCCTCGATGTGGACATTTGGTCGGAAACCAAACTCACTGAATTTGGAGAATCCGATAGTTTTTAGCTTGTAATTATTTTTGAGATTTCTTAATGAATATTTACACAACTGCTTGACCATCCTGTATTCGAATTTTGGCAGTTCTATATTGAACGATTGAAACACAAGGCCTTTGGCTTTCAAAACATTGTTCCATTTTGTCTGAGCTTCCTAATGTTAAATGATGGCATTTCCACTGACTTTTACTTTAACCAAATATAATTTCCCGGACACTCCTATGTGCTAAAATAGTATTAAACATCCAGTCTTTACCATTTCTAAATCTTCCAGATTAAGAACGGAAGGACATACCTGCACCAGTTGAGTCACTTCAGCCTTCAGATATGTGTTACCTGGGAATTTTGCAGGCAGAGAGATAGCAATCTGAGCATCATAAACCAAAAAGATGTGATTTTTTCTAAAATAAATGAGTGCAACAGTAGATAATAATTACCCAAATGGCATCACCGCCTTAAGGCCCTTAACCAAAAAGATTGAAATACTTGATCAAAGGGACAAATGCACTCTAGAATTCAATATGATTGCTTTGAGCCAACAGGTTGTGCCCAAACATCAAGCCTATCAGCCTCATGCTGCCATATCCTCAGAAACAGCTACTCCCGCTTCAACCTTCCAAGAGCACAGTTCTCCATCCGGCCCCCATGGAGATATTGATTCTTCTGCAAGCTACAATAATCACAATAATCACATCTTAGAATCTACCACATCAATTAAAGTGTTTCCATTTTTCATTTCCTCGTTCTTTTGAATCATATTGAGGAGCATCTACTCACTCATGTAAAAGATGATGAACAAAAATAGAAACGGATTGAGCCTTACTTTTGGGAAAAATTGTTGGTACTTGTACCATACCATTTGGTTCATGTGCAAAACCAACCCAAAGAAGCCCGACAGTACATACAAGACATCTTTCAGTTTCCAAATTTAATAATATCCTTCAAAGGAATTCTAGCTAAATGAAAAGGTCCAAAAACAACTGACAGATGCAGTGCACATTCACCAGAGTATACAGGGAAGAGGAGAAATAATTATCAAACAGCAGTTAAGTGCTAAATTTACTGCAAAGATGGGCACACAAGTAAATCGCATTAGATGTTTGCATTGAAGAGTATATCTTTTCTGTAACTAATTCACATGTATGCCCACTTAAATTGAAGCAGTCCAGCATCAATACATTTTTGGATAACTAACTAAATATGAACACTCATGCTAGGCAAAAAGTCATATGGTTCGGGATAATGTCCCGTGCTGAAGATAGAAACAAAGGTAGAACTGCATATAAGTTACTGTTGTTTTCCAAACAAAGATAGAACTGTATAGTAACAAGCCTAAAAACCACCCCATTTGCACCCACATTAAAAAATTTACTAAATGCTTTGACACACGTGATTCTGGAAAAGAAGACACCCAAAAAAATTTAGTAATATCAGCACCTAACATAGAAATGTAACAGCATTTAGCTTAATAGCATACTTAAACTCGTGATAAACAAAATATAGAAGACCTTAAATTGTAAAAGCTTAAATGCATTGCCATGGGTAGAGCATATGATGCACTTAAATTATCAAAGTAGTCTATCAAGCATAAGTATCAGATTTTGTGCACATGCCCTCAAAAGCACAAAAACAAGGGGGAAAATAGGTGGGCTCTAGGGGCTAAGAATGGTGCATTGGATTAGATATATAAGATAGCTTAATTTTCTATACATCCCTAAACCATTATTGCTAAGGCGAAAAATGCATTCGACTTGGTGTCATATGTGCTAACGAACACATAGAGGCCAAGTAAGCCATACGGAAAAAATTAAGCATAAGGAAAATATGTGCTAGATGCAAAAAGTAATTGTATAGAATAAATTCTGATCACCGCCAAACCCAATCTTCCAGTAGCTGAAGCCCCATTCTGAAATTTGGAAGATTGCCCTGGGACTGGAATGAACGGAACAGGAGCCCTAGAAGAATGGCAGTAGAGAAGGTCCTAGTATCCACTGGATGGCGTGAAAAGTTCTAGGGAAGATTTGTGGTCCTTGTAACGGATCAAGAAGCAAGAGCTGCTCTATACTATCTTGTAAAACTAGCTGCAAAATTAAAACAATTTGAAAAAAGATAACTCAGTAACCCTAACTATAGGAATTTCATATCAATCAAGTATTAATACAATGTAACTAGTCTACCTGCTGGAATTGTTTACGAAGTTTTGTCAGACTAGTCTACCTACTGACAAAAAAGGAAAAGCCATCCAACAACAACAATAACATGCTAGTCAAGTGTAACGGAAATATGATACCTTCTTTCATTGATATGATAGAAGCAGCCGAATAAAATAGAAAGCAAGAAATACTAAAGTAGCGGTACCATAGTTGTTAAATCGAGATTCGTATCGTGAATCGGAATTTTAAATTTGTGAATCGAGAATCGTATCGAATCGTGAATCGTAAGATTCGACATAAAATTCAAACAAAGATAAAAAATAACATCTATATAGTTAAAAAAGCAACGTATTGAATTTTGAGCATTATTGCATTATAAAAATAATTAATTGACATAATCACGTCGTCTAAATGGAAAGACGCTAGCCTTTATGGATAGAAAATGTGAGTTCGAATCCCACCGTGATTGATTTTTATATATTATTTGCAATTTGCAAGCCAACTACAATATAAAATAAATCATATATCAAGAGAATATGTATTTATCATTGATTCATTATAATTATATACTTCAATTCAATCAAAAGTCAAGTTATGGACATATCACCTATGGTCCAAAAAAATGAGAGATGCATTGAATGACAACAAAAAGTCAAGTTCTCTAAGACTCATCAAAAAAATAGTAGTAGTCAACTTCTTCAATCTTCATTATCTCCAAGGTCAAGATCTTCATCATCATCATCATCTTCTTCTACTTCAACCATCTCCGTTTTCTCATCCTCTTCCGTTTCCTCATCATCAACCACTTCAATACCATCATCATCTTCATCATCATCTATCTCAACAACTTTAGCTTTGCCTTTTTTAATAGCATTTAAATTCCTTGGTCCTACAAATAATAATTGGTAAATGACTAAATGACAAACAATATATAATTATATAAATATAAATATATAATAAAGCATTGAAAATTAAAGAATACCTCTTTTTTTCTTTTTGCTAGAAGATGCACTTTTATCAAGATGAAAATATTCATGAACATCCATCCATGAGTTGTCTTCTAGTAGACATGGATCTTCACTCTCAGTAATCCACTCATCATCGGATTCCATATCCGATAGACAAATTGGATCATATGTTTCATTCTTTTCTTATCTCTTTTCAAGGTGAATGTTGTACTTCACATAAACCAAAGCATTTCATCTTTGTTGCTCCAAGTGATTCCTTTTTTTGGAATGTACATGATCAAAAGCACTCCAATTTCTCTCACATCCCGTGGCGCTACACGTGAGACTTAATACCCTTATAGCCAATCTTTGGAGTTCTTGGCAATCATCTCCATAACTTTCCCACCACAAAGCTATAAAAAACAAAGATTTAAACTAAAAAATTTAAACAAGATACATATATTGATATATAGGTTAGTTTATATATAATATAAAAGTAAAACCATGTTCTTTAATTCTTACCGGGTTGTTTTTTATCTCTTGTTAACACGGCCATGCTCATAGAAAATAAACCGTCAGTCCTCTTGAACTTCTCTAGTTGCTCATCAATAGAGATTCTTGTTTCGATATCTGGGTACATTCTCTCAACGGTCCTATACAAGCCAACTTTTACTTCCTTATCGGCATTAAAATTTGAATCATATTGGAACCTAAAAAGAAGTTACTTGGGATTAAAATTTGGATCACAATTTATTTTATATATGAGTAAATGTAAATAGGAAGTGTTTTTGTGAACTTACTTGGGATTAAGAAAGTACCCCGCCGCATGAAGTGGCCTATGAAGTTGCATGTTCCACCTATCATCAATAATCTTCCAAATTTTTTCATACCTTTTTTCCTCTCCTTTGAAATTTTGGGCAATTTGTTCCTTAGCCCTATCCATTGCTTCATATATATATTCCATGGCCGGTTTAGCATCACCATCAACTAACCTCAACACTTTAACAAGTGGAATCACAGATTTTAAGCAATACTTGATTGCTTTCCAAAATTTTTGATCATACAAAATTATGCTTTCCACTTTTTTAGCATCGATCTTTTTGAAGCAAAAGGCCCATTAGCCCAATCTTCCGATGAAAACATGAGTCGAAGACAAGACTTTCGATCATCAAAACTTTTTAGGGTGAGAAATGCAGTGGCAAATCTTGTAACCACCGGTCGTGTCAATTCCATGTTGTTTGAAAACTCTCTAAATTTACTAAGCACCCAACTATGCCTATAAATAAAAAGTGTAACTTCTTTGGCTTTTGAAATGGTGTCACAAAATATTGGCAAATCACCAATATCACTCAACATTAAATCAATGCAATGAGCAAAACAAGGAAACCAAAATAACTTCTTCCTCTTGTCCTCCAATAACCTACCGGCGGCTACATATGCCGAAGCACTATCCGTCACCACTTGAACCACATTCCCCTCTCCAATCTCCTCCACTATTGAGTCAAGTAACTCAAACAACTTATTAGCATCCTTTATAACCCCGGAAGTATCCACCGATTTAAGAAACACCGTTCCACTAGAGCTATTAACAAGAAAGTTTGTGAGTGAACGTTGTTTCCCATCGGTCCACCCATCCGACATCAAAGTGCACCCACTTTTCTTCCATTCTGTTCTATATTTTTTCAAACTCACCTTCACATTTTTCACTTCTTTTTTCAAGCAAGTAACTCTAATCTCATGATAGGTAGGGAGTTTTAATCCTTTGCCATACGCACCAACCGATTTCATCATTTTATCAAACAATGGACTTTTAACTAAATTGAAAGCTAGTGCATGTCCATAGAAGAAATGACATATGTCTTGAACCACCAGTTCTCTTTTCTTCATCAATTCATTTAATATTTGTTGTCTTCCTCTAGCACCTTTCCCCTTACCTTTAATCACAAAAGAATCCATGGTTTGGGTCCCTCTTTCAACATCCTCTATGAAGCATTCATTAGGATCCTCATTTTTTCCTTTCGCACCTTCCAACATTTGGGAGAATTTTTCTGTAACATCCGGTGGACATTGGGTACATGGTGCTACATCAAGACGAGTCCCCACAAAATGATGCTTCATTCTACTCACACCACCCCATTTGTCAAGGCCACAATAATTGCACTTCAAGTGCATTCTATTATCACTCACACGAGAACAATGATCCCATGTCGGATCTTCATTCTTTTTCTGCTTCGTTTTTATATTCTTCTTTACCATTTTCAACTTCAACTTCAACTCTTCAACAACAACAACAACAACAACAGCTGAAAAGAGAAAAAAAAAAAACCAGCAACTCAATACTCCATGGACATCAAACCAGCAACCAGCATTAGGACCTAGCACTCACCTCATTATAACCAAGACCAAGAAAGACTGAAAAGCAAGAGATGCCAAACATTGATACCACACACAAGAATAAAGCAAAATAATGCATAATGCTAGTCATAGACTCATAGGCCTTTTTATCCATGTTGATCTTACAATAGTTTGTTTTTAGAAAGCAATCAATGAAATTGTTGAGATGAAGGATTTTACACTATTCACCAGAAGAAGAAAAAAATGATAGTATCCTTTACAGACAAAAGATCAGAATGTGCAAATTAATATTGTAAATTGCATAAACCACCAACTGATTCATTGCAAGGAGCAACTCAACTGAAACCAGCAACATTACAAAACATCAAACCAGTAACTCAATACTCTATGGACAGCAACGACAATATGCAACTCAAAACAACTCAATACTCCATGTTTCAATACTCCATGGACAGCCACAAACACCCAAAATGAAAACCCACAGGCCACAACTAGAGCATCATTTATATAAAAACAGAGTATTGATAAAGTAAAAACCAGAGCATCATTTATATAATGAAAACCCACATTCATATTGTTTATATACAAAAACCCTCATTCGTAACGCCAAAATCATCCACCCACAGGCCACAACAATGAAAAAAAAATCAGAAATTAAGAAATTACAACAATAAAAAACAGAGCATAGAGTTTATAAAAGCAGAGCAAGGAAGACGGAAGGCCTGCTATAACGCTATCTCGCTGTTTGTTGCGGGTAAGAAGAAAAAGAAAAAGAAGAGAAGAAAAGAAGACGAAGAAGAAGAAGAAGAAAAGAAGAAGAAAAGGCAGTGACTTACCTCGGAGCCGATGGAGCTTCGACGTCGTGTGGTGGGTCTCCCTCCAACAGAAAACGATTTTTCCAAAGTGAGAAAGAGACAAAGTCCCTTGTATTATTTATTAGGGTCTGGGAGCTTGGCAAAAACGACGTCATTTGACTGCGTGAGCAGTCAAAACGACGTCGTTTTGACGTTATTTTTGGTTTTAAAAAAAATAGACCGAATCGTACGATATATGCGATTTGGTTCGGTACTTCCGATTCCTGTGATTCGCATACGATTCCAGACCAAATTCGATTCAGCCATAAGATTCGAATCGCCTACCCCGTGAATTGAACCGAATCGTACGATTCGACTTGCGAATCGTACGATTTTAACAACTATGAGCGGTACAACCAAGCACGTGTTTACCCTCTAACCATGTTTTACTAAGTTTGTCAGAAGACAAGTTTCTTATTGAAGTGTAGTCGGTAGACAATCAACAACATCTCACTTATGAGGTGAAAAATAACTCTTTTGAGAAATTCGATTATTCTATTCATCAAAGCGTTTGCCCAATATTAGTATCCAAATGAACTTAGTCAGTAATCCTACAGATAAAACAGTAAAAAAGTTAACAAATAAACATAGGCTGTCAAATAGCATAGATATTTCTTAACAGGAAGTCTATGGATGTCAAAATATTCTAGAGGCCAACATACACAAGATGGTCATTCGAATGATAGTACATTGAGAGGCAGTGGCATAACAATTGTTGGAACAACAGTATAAATAAGGTTGTGGCACAATTGTCATTAGACATTGGTATTAATGGCAAAAGTCGAAATGGGAATATTGTATCATCAATTCACACCAAGTTTAGAACAGGAAAAAAAATTGCACCAAAGGGCATTTGAGTTTAAAAATTTAGGTCATAAAAATGTTTATGAGACATAATTGCATCACTAGATAAGCTGAAGGTACAGAGAGGATAAAATAAGTAAAGACATATATAAAAGGTGTCATGACTCATGAGACAGCTGGGTAGATATCAATTGTTGTTCTAAAAAGAGAAATACATACCTAAAGATCATCCTCAATTATGATAAATACAAATATGGGAAAAATGCAATGGTTTATACATATATCATATTATACATGTCTTGGTGTGCATTTTCCAGGAAAAAAACTAGAGGTTAAATTTTATCACTGAATGAAGTTGTAACAATAAAAGATACATCACTGTTCACGACCTCAGCTCATAACGGGGGAGAGACAACCTGTGAAAGTTATGCCCAATCACAAATCAGATGGACATCAGAGAACACACAAGTTTTATTAGTGCATAACATTGTGAAGCACTACCCCGCATAAAGAATGAAGCATTTTCATATCAAATTATGAAACACAAATAAAAATGGATGAGAAAGAGGTGTGTATGGTAAATATTCAAATTACTAACCTCAACACAATCAATGAAAGCCACAGACTATGAGTCATGATCTGTTCAACAGGACCCTTTAGGCTGCGTTTCTGGCTCCCCATAAGCAAGGTGAGGCCTATCGATTTGTACCGACGTTTTCATGGGCTGAAGCTTGGAAACCAGCTCCATTTGCAATGTCTTTCTGATTCATCGAAGGGTAATATTTGCTGAGTAGAATTTCCTTCCAAAGACCCTTCTGTACCGTAATTAGTCTCCAGTACTGCTTGGCCCCAGAATACCTCACTTCAGATGCAAAAAGTCCTGTCTTGGTACCAATTGTCCACAATGCATCAACCAGTTCAGCAAGGACAAGAGAACCCCACAGACGTGCAACCCAAACTAATGAAGTCCAAATAAACACACCAGTCTCCATTGCATCACCATGGAAATTGAACCCCAACACCAACAGATAAGACGTAGAAGTTGCGAGAAGCTTTTCCATGTTTGACTTCAAATCTGAAATAGAAAAAAAAACCAAAGATGAAGTAGGATTATATTTTTATAGTGTTAAAGAAAGACAATATTTTGTTTACCAGATCTAAGAGTGCAAAGCAGTTGCTTGGGAACAAGTTTCACGAAATGCTGACTTGTCCAATTCCCCTACGTTTTTATGAAATGTAACAAACTATTGTAGCAGATACACAAACCTGGTAAGTAATATCTCATAAAATGAATCGTTTTTGGACTGTGGTTGCTGAAGGGCCAGTCCAGACCCCCAGAGTTGGAACATCAAGCTTATGCCTCGAACCCATTAGCATAGGCTTAGAATTAAGTCCACTGATGCTCTCATATAACCTCCTCGTGCCAGCAATTTCTCCATCATGATTACACTGTGCAACACTGTCTATACGGTACTAATCACCTCCAAATTGAATGCCTCGGTCAATTTTAAATTTGCTCCTGACGCTGCAGCCTTTGCTGCCATAACTGCAGGGATATTTGCAGTCTTTGCCAATTATTTGCTTTGCAAAGCTTCTCTTGAAGAATAAAATACCGAACAAGGGATATAGGTTCGAAACTATGAGTGCATGAAATGGACAAAAAAAGTAAAAGAGAGAAAGATTAACAGCTGAATAAGATGGATTAATAAGGTAAAGAAATGTCTTGTAGACCATCAAAAGCATCAAGGGTTATATAGGATAACACAAGAAGACACTAAGGACGATCTTGTGAGGCACATGTAACATCATTCGAGAACTGGAAAGGGCTCTCGATGACCACGATCACCATCAACATGTAACATCATCTGTTACTAGGCAAAATAATAGGAAAATTTTCACTTTACACTCTGTGATTAAGCCCCTCTATGCTTCACCTCGCTCACTTAAAATCAAGTAACATAAACATAGTATGGTCTGAAGATCAAAGGGCACCACGGATGCTCATGGTGATAACAAAATGACCTTAATACCCCCACATATAAGAGATAAACTTACTGTCTTTCCGCTCTCTACATTGTTCTCAGTTGTTTCTCTTCTAAACCTCTTTATGTCAACTGATTCTATTTTACACATCCCCTCTCTACAACGAAAAGATTAGCAAACAACTAAGGTGTCGTTTGGTAACCTTGTGTTTTTGTTTTTTTTTCCTTTTCGTTTTCATTTTATGACTAAAAAAAACAAAAACAAGTTTGGTGAATTTTTTTTTTTTTTTTAATTGCTCCGTTTTGAAAACAAGGCTAAAATATGGAAACATTCAAAAGAATATTTTTGAAAACATCCAAAAAAAACAAGCGCACGATTTAAAATGTTTCATTTAATGAGATCCTGACTTTGATTCTCCTAAGCAACAAAAAGTAGATTTTCTTGTTTTAGTATAAAAAGCCCGTCTCTCTTCACTTCTTTTTTTCAAATCTCTCAACTCTCTCTCTCTCTTTCTCTCGCCTTTCTCTGATGAGTTTGTTGAGGCAGTGCAAGGTTGGGTTTCGAGGGTGGTGGTGGGGTTGGGTAGTGGTGGATTTCGGGGGTAGATAGTGAGTGGTGGTGGGGTTGGGTGGTGGTGGATTTTGGGGGGTGGGTAGTGGATTTCTGTAGTTGTGGTGGTAGGTTTCCGTGGCAGAGGTGGGTTGTGAGTTTCGGTGATGGGGTTGGGCTGTAGGTTTCAGAGGTTGTGGTGGTGGGTTTCAGTAGTTGTGGTGATGGGTTTCAGTGGTAGGGATGGGCCGTGGGTTTCAGTGGTGGGGTGGAGGGTGGGGGTGAGTTTTGGTGGTGGGGTTGCGCGGTGGAGTTTGGGTTGTGAATTTTTGGTATAATACCAAACAGGTTTTTTATTTTTGTTTTCACCATTTTTTAAATATAAATGACTACCAAACATATTTTATATTTTTAATTTTTATCACAGAAAAAACAAAAATTAGTTCTGTTTTCTTATTAAAAAAAACATAAAAACAAAAACATTACCAACCGCACCCTAATATTTGTACTGGAGAAAAGAGACGATCATATCAATAACTCTTATTATTTCGTATACAACTGCGTAATTAACACAGAATGGTAAATCTTATGTTGATATCCTTTTTAAAGAAGCATCCAAGAAGCCTCACCAGTTTTTAAGAGATAAGAAGATCAATTTGGAAAATGTTCCTAGAGAAGCCACATATATGGATTTAACTACAGATTACTAGGTTGAGAAATATTGATGGCAACAGCCTAGCCAACCCGACGATTAAGGAATGATAGGAGGAAGTTCCTCAACGAAGGAAAAGGCAAAGAAGACTCTCCTACAAGCAGTGATGTTAAAACTAAATTAGAATAACAACTAAATCTTAGAATCGCAACACCTAAAATTGATGATGTGGTGAACTTTACAGAAAGCTTGTCATATCTGGGGGTTATATACAGAAGGGAAACCCTAGCCTGATTTTTGATGGCTAGAAATTCAGGGAAACGATGCCAAAATTCCAGATAGCAGCTTTGAGAAAGGGAGTTGGGGGGGGGGGGGGGGGGGGGGGTGTTTGCTGGTATGGAAAAGGCTTGCAGTATAGGATATGATTAGACCATTATGGTAGGCTTTTTAGATTGAAGAATAGATGAAACTACTAGTACTCCACAGCTATCAAACAATAAACGCCACGCTCATTAAATTTTTTTCGCATGTGTTAATAACAAGGGTTAAATCTTTGATGAAGGCAAGAATACACTTCTCAAAATAGGTTTTTAAGTTCGGATGCAGTGGTCACAAAGGTCAAGTAAAAGCTAATTGAGATGAAGAATACAGAGAAGAAGAAGAAGAAGAAGAAGAAGAAGAAAAAAGATATAAGGCTGTTGGACGATAACTACAGCCTACATCCACTAGAGATTTTTCTTCTTATGATAAATAAACATCCTGACTGATAAACATGACAAAACATATGTGATAGCACATGAAAAATGTAAAAGAACACAAAATGAGAAAAGTACATAATGGGATAAATCACAAGTGCATAGAAGGTAAGGACTGATATTGTGTGTACTTACACAAACAAAGATGGTGATCTATTACCCTTCTAAGACCATATCAAAAAATTACCCTTCCAAGATAAATGAAAAAACATAACATATCAATTTAGCAGTCCAGCCCATTTTAAATAAAAGGATATATCTCTAACCCATCAAGCCATCCACCTTACTGGACCCAACCACAAATAAGGGTTAAGCAATTCCTCATTATTAAAGTGTTCTTACCAAAAAGCAATCTTTTGAGCTTGGCTTAGTTTAGTTTCATTTTTCCTTTAAGGGTAAGAAGCTAATATACTTGCAAACGAAGATGGTGATCTATTACCCTTAAAAGACCATCAAAAAATTACCCTTCCAAGATAAATGAAAAAACATAACATATCAATTTAGCAGTCCAGCCCATTTTAAATAAAAGGATATATATCTAACCCATCAAGCCATCCAGCTTACTGGATCCAACCACAAATAAGGGTTAAGCAATTCCTCATCATTAAATTGTTCTTACCGAAAAGCAGTCTTTTGAGCTTGGGTTAGTTTAGTTTCATTTTTCCTTTAAGGGTAAGAAGCTAATATACTACTAAGAAACTCAAATAGACCCAGAGGAGGAAGCACATAATGAGTCCCAAGGATCAGCATGTCACTCTCCACAAAACATGCAATTATGGTCTAATGCTGACAAGTCACAATAACACTTAACAGAACACATTGATTGCCAATTGACAATTGCATCCTTCACTGCTAAAATAAAGGGGTAATTACCCCCCCCCTGTTCAAAAACACTTTACCTCTTTGAGTTTATTCACATAAACCGCTTATGTTAGTGTACGAGTACCAAAGTGCAATCGTTATTTTATTTTTGTCATCCAAATTAATGGTCAGTGTGCCACAATCACCAAAAACAAGTTGTGGGCCTTGTTTTAATGGTTTACCTCCAAAAAATAAATTATGTTTAGTACCTACAATACCCCATCTACCCTCTTTGTCTTCCTCCTCTTCTTCCTTTTCTTTTGTTTATCGTTCGCAACTCACCTAACCGAAACCCTATGTTCTACTTCTTCTTCTAATTCAAGTTTTAAAATGCTTCATCATCCCAAATTAACTTGTGGTTTTTGTCACCCATATAGTTTCAACCAAGATTACATTGATTTTGATCAACGCCCTTCCAACTTATGGCTGGAATGCGGCCGAAAAGTTTTTGCAACACGACGAAACCCCCATTTTCTTTCTCAGCTAATTCACACCCAAAAGCATTTAAACAAGACCAAATCACTCCAAGCTTTTCTTACGCACAAATCTAGCCGTGCAAGTTTTGTGAGCAAATGCTAGAATCTTTAATGGTGTTAGGCTTTTCACTTGGATACACAACCATAGGAAGGTTACGTGCATAATTCTACAAGTCGAGGTAAATTGTTTTTGAGCAAAATCAGAAGGGGGTAAAAGGTAATTACTACTAAGAGAAAATATACATATTACTCTTGCAAACTGAAGAACCTCAACCTAATTCAACATCTCGCATTCAATTATAAATCAAGTAAATATGAAGGTGATAAGAAATCCATCTACCAATTAATTAAACTAGTTTTTTTGAGAACTCAACTAAATTAAACAGAAACTAATAAATGGCAAGCAACATTTAATTTCAATAAGATAGTCAACTCAACTTACATCTGCACAGGAATGTATTGAACTGCAAACCAGACAAACCAGCAACCAAGACACGTACGAATCTGAACCTATATGTCTTTAAGAAAAGGCAGGAATAACAGAATTATTTTGTGTAATCCAAACTATTTCCTCCAATATTAAACATCTGGCGTTGTATTGTGAAAAACACGCTCTACCTCTGGCAATTTCAATATATTAGCAATTGACCACATAAACATAAAAAAGAATACCGTAGGGCATATGACCCATCCATACGGAAAACATGCACTCTCACAAATACATGCCCATATTCGGAGTCTATATGCACATGTGAGCTTTACTTTTGGTTGTGTCTTATATGTGTTGCCATTCAACATGTCTATTAACAAAAATATAAAGCTAACCTCATAGTCATGTCGTCATTCACGAACACTGGTAGCTAAATTCATGATAGAACTGCCCACAGTAGAACAGTCCTTGCTCCATCCGCATCATAATATCTCACAGCTTGTCTTCATGACACACTAAAACATGGCTCCCTGGCTTCTGCCCCAGGTGCCAGACTGTTCATATTGCAAAAGTGTTACCCAAATGTGCATCACATATGAAAAGACATGTACCAAAATGTGTCAGAAAATCCACAGTGAACAAACAATGTACCTGAGCACATGTACTTGACACAAGGGGTTTGAGGTGAATAAGCATAACACGCAGCAGCTGCCCACAGTGACTTGGGAAATCCCAGCAAGCAAAGAGCTGAAGAGTCTTTACAATTTCTCAATTTTCATGAGACAGGGAATAATCACGCGTCAGCAGCTTCAATCAACAGTGCAAGAGTTCAATGCAACAATCTCTCCGAGAACTTACAATCCGGATCAACTGATGATGCAATACTGTTAAATCTGGCTGCAGCTCGGTAGACCAAGATCATTGTAACAATTCTAACTTTCTGTAACTGCCCCTGTTCTGTCCATTCATGCTTCCTTATCTGCCTACAAAACCAAAAAATTGAACCAGCTCTTCCACTCATTTTTCCCTTCAAGAAATAGATTATGATGAAACAAAAAAGTTTGATGTAAATTAACTTTACCTTCAAGAAAGCCAACATTGATTGGAGTTGCTCCTTTGTGATAGCCCTCACTAGTTCCAAAAGTTTGCGATCACTCTGGACTTCATCCACAATGTGGCCAATTAACTTGACCCCACCTCTTTTTTAACCCAAAAAAGGCTCCACATATTCTAACGCAACCACTCGCCTGTATAAAGAGACAATGAATAAGAACAAAGACTAATCCTCGGCAAACTCTGGACCAAGATTTCAACCAATCTAGAAGAGTAAACACTAGTTTATTTGCATCGGAAGGAAAAATTGGAGGAAAATTCTGCGACATATTTCAAGAAAACCCCGAAGTATCGAGTCATTGATGAACAACTTAGTTGGAAGACATGTAGTTCAATATTCTCTATGCATAGAGACAAACCTTGATGGCGTCAGAGGGCCGATAGCGCTGGAGCCAGAGAAGGGAATGGCGCTTCGCAGATTGGTCGAGAATAGTGAGAGACAGAGATAAAGAATAAGATGGGGAGAGAAAGCAAAGACGGAGAAAGAGGAGGAGTAAATCTGGGGCGTGAGCGAGTACCGGGCTATGGGTGTTGGCAGACATTGGGGTGGATGGCACTGGGTGAGAGAGAGAATAATCACAGAGGAGGAGTGTGGGGATGTGGGACCGCAACAAACGGTGGCGGTGGATGGCGTGAGTGGTGTTGATGGCAGTGGTGAGACAGTGAAGAATCAGAGGAGAGATAGAAGAAGCAAATAGGGAGAAGATGGCAAGGCAAAAACAGAGAGGCGAGGATTAGGGCAAGCATGGGGAAGGAAGAAAGCGTTAGGGTTAGGGCGTCGGGGAGGGATGATAGAGAGACAGAGAGATATGCGTGATTAAGTAGATTTGGGGATATTTTTGAGGTTTGAGGGAAGACACCTGAATTTGGAAACTGTGTTGGGAGGGAGGGAGAGAGAAAGGCGTGAGATTTTGTGGAACAACGGTCGATTTGCCCGGCGCCTCAACTTTTTGAGCTAAAAAAAAAAATTGGAAAGTAAAATGAGTGTCTTAATAAAGTAAATCTTCAATTATGACTATTTTCATATTATCTCTTAAATTATCATATTTTTTTAAATTGTACCCACAACTATGCAGGTAGTTTTACACCACTCAAATTATTATTAATGTCAGTTATAAAATTGAACAACTTTTATTTTTTTTTATACCCTAAACTATATGATTTTTTTAACTTTCTCCATACATATCTGTAATTGTCATAAAAAAAATAGTGAACTTTTGTGTTTGAATTAATGTAAAATAATTCAAATGATTGACGGATAAATGTGAAAAAATTAATAATTCTATGAGTAAAGTAAAAATAAATTTATAGTTTAAAAGGACAAAGTATAATTTATAATTTTAAAGTAACCACATAAACTAATTTGAAGAACTGGCATAATCAGTGGAAGCCCAAAATGCTTAAACTACATTGGCTATTTTTCTTCTTCCATCTGCCAAAACTGAGTTCTCTCAAGACTCAAATTATCATAAATTTAAGACTTACAATTTTAAATATTAATGTATTTCCAAACCAAGCCTAGCATTCATTAATTATACTAAAGCAGAGCACCCAATTATAGCAAGACCTTTTTAAAGGTTAGGTTAATTAATTCGATCCGAGACGAGACAATTTCATTGACAAAACTATCATAGAAAGACCTTTCAATAGAACGAAGATGAACTGATCAACGAGAAAGAGGCCCTGCTCACCACAAAAGAATACACCACAAGATGGAACAGCACTCATGCCTCTTATCAAGTAATCTCATTAATTCAACAAAAAGCTATAGTGATAAGATCAAAACATTAGATAACCACAAACAGTTGCTTGCTGGCTTCTGTTGTCCAGACTCCTCAAATAGATCAGATATGTCCATCAAAGATTGCGTTTAAACCTATGGTTTGGCTAAATCGAAAGATGCTTGAGCCTGTCTTTACTGTATGGTCATTTTCAGTGTATTTTTCCAATCACTTTCTTCTGACCATGGACAAGAATGGGTGGCATTGAAAGAGAAACAAAGGTGGCCATTTTGACAAGATAATGAAATTTGAAAAGGCAAAGGCTCTCTCTCATTCTAAGCTCAGTGGTCGTCTATTGAACTGTTTCCAACGTCAGCAATTTGGATAAGCTAAGCAAAGTACTCAAAGTTCAATTCCTCTTTTCAACGTTTTCTCCCCCAACCCACATCACCGTTTTTCAACTCCACACTTTTTTTTTTTTTTTTTGAGCAGCCAACTTCACACTTGAAATATAATAATTTAACAAATTCGTATACAGATTCAAATTATCGATCAAAACTATTAACTCATGTTTGACTACCATTCCAGATAGTTTGTTTTAAAAAAAAAAAAAAAAAAGGGAAAAGGGTAGTTTGAGTACATGTAAATATGCATGAGAGTTGGCAATCTGGCTTTGGGCCAATCGAGGAAAAAGAAATACTAGCTAGATTTGGTCCACTTCACCCACAATGGATAGAAAGGAGGAAAAAGGCAAGCTTGCTTCCCATTACTCATTAATTTGCACACTCAGATCCCACCTTGAGGCTAACCTTGCTTTTACCATTCTGCCGGAAAGAAATGCCAACAAAGAAGGCAGATTTCTCTCCTAATTATTACATAGGAGAGAGAGAGAGAGAGAGAGAGAGAGAGAGAGAGAGAGAGAGAGAGAGAGAGAGAGAGAGAGAGAGAGAGAGAGAGAGAGAGAGAGAGAGAGAGAGAGAGAGATTGGGGGAAGTAGGCTGATTTCCTACGCAAACATAGGGGCGTGACAAGTCAGCAAAGTCACACTCTTGCCATCATATTCAGGATGTTACTCGAAAAAGATCAAGGCAAAGTAGAATGTAAGAACAAAAAATTGTTAACAAGTGAACATGTAGTTCAATAATATGATACGTAAAGGTACAATAATATGATAAGTGTGTGTGATATTTTATCTCGATCTCATGAATTTATCATCGTATAAACAAGATCGAGTTCAATGTATACAATTACCTTGAATTATATACTAGATGTAACTCATTGAACATTTGTGTTTTCGATGTACAGAAACATTTATAATTCTTGTGTTTCTTTTTTCCATTGCTTTCCAATTTTCATTCCTTCTGAGATTCTAAAACTTCTATACGTATACCATTCCGTCTAAACTTAAGGCCCCAACTAGATGACGCGCGAGAGAGAGATTCAGGCACATTCACCGGCAAGAAAATGGGGGAAGTCTCATCATATCATGATGGAACCCACATGGTGGAAAGAAGATGGTGGGGGGTCCTGCAATGTGTACTTGTACAATGCTTTCCATACATCATTAATTCGCCTCATTATCAAGCTGATCATTCCACATTCAAAAAAAAAAAAGGCGACATATTAACACCAGCATCTGGTCCATGCATATTGGCATTTATTATCCGTGTCATATTTCTAACAATAAAAATAATAAATTCAACTGTCAGGTGCTAAGAACAACACATCTGAAAGAAACAATCAATTTTAGAGAGAGACGGAGAGTGTAAGAGATGTATCATTCTGGCGATTAGTTTAGTTCTCACCAGGTACAACTTGGAAGTAGTCTTAAAACTATGATTTGAATAAGAATAAGCAGGCTCAAGTCTATAAGAAGAGAGAATACTTCATCCTCTGCCATCGGTTTGAACTTCCCATCTCTGAATCTCCAAATCAAACCCATTTCCGATTTAAGAAAAACAATCTGACCCAGTGGTACAAAACAGATATGCAATCGGCTTTTGTTGCAGCTCAACGACCTCTAGCTACCTCCAAATGGTTCTATTATGAAATGAATATGAAGCAGAGATATACAGAGAATTTAGATGACTACTAAAACATCCTTGGATGGTCCAACACCTTAGAGAGAGATTCATCTCCAAACCAACCCCACTTAGATCAACAGCATTGAAGAAACAAATACAGGGCTTCCGCTTTGAATGCCAGTTCAATTGAACTTGAAACCATCTTTGCTCAACAAGGTATGCAGGACCTCCCCATGGCTAATAAAAGCCACTCATAGCATTCATTTCCCCACATTAAGAGTTTTTACAACTGATTAGAAGCCAACATGTCAACAACTTCTCATCTTGCAAGTTCACAATATATGCACAAACTTTGGTGCATCAGCCCTCGGCCCTTCAAGAGACCGATACATGTATAATGTGTCAATATAATCACCCATGTCCCTTCCTTCCTGTTCATTCCAATTAAACACTTCCACAACCAGTCGGGGCAATTGTTGAGCAATCTCCTGACAACCTCGGCGTGTTACTCTACAAGATGACATCCAGAGGAATCTCATGTTGAAATAATGGTGCAAACCAGAGGGCAGAGCTGAATCTCCAAAGGGGCTATCTCTGATCTCAAGCTTCTGCAACCTAGGACAGCCCTCAAGCACATATTTCAGCCCCAAGTCACTGTCCCCAGCAAAAGCAACTGACAATGTCCTCACCAATTTCCCATATTGTCCAATATAACTGAAAGCTTGATCAGTCAGTAAACCAGATACGGCAAGGCGAGTAAGCTTCTTGCAGTTCTTGACAATCGCTCCAAAACCCTCGTCCATTGCTTCACCAGTAATGTGGTCAGGTTGATGCCGCCCCATTATGCAAAGACGGAACACCACAAGATCAGGACAATTCTTCGACATGGCTATCACAGCCGCATTCGTCATCCTCTGGCAGAAATACAAAATGGATTGCAGTTTCCTACAGCCATCAGAAATTGCTTGAAGACCAACTTCAGAAACAGGGCCCTCAATATCCTCCCGAGCATTAATAGGGAACACCCGAAGCTCACGAAGATCCTTACATGTGGCAGCCACCGCCTGAAGGCCTTCATCACATATTGAATCAAGTACCTGTAGAAAATAACCATTAAGCCTAAGAATCAAAATTCAATAACAAAATTAAAAAATTTTAAGAGCATTTCAATCACATACCCAAAAGATCTGGAGTTTAGGGCAGTGGCATATGACCGATTTCAGTTGTTCAGCATTGATGTTCGCATAGCTAAAATTCAGAGAGGTGAGATTAGCACACACTGGATAAATTGCAGGCAAATACTCTGCAAAAATATCCCGGAACCCAGAAAGACAAACTAGCGATTTGCAAGCAGCAAAAGCAGAAACATAATTTGGTTCTTGGACACTATGAGCAACATTTTCCAACAGCCTAAATGAGCCCGTACCCAAATGGGTCAACTGTGGAGCTCGAATCATGAGATTGTGAAGCTGCCCAAGTGAAACATATTGGTTGAGCCTAAGTTTCTTCAAGGAAGGTGATCTTGCCACTAATTGCACCAATGCCTCAAAATTAATGCGAAAATCAACACAGTCGAAAATCAGAGACTCGAGACAAGTTTCATTCTCTGGAAAAAATGAAACCCAGTCCACTTCATCGTCAGAAACCTCAGACTCGATCAGATCAAGCACTCGCAGCTGCCTGAGATACAATCCCACCATCAAATACAAGAAAAAAAAATTGTCCAATCAAAATTCACATCATTAAACTGCACTCTCTCAAGCAAATAGAAATCAAAGCAAACATTCTAAGCAACTTATACCCGCATAACACAAATATACTGCAGCCTGCAAGAAAATCGAGAACTTTTCAAGGCAAAGTGTTCACCTTTTAAACTTAACTCCATTAAATGATTTTCAAGAAAGCCAACACAACTAAGCATTCCAAATTGTTGGTGATACATTCATAAACACAAATTTCCGGTGAAAACTCAATAAGTTTTAACTTTTTGAAACCAAAGGGATTGTTATGTCAGACAAAATGCATCGGCTGGTGTTCAGAATTATTCACATGACATGCTTCGACTCGGTAACCCAGATCAACAACCATCGAGAGGGCCAATACAAATGAAACAGTTACAACTCAAAGTGTGAATCAGTTAAATAAAATTTCATTTTCAGCCCAATTAACTAGAACCCATTAGAATTATGCTACAATAAACAGATCAAAATCACCATTTAGAATCAAAATTCCAAAATAAACTTACTGACCTGCACTCCCTGGCAACAACAGCGAGCCCACTAGTTCCAAACCCTTCACAACAAACCAAAACCAGTTCTTTAAAGCAAGGAAACGAGAAAGCCAGCATAGTAAGATCATCATCTGTGATACACATGCGCTTAAGGTACAATTTCTCAAGCGCACGATAAGACTCAGCCATGGTTGTGACCCAAGGTGTGAAGTGAGCACCCCAGTCCGGCGGCAGAAGACTAAAATCAGCGAACCGGGGTTTACCCTTAATCACCACAGAACTAACCCCCCTGAACCGGTGGGTGACACGGCGAGGCGAAACAGCGTAACAGTTTCCGATGAAGACCTCCGATCTGGTAAGCGCTTCCGCACGGTACCACGACTTGCAAACCAAAGAAGCGGCGTTTCGGTCACGTCGTGAAGTCAAGAAGCAGAGAACGTTCTCGAGAACGTTTTCTAGGACTAGATCGGGAAAAGTCGAGCAAGAATCGCCGGCACCGTTTCTGTTGGTGAGATATGAGGAAGAGGAACCCCCATCGTCCTCGGACATTCCGGAACAACGATCGTCACCACTCATGGGAAATGGTCTGAGGGTTGGGTTGGGGTGGGGTGGGGTACTAGGGAATCTATGTATTCAGATCGAAGATACGGGGAAAGGAGTTTAGAGAGAGAGAGAGAGAGAGAGAGAGAGTTATAAATCTGGAGCTGGGATTGGAAAGGAGAGAGGCAGGGAAGAGTTTAAAAAATTGTTTAGTGGATTTAATTGGGAGCAAGGGGTAGAGGATGCACAGAGTACACACTACTCACCCACCTCTCTCTCTCTTCTTTGTCTCTGTGCATTGGGATTCTCTCATGACCATCTCCTACTGTACTGTTTCTTTCATAGCTGTTGTTCAATGGCTGTCCACACTTCTCCATTATTTGGGTTTATGTTTTTCTTTTTGGCAATGCTTTTGGCTTCTCATTTTAGTTTATTTTTGTATTACTTATTTCAGTTGTCAATTTTCACAGCAGCAGGTTTAGCACTTTTGGTACCTTTTTGGTCAGTGATAAATCTCGTCTCGATTTACTTATGACTATTGGCGGTGAAAATACTTAAATAAAATATAAAAATTTATCACTGGATGGATGTGAGGGTGGACCGACCTTATCCTCGCCCCACTAAATCTGCTAAAGAGATGCGGGGTGGTACCATTTATATCTTTATTTGGATTTAGGAATTCTTAGTCCTAATTCAAGAGAATTATGATGTCTACAGAGACATATATATATATATAATAAAGTGAAAAAAAATTTGAATTCAAAAGACAAAAAAAATCTAAATCTAAATCGTTTTGAGATAAAATATAAACACATTCAACGGATAGCGTAATCTCAACATAAAATACGGTTCAAATCATTTCATAAATTTTGATCTAACGATCTATAATAAATATTAAATTTTATTTTTTCGCCTAACAACATTTGTTGACTCACGTCTCTTTCTCCAAAATCTTTCAAATCTTTTTCACTCTCGTCCAAACTCTCTTTCTCTCTCTCCTCTGCGGATAAAGACCCAGGCCCTTATCTCCCCTCTTACTCTCTCTCCCGCACCCCCCATGTATCTTTATCTCTCGTTTCCAGAAGACCACTCTCCTACCTCTCACTCAACCCACCGTTGTTCAACCAATGGCAGACGACAAACAGCCCAGGTACCCCTCTTTCTCTCTCTTTCTCCTTACCATTCCTCTTCGCACTCTCTTTGTCTCACATAGCACGCACGCACACACACACACACCCCTAACATAACACGCACATACACATACACATCGCACATACACAACTCACACCAGTCGCAAATACAAACGGCAGCACAAACACAAACACATAGCACAGCAGAACAGCGTTCAAGACTCACACACACATCCACAGAGGTGCACACATTCACACAGTTGAGCACATAACTTTTGGTGTCAATTTCAGATTTTGTGTTAATTTGGGTGTTAATTTTTCATGAAATTGAATATTACAGTTAGTTTGATTCATAATGGGTGTTAATTTCGTGAAATAGAGTTTGTAGATGTTGAGTTGAAATTAAATGTTAGTTGATTTCAATCAAATTGGACGTTAGGTGTTAATCTCATAATTTAATGAAATATTAGGGTTTTTATTGAATGTAAGGGTTTGAAAGTGAATGTTAGGTTTATTTTGATAGAAATTGAGTGTTAATTTTGAAATTGGATGTTGAGTTGACAGGTTATTGAGTGGTAATGTAAATTGAAAACTCCGGCGACCAACTTCGACGACCTACATATTCCGGCCATCAACAACTTTGGCAAAAACTTTAAGGTTGGTCTTCCTTTTTCTGTCTCCCCTCTTTCTTCTTTCCTTTCTGTTTTTTGCAACACACGCACACAGCACACACAACACACTTTATTTGTTTGGTGCTATTCTTTTTCTATAACAAGTGAGAGGTTCTCTTACAGGTATAATCTTCAGTTTTATTTTTTGTTAAATTTAATGGTTATTATAATTGGTGTGTTTTGTTAGAAATTATTAATATTGCCTCTTGCAAAGTGAATTGTTTACATTACATTCATTTTTTTATCATATTTCAATTTGTTTTTATTTAGTTTATTGCAAATAAAATATAATTTGATTTAATGCTAAATGTTCCTTTACAACTGACTATTTTGTAGTTTTTGAAATTGAAATAAGGTCGAACATAACAGGCAACCTGTTTACCTCAATCAGCATATTTATGATACTTAATTTATTTAAATTAACATATTTGATGTGTGTTGCCCTTAGCCATTGAAGAAATTTTGGATGTTTAATTAAGTATTGTCTGTCTACAATTTGTTGGTTGTTGGCTTTCCTGTCTTTCTTCCATGTGTTGGTTAATTTCGCAAATTCATTGTTTCCCTGTCTTCGAAGTGGGAGTCATTTGTTGTTTTACTATAACTTTTTTTTGGCCTCAATTTTTTACCATGATTAAATGGTTTGTTTTGAAAGCGGGACTACATTTTAATACTGGTGGCAACGAACATGACACTCTTTGGTCAAAATTTCAATTGGTGAGGATAACATGTGATATCCATTATTGTAAGCCCCTTCTACTTAATTGTCGTCATTCTTTTTGTTATAGTTCAATTTTTACTTCCATTTAGTTGTTTCTTTATAGCTCTGTCGTAAATTTTGTTGTAGTTGAATTTTTATGTTCATTTAGTTTTTTTTTATAACTACTCTTTCTTTCATTTTATTATTAGTTTGCTTGCTTAAATTGTAATTAACCCAGTTACATATCTATGGCAGCAAGGTGACACATCGACGACCTCCTCCCCTCAATCGCTTAATACCCAATTATCCTCTCGCTCAGGTATGGCCTTCTCTATTGCTTATTCTGTTTTAATAGTTTTTATTTTGTAAAAATATTTTTTTATTTCTTTGATTTGGTTTTGGAAGATCATGAGATATGTTATTGAGAACGAGGGGCCTAAAACATTGCAGTTTGAGTTGGTTTATGAAAGCCAATGATAGGCAATGAACAATGAGATTTTTGATGCTTTGCGTATTTGCTATTTATTTAGCCTACCCTAATTCCCCATCTCGGCTCCTTATTGTTTTTTCTTTTTATCTAATGAATGCATGATTTTCTTTTCCATCATTTAGGTGTCTGTTGGGAAATTGAACCAGTTAAGGACATGGATTCTTTGGCTTACACAAGCTCTTATTGCACACCAATATAGTGGGTATGCACCATTATTGGTAGTTAAGAATAGTTTTGTTAGGCCTACATATTTATTTATGAGTATGCACAAGTAAATCCTCTATTTGTTATTGTGTAGGGTAGGGTAGTCGTGGGGATTCACAAAATGTAGTTTATGCAAAACATCCAACCCTGAAGTTTGGTGCACAATGTTACTTGACAGGAACATAATTTTTGCTTTCAAAGAGTTGTACACGGTGGCTTACATTTGAATGTATTATACTATTGTTATTGCTAGGTGAATGGGTGCTTATGGGTGTGCTAATTTTTCTAATTGTACAAGTTAAAATATTTATGCATTCAATTAGATTTTTCTATGTAATTTTTGTTTGTGGAATAGGTGGTCGGTTCAAATATATTTTTTATCCACAATAATATGTTTCATATATTATTATTGTAGCGGTCTTCTAATTTGTATGTCTTTTAATTTTGACTTTTTTTTTTGTTACGTAATGCTTTCAGGCATGAGAAATTACTAGTATATATATATATTAGTTATTATATGTGTATGAAGGCATAAAATATTAAAAAAAAAGTCAACAATAAATATATTTATACCGATTATAAGCACTGATTGTAATGGTGGTGAGCGGTTGTGATGGGTGGCAACGACTGTGGTGATGGTGGCAGTTATGGGTGGCAATGATGATGGTGGTGGTGGATATTGGTTGGCGATGGTGTTAATGATAATTATGGGTGACAACGGTAATAGTAGTGATGGATGGGTGTGAGTGGTGGCAGGTGATTGTGATGGTAATTAGCAGTGATGATGGTGGAGCAACGACTGTTGTTGTGGCGGTGTGGGTTTGTGGTGGTGGCTGTTGACGATGGTGGTGGAGGGTTATTATAGATGTTTTTGGGCGACAATGTGATGAGTAATGGTGAATGACGACGGTGGTGGTGGTAGGTGGGGTGGTGGTGGTGGTAAGGGTGATTATAGGACAGTGGTGGTAGAGTAGCGATAACTGTGGTGGTAGTGGTGGGGTGGCGATAGTGATGGTGAAGGTTGGCCCGGTATTTGTGACGATTGGAGCAGTGGTTGTTTTTGTGACAGTGGTGGTGGTGTGGGTAACGGTAGCAGTGATGGTGATGGGGTAGTGGGGGTGGGGGTGGTGATGGCAGTGGTGGTGGTGGTGAGATGGCGACGGTGGTGGTGGGGGTGGTGATGGTAATGAACGGTTCCAAACACTATTTTTTTAAAACAAAAATATTCATGAGAAGTTATAAGTTCTAGAAATATTTTTAAAAAATCACCTCAACACATATCTTTATGGATCTATTTTTTCTATTAAATTAATATTAGTCGTGCGATTAACTTTAAAATAAAATTTAAAGAGATTTCAACCGCGAAAAATAAAAGTTATTTTGTTTATCTTTTGAGATTTGAATTGTATATATATACACAGTGATACAACTTGTATTTTTAATTGTTATAATTTTTTAATTTTTTTTATAAATCATAAAAATTAATTATAATAAACTGGAGCAAGGGCGGAGATCAAAATTTACCCACAGGACATGGATAGGAATTAAAACTTGCTCCACTAACAGGTATAGACTGTTGGTGGATGAACTTTACTTAGAGTATCTCCAACAGATGCTTCAAATGCCCAAAATAAATAAATTTTAGCTAATCAAAGCCAAAAACAGTACTCCAAAATGTTATGTTCATATACTGTAAAATAGATTTTTGCTACAATGATGCTCTAAATATAGAGCATCACTATAGCAATATGTAAACATAATATATATTATTTTCTCTCTCTTCTTCTCATTTCTTCCATTCTCTCTCTTTCTCCCTTTCACTATTCTCAAAAAATATAATACAA